TTAATCATCTTGTAAGATGATATATAGAGCATATAACATACCTGGAACCCAACCACAAATAGTCAATACGATACTTATAATACATTCAGTACCCCAACCACGACATAAAAAGACGGAGACAGGTGGTAAAAATAGAGCTAGAATAATGTTAATGATTTTAGAGGCTTCCATAATGTGGATTGTTTGTAAATATACTGGGAGTTTAAAGAATTAAAACGAATTAAAACGATTAGGTTTGTCTGTTTGTTTGTTTGCAACTCAAAACTACAAAATCTTCAAATATAAGAATGAAAAGGAATCTGGGATTTATCCGTAATTGATGCACATCGCTTTATTTATATATATTTGTTACTATTTTAAATTCCCTAACTGCTTTACTCTATTACATCACACACGCCCTGAGTGTATTTTGTTTCCTTGTTTTTTTTTTGCTTGTTTATTTCGCTCACCGCACAACTTTTTGCTTCTTATCACACGCGCAGCCAACGCAATTAGATTGCGAAAGGGATTATCACTGTGCACGAGCAGCTATACTGACATTTTATGTGTGTGGCTGCCAGCAGTAACACGCCGATGAGAGGGAGAGCGACAGAAGAGAGACCAGCCAGCGGTACCACGGGGGAGGGGGCTGCACCGCTAGGATGTAATAACGGCAAATGGGCGGATAGAATCTAATTGGCTCGGAATGCTAACAGCGGGAGCCAGTCTTAACGGAGGCGGTTATTGTTCCCGCATTGCTTTATTACCATACAATGCATACATAGTATAGCAAGATTCGGCCGAGGATTGTGTAGGATAGTGGTTATCTGTTTGGTAAATGGCTCGGAGGGAGTCCTGTTTAAATTACGTAGTACACACAATAGGTATCTTCTCCCATCCTCCCCGGTCTTTCAGATTAGAAATTGGATTGAATAGATTGAGTACGTGCATTACATGAAGCAACCGGGAATCGGATTTTAGCAGGTGGACTTTTTGTTTTTGTGTAAGGTGTAGTAGATAGACACTTTTTATATAAGCTTAGGAGCAATCGTTAGTATCTCACTGTGGAAATTTATCGATTAAATAATAATTTGAGGTTAAAATATATATATATATATATATACGTTTGTTTGTGTGTGTGTGTTAGATGCGCTGTTGCCTTCGTTTATTTGTATTGAATAAATTAATAATTCTTAATCCTTTAATACTTTTTTAACAATATCTTCAACTTCATCCCAATCATCGGTCGGCACACGTGTCATATCAAGATTAAAATATTGTTGAATTTGTGATAATACAGTATAAGATTTCTTATCTGATATGAATGAAATTGCAACACCTTTTCTACCAAATCTACCTGTTCTACCAATACGATGAATATATGTAGCAGGATCAGCTTGTCCATTTTCAATAGTTGGTAAATCATAATTAACAACCATTGAAACACTTGGAATATCAATACCACGAGCTAAAACATTTGTAGTAATTAACACTTTGGATCTACCTTCACGGAAATCATCAATTAATCTGTCTCTATCGTGTGATTGTAAATCACCATGTAAAATGGATACTTGATGACCTTCTTGTTTTAATTTACCATATAATAAATTTGCTGTATTCTTAGTGGCAACAAAAATAATTGATGAACCAATTGTTAAAAGACCATATAATTCACATAGAACTTCATATTTGTTATCTTCACCTTTACAATCCATATACAATTGTTTAATTGCATCGACATTAACTTCATTTCTTTGTAATTCTAAAGTATTGGCTTCTGGAACAACTTTTTTAGCATAATTTCTTACTCTATCGGCAAACGTTGCACTAAATAAAACTAATTGAGTAGTCTTTGGAATAAATTTCTTAACACGAAGGCATTGATCTCCAAGACCTTGTTTATCTAACATATTATCAGCTTCATCAAGTACAAATATTTTAATATTATTTAATAACATTAATTTTCTACGCATTAAATCTAATACAGTACCAGGTGTCCCTACAATGATATTGGCATTAATTTGTTTATTTTTTTCAAATGAATCTGGAACAATTAATTGAGTAGTAATTTTTGTAAATTTACCCATCTCTTGAACTACTTCTAATGTTTGTCTAGCTAATTCACGAGATGGTGCAAGACAAATAGCTTGTGGTGAATTAATTGAGGGATCAACTCTAGATAGCATAGTCAAAGAAAATGCAGCTGTCTTACCCGTACCAGATTGTGATTGAGCAATCATATTTCTTGGAGGATTACTTAATAATAATGGTAATGCTTTTTCTTGAATCTTAGATGGTTTTTGAAATTTCATCGCATAGACACCTTTTAATAATTCAGGAGTTAATCCTAATTCATCAAAGGATTTAGCACTGTATAATGGAGAATTTGGATCAGCTTGTAAATCTACAAGTTTAACTTTAACTTCATATTCTGATTTCACCAGTGGAGATTCTTCTTCATTCTTAGTATCGGTTTTCTTTTCTGATTTTTCAGTTTTATTATCTGATAGCAAAGGATTTACCTTTACTGGTTTGTCGTCTTCTTTCTTCAATGGAACACTCTTCTCAGTAGTGGTTGATGTTGATTCGCTTTCTTTCTTAGCATCATCGATCTTTAATGATGCAAGCAGATCTGCAGCATCCTTCTTTCCTGTTTGAGACATAGTTTTAAAAATAATAAAAAAAACTATATATATGCAAATATATTCTAATTATGCGAAAAAATGGTTATCTCTCTTAGATTAGATTGATAGTAATACAAACAATGCAAATTTTAGGAAGTAAAAATAATCCTCTGTATTTTATTCTATTACAATTTACTTTATCAAGAACTGGTACCCTTCTATATCATCATCTTTGTTATGATTACAACTTATTTTTTTTTTCACACATTTCCTACGAAATTCAATATTTTTTTTTTTTGGTTTTCGTTTGTTTTTTTCGGTTTATTTAAGAAAAAATTTTGATTGAAATTGTTATGTATGTCGTAGTACGCGACATTCAATCGAAGGATAAATACTAACTTACAAGTGTCATAGGATCTTAAAGCTCATTATGTTTTTTCAGCTTATGATTAGTGATGTTTCTTATTCTATATAGTCATTATGTATAAAGTAATTAGCAAAGTCTATCTAAAGGTTGTTATTATAAAAAAAAATAACTGAGGTAGAGTAATTTTGATAAAAGTGATTATACTCAAAAAACACTTGGTATTAGAAATTATGTTTGAAAAGGTAGAGAAAGGTATTGTTAGAATTAACGGATAATGACTTAATAGATATGTCTTTAGTGACATATAGAAAAATGCAAATAGAATTTGAATGATGCAGAGGTGTTAATAAATAAATAGATGACGTCTTACTGTTGTAGTTTTTTCACCTGACGCCATCTGGTTTCCAATCTAAATCAAGACGTTGATAAACTTGAGCTTGACAATGTGACCATATACTAGCTTTTTCTTCTTTTGTTAAAGAGACTTTTTGTACGGGAACTGAATTATTTCCCGTGAGTAAGGTATTATCTATACTATTCTGTTGTTGTTGTTGAATATTTTTCATTTGCATATTTTTCATTAATGCTTTCTTTAATAAAGTATTAGATCCTGCTCCATTACGTTGATGCATAGACATTGGAATTACACTTGGTGGAGGCATATCAGGTTTCTTTAAGTTTGTTTGTTGAATTTTCCATTTTTTAAAATCTGAACATTGTTGTTTAAAATCAAATCTACATTGAGCTTCAACAGCGATATTTAATAAATAATTTTCAATAATATTTCTCCATTCAGGTTTTGATAAATTCATCATTAACTCATTTTGTCCTGTCATTTGTTCATGTCTCTTTCTTGCTGCCGCTACAGTATACTTCGCACTTGTTAATTTAAATTCATAATCTAAATTAGCTTCGATGTATAAATCAGAATTAACTAAAATATTAATAATAAATTCATCTGTCGAACATAATGGTAATAGTATAAATCTAAAATTTGGCAAATTACTTTCATTAGTAATAATTTCTGGTAATTTATTACCCCATTCGGGTCTTGATTGATCTATTATTAATAATGATCTAATATCATTTAAATCCCAATCTAATAATTCTCTCTTAGTAAAAGTTGGTCTTCCATTATATAAAATTTTAGATGGATCCTGTGTAAATAATTCTGGTGCATACATATCGAAAAATGTCTTTGGTAAAGCTTCTTCTAAAGTCATATGAGTAACAAATTTTTGTTGTTGATGTGATAAGAGACTATTATCAGAATTTTGTGTCTGTACTGTATTTGGTGCAGAAAATATACTTGATTGATATGATGAAGCATTATCTGAAAATATACTTTCATTATCTATCGAATGTTGTTGTTGTATTGATGAATTAGATGAAGATTGGTGAGATTTAATTTTTTCTAAATTCTTGCTATTTGGAGATTGTTGTAGTAAACGTTTTCTAATTTCAACTCTTGCTCTATCGGCGTATTCTGTTGGTGCACTAACAAAATTTGCTTCTTTTCTTGCTAAAGAAGGAATATGAAATGCTTGTTGCGGTTGTTCTTCTTCATTATTATTAATATTTGAAGTATTCGAATTTATTGAAGATGAACCATCATAATTACTATTAATATCTTGATCGTTAAATTGTGCATCTCTCCTTTTAGATTGTTTCTTATGTGAGGACTGCCTAATCAGATAGGTTGGTGGAGGTGAAACAAACATATTTGTAAAAAAAATTCAAAATTTTGGTTCTGTATATGTTTTAGTTCGAGGATATCTTTTTTAAAAAAAAATAATTGTGTATTTGTAATCGTATGTAATATCAATAATTCCGTGTATTCTTATTGTAGTGTATTGTCAATATATAGATATATTATCCTTTGGGTTTACTAAATTCTAATTGGTAATAACAATATATATATATATGATCAATAGGATAGTAATTGTAAAGTATACATAAAGTAAAATATAATATATATGTTACAAAGAACAGACATCAAAAATGAAAAAAAAAATACAAAGGAAGAACTTGTTTTGCAACGACTAATTTTTTTTTTTAATTACGACAAGATAGACAGACCTCTCTCTCTTTCTCAATATTTTTAATTTACTTTTTTTTTGTCAGTTGGAAGTATTTCCGGTACCTCAATTTGCAGCTCCTAAAATTTAAAGGACCGAATCGGTCTCATAACTACATGCATGTAATGCAATGCACAAGAAGTAACACAAAACTAACCGTTTATAGTGAAACTTTACGCACAACATAAGTTCAAACAAAGCATGTAATAATATTATCAGCGAAATCACTAAGTTCCTCCGTGTTGCCCGTCAATTTAATCAATCATCCTTACAAAATTTGAAAGAATTGAAAACTAAAATAGGTTTAAACCCCCACCACATATGGTTCATTTATTTCTACAGCGTTTTCTGTTGAAGGGAAGGAACTGGAAGCTACCATGAAAGAAGGTAGGTGGTTTAATGATTTTCTTCCTCTTCTTTTTTTTTGTGTGTGATAAACTGAGTGGAACAAGGAAGATTTTCCGGGAAAAAACTGCAAAAAATAACAGAAAGAGAGAACGGTCAGCAAAAAGCTGCTGCAGTAAAGTGTAGACAAACAATTCTTTTTTTTTTTATTTCCTTGAGTAAGAACATGTGGTGTCTGTCTGTGAAATTGTTCTTCAACCTTTGTGGAAAGAAAAAGAAAAGTGGGAGCATCTATATCTCTAAGACTATCACTGTTACTACTTTAACAAAACACTGGACAAAAAGAAATAAATTGGGTTAATGTTGTTATAGTGCCGGAATAACTCTATATCCATTTGCGGCGCATTTTCTTATTTAATACAGTTTTCCGCCGTACAAAGTTACTAACTTATTCAAAATCCGAGTTTTCATTTCGCTTTAAGCTCCGTGGCGTTTATTGTGTTCAATAACAGGAAACTGTCAAACTGAATTGTTCCCCCTTTCAAGACGACTATCACTGTCTACGAAGCACTCTTTTAGTGGTTTCAATCAATTTTGTGACAGCAAATGTATATTTATTATTTCTACTCTTAAGTGGATGATGGACATTAGCGCTTGTGAATGTTTGTTTCAAGAAGTTCATGTAGACGTCAAAATGAATATCAATTGAAGATTTTAACTTCTGAATAATGACATATGCATACTTATATAATAATTTACTACTGAGCTAAATGTTCTAAGGTATATAGTGTGAAATATTCACATGAGCATAAAAAATTAACATTAAGTAAATAACACAAAGACTATTGTGCACAATTATTATAATTGAATAGGCTTATACGACGATACTAGAATAAGAAGTTCATAAATGTGAAGGTTAACAACTACGCCACTAAATTCGTAATATATAAAGACAGAGGTTTGAAATACATAATCTGTACATTAAATAATTCCTTCCGAAAGAAAGTAAGAAGAATTATCTGTATAATATCTGTAAAATAAAAATGAATGAAAATAAAAATCGAATCAATGCTCAACAAGTTAGAAACGAGGATTTCTATCATTTACAAACATATCTCATTCCAGGATATTCTAAAGATGGAGTGCCTTGAAAAGTCGGAATACACAAAATAAATTTAATAAGCAAAGGTACTATGATACTCTTTATTATTATGTTTGCTATTTTATGAAAGTAAAAGTTATATCTTTATGTTATACACAAAATAGAGATATTAAGGTTCAAGAAAAACTACTATTACCCGGCTAACATTAAAAAAAAACAAAAAAATTCCGAAGCCGGGAGTTGAACCCGGGTCTCCACGGTGAGAACGTGATGTGATAGCCGTTACACTACATCGGAGTAAACAATAAAAATTCTGTTATTTTGGTTGATTTTTAATTTGAGCGAAATTGGAAATTTAGGTGAGATCCAAACTGAAATAATATTTATTAGTTCAGAAAAGCCTTCTCTATCAGAAAACTGGGAATTAGAGAATAATAATAGTATATATATTTACTGTAGCTCAGGACTATGTGTCCGTTGCTACATCAGAGCTCCTGGTCCTCCTATCAGAGAGAGATATGAGAAAGTGTAATATATAATTCTATATAATTTGGAAAACGGGTTCCTTTATATACAGAAGTTTTCACAGCAATATCGCAGTGTACAAAGATCACTCTGTGTCACACTGTTATATAATTTCCAACATTCTCTCACACAATATTTGGATCAACAATCTTCATCTTTCGTTAAATTACTTTTACAATTACTCTAAATGTAACGTAGCTAAAAATACTAGTTTGGCTGTTGTAATACTTCCCTTCTGCAAGACGTACTTGCTATTTGTTTGCTTGTTTATTTCTTGCATTCCTCGCTGGCGGTAAATAACAATTTCCAACAGAAAGGGAAATTTTTGACATTTATTGGAAAAGGAATATTATGCATACATCAATGTCACAAACTAAGGATAACTTATGATAGCACTACGTCCAAAAATATTGTAAAGAAATTATCGGAAGTATCGAATTTAAGCCAACAAAATTATAAAGTCCAGCACAGTATATAAAATCAAAATAGGCCTGCCATTTATGCATGAGAGTTGTTCGAAGACGTTAGGAGCATATGTAAAATTACAACTTTAAAATAATAATAATTTAAGTTAATTAATTTGTAGATTGTATAATTTGAAATAACTGATTAATTATCATATCAAAAAATGTCCAAATTAACTTTAAATAGTAACTTAGGAAATATTGGGTCAAATGGGAGTGAAACCTCTACACCAGATTCTCTACGATAAATTCCACCGCTAATGATCTGGGCAAGTTATTCACCTTCAGTTAGGGTGAGAGAAATATACCTGTGTAAAATTTTATATGCCACAAATACTACGTTTCTGAGAGATACTCGAATTTCTTCCCCAAATCCAAAGATAACTATAAGAGTTGAAATTTATAACGTAAAAGAAAAGACTGTACACAGATTGTTTTTTTATTCAACTTATTAATTCTTCCTTAAAACACTTTTTTTTTCCAGCATAAATTTATTGATACATTTTTATACATAAAAACAAAACTTCAACATTCTGAATGTTTGAATATATATAACACTATGCCTATTTAAGTATATTAATTATAAACTATTATAAAATTAGTATCTACGACCACCACCATTTCTATCGTTTTGGTTATATCTATTTTGGTTACCACCGTTGTATCTTCCTCTTTGACGATCATAATTATTCCCATTATTGTAGCCTCCTCTATTGTTATTGTTATAACCATTGCCACGATTATAGTTGTTACCATTATTACGATTGTAATTATTATTATTATTATTATTATTATTATTACTATAATTGTTACCATTATTATAACTACGATTATTGTTATTATTGTAATTATTTCCATTATTATATCTACCATTACCTTGATTCTGGTTATAATAATTTCCATTTGGGTTTTGGTTTTGGTATTGGTTCGAATTTTGATTGTTCTGTTGTTGACTAAAATAGAAAAATGCTCTATAACCACCAGCTCTTGGTTTGTACTGTGTAGTTCCACTTGGTCCAGTCTTGATTATGTTTTCTTTCATATTATCATTGAAACGGGATCTATTATTACGACCATAGTTATTATTCCCATATTTGTACATAATGGAATCTAAGTCGTAAGAATCTAGAGCTTGTATTGGTGGAATATAACCATTTAGAATAATTGATTTATTTGGAACAACCAATGGATTAAACTCAAAGGACATTTTCAAAAACAAGTTCGTTGTAAGTTCTGGGAAGGATCCCTCCGAAATAGGACATGTTAGTTTACTATTTAATTTAAACCCTTCTTTATCCGTTGAGACAATACCACTCAATCCGCTCTTGAAGTGACCAAAGTTGAACGCTTCAACAGTTGTTAGTTCACTATTGTAGAGCTTCTTTACAAATGTATCGTAATTGACATTTTTATTACTAACAAGTAGAATGTCCTCATTTCTGACATTTCTAGACCTTTCATAATCAGTAAGTTTAGGGTATTGCGCACGGACATTTTCTAGTAATCTTTTTTCATCAATGAAAGGTAGCAGTGCAATACCTTGCCATGACATCTTTTTACCATTCATGTCAATTGGGAATTCCTTTGGATAAAAATCAATAATTGGAGATTCTGGTTCGTTCATTAATGGACGGAAAATGGCTGGTAATGTATGACCTGAAGCAGCAGGTAACACACTCATAAGTTGTTCGAATGGTAAGAAAGGTTCACCTAATTCAAACTGAATATCAATGTTTGCAATGTCTGTGAAATCTGAACCAAATGGTGCATAATGGAATGGGTAATACCATGTCCAGGAAGCGCACCCTTGATAATAATAACGAAGAACCCATGACACACCTTCAATATATGCTTTCACTAAACCTTTCCTTACAGTATTAATATCCTTTGCATCAATATGGAATTTTTCGGTGTAATATCTTTCGATATACCCTGGTTCGTAAAGTTTTACAGTCTCATCAGTATCGATAACACCGCTTTTAACGCTTCCATTCGAGATGATCTCGGTTGCTGTGTCTTTATCATCTGTACTAGCATCTTCATCGTCTTCATCTTCATCGTCGTCATCATCTTCGTCGTTCATTTCAGCCTCAACCTCTGATTTTATTTCATTGTTTAAATTTTCTTGCTCGGTTTTTAATTTTTTGGCTGGCACGCCTTCTTCTTCATCCTTGATCTTCTCATCCTCATCTTCATCTTCTTCAAGACTATGTTTCTTGGCTATTAACCTCTTTCTTAGAAGTTCGGCCGTAGAGTGATTACTAGCATTTGCTTGAGAAACAACTTTGCTCATTTCCTCTTCTGTAATATTCTTCATCAATTGATCATTTTTATCACTTTGAGCCTTCACGATAGCAATAGCCTCAGCGTTACCTTCATTAGCAAGCATCAATTCTTTCTTTAGGTTAACCATGTCATGTGTAGTTAGGTTCCAAGAACCATTTGCTAAATTACCTGATGTATCGTAAAGTTGTAACTGTTCTGTAAACTTTGTTGGATGTCTATCTTGACCTTTAGAAATATTACCATTTCTGTTTTGTTTCCTTTTTTGCATTGCTTCTTGTTTTCTGACTTCTTGAATATGTCTAGTTTTAAAGATATCAGGTTCACGAGCCCCTAGTTGAGCTAAAACTTTCTCAACAGATTCTAAATTCAAGTTACCATCACATGTCATATATGTCTTTAATTGAGGTAGGATGACTTTCCAAATATCTAACAAAATATCGATACTGTTTTCTCTGACATCCAAACTAGGTAAATGTGGTAAAAAATCGTTACCACAGAAAAAACACATGAAAACCCAATCATCAATAGCTCTCTCAAGATCGAATACAAAAGGTAACCTTGGTACCCATAATTCAGCAGCTAAATACTCTCTTAGGACACTAACGTGTAACCATAAGAATGGTTTCTGAGAATCTTCCATAGATAGCAATTCCTTTTCTTCTGCTGTTTGTGGTGCAAATGTACTATTACCACCATTTCTGGATCTAGGTTTAGTACTCTGGGCGAAAACATCTTCTCTCAAAATTTTAAAATGAGGTTCATGTGTTGCAAGACCTAAGAAAATTAAATCTGCATCTAAACCGTAAATACAGTGTGTTGTATTTGGGTTATATTCTGGGTCTGCACGTTGTGATCTGATAAAATTCATAATCTTATGTTCACCTTCTCCTGGAACAGTAGCATCACTGATCACAACTTGAAGATCTTTCCAACCTGGGTCTGTAGCTAGTTTGAAAGCTGTCCAATAACGTAATGCAGCAGCTAGTTTATCCATGAAGGGTGTACCTGGGGTAATCGCATTAGAATCCCAAGTCTTTTTATTTCTAACAGAGTCATCAATGATTTCACCATAACTTTCTCTTTCTAATATTTCTCTTTCACGTTCCATATTTTGAATTTCTGCATCTCTAGCACTTCTAAATCTACGAGCTCTTTGTTGATTCATCTTAGCACGAGGAGCAACACCATCTACAGCCATTACTAAGACTTTACGAGGTCTTGCCATATTTAAGACTCTGTTGGTATATTCAAAAACGGCTAAGAGCATTTCATCTTCGGTCTCTGGCGGTGGTCTATTCTCTGGATGAGAACATGGATGAACAATACCATTCATATCCAAATATAAGTTGTCTAGTTCACCATTTGGGTTTGGTGCAGAATAATCTAATGGTAATGTGACGCCATCGACAACTTGAGCAGGGTCTTCAATAACGGGCGAAATAATCTTAGGATACTTCCTTGACAGCCATCTAAAGAATGAAGGAACACCCATACTTATAGTTTATGATATCGGTGAGTTTGATTTGGAAAGATCTGGTTGATTCTTTGCTTAACTGTTGATTATCCTTTTAAAAGTGTTTTCTTATTTGTGTTTGTATAGCAGTATTATTACATTTCAAATTGAATTATATTCTTGTATGGTAAACAAAATTTTTCACCTCTCATCGCGGAAGTTGGTGATGTCCGCAGAGAGAAGTGAATTCGATTGATTATCAAGCTAAATTAATACGTAGTATCGCTAACAAAAGGAAGGGTTGTAAAATATTACTTTCAAGACATTTAGAGGTTTACAATTTCTTATACATATGCAATAGGAATGCATGAATCTGATGTTTCTTTGCATTGAGTGCTGACGATCGGACAATGGATATTTAGATATGTGGGAATATAATAGAATATCGCAATTAGGAAGCGTTACTCCGCTATTAAACTAAAAGTATTTAAATGTCGTAAGAATTGTTATATGGTCAATCTTTAATGCTTTGTATCTGTAAATATATCTAATCTAAAATTTGTATTTGTCTCTGAATAATTTATCTGTGATATTGCTGCAATGAGGTCTTCCCGGCTTATGAGCTAAATCGAGGGATGACAGAGAGAGAGAGAAAAAAAGCCTCTAATAATAGTAACAATTTTTTTTATTTTTACAATATAGTTGCAACCAAGACATACATTTTAAAAAGTCTTGAATAAAAACCTTTTATAAAGAAAGTTGTTATTCTGTTTCTGAATATTATTGAAGTAAACAACACAATATTCAACTGATTAATCAATTGCAGAAATGAATATGAAGTTCTTAAGTGCTCATCATGAGATGATTATGTTTATTGGTGATATTGTTTGTAGTATATTGATTATTAGTAACGTATATGCAAAAAGGATATATCCTAGAATCTCTGTAGTAGTTGTCATGTTACATGCTGCATGTTATTATTTTCTCAATGATGGGTGGATGTGTCCTGGTACTGATGTGGTAAGAAAAGTTAATCCAATGCATTATTATCATAAAACTGGAACTTATGGAGGTAAAATAGAACCTGACTTCTGGAGTTGGGAATGTTGTCATTCATGTGTAACTACATTAGTGCATGAATTTGTCCTCTATTCATACTGTGAGATATGTATTATTTTAGTAAGAAGACAAAGAGCTGAGAAGAGAGAAGAAGAAAAAAAGAATTTGGTCGATATTGAAGAAGTTTGAATGGGACGAGGAATGATTTGATAGTTTTATTTTATTATCAATTTTCACTGTTTTTTGTTTAATCTCTCAAGAAAAGTTATCTATGATATATATTTATGTAATGACACAATTTTATTTTCATGTTGTAAATAGAATTATTATTTGATTTTTTTACTATTAATTTTATTTAGATATATATGATGCAAAGAAGTCAGTCTATTAAAAGTATGAATAAAGATTAATATGTTTTGGATATCATAAAGGTAAAAATGTTTCCACGTATAAAACGGTGGAAATATTTAAGCTGTGCCTAATGTAATACATCAGATAAAAAGAAGAACTTAAAAAAAATAGGATAAAAAAACAAAAGAGGTCAGAGACACTTATTATCCTATTTATCGTTGGGGTTAGAAATGAATGTCATAAAACTTCTGAAAAGTAAGTAATAAAAAGAAATGTGGTATTATTATTAATGAAAAAAGATGTGTCATAAAGTATTAATTAATAGGCATAGAATGAGGTCAAAAGGGGGGTATTATTATGATGAGAATATCATATACGTTGGTATTTTTTTTTTAATAGTAGATTTTAAGTAAGCAAAAAAAAAAATATCAAGTTATAAATGAACTGAAAAATTAATGGTGTGGAAAAATGCTTAAGGTTATGATGTGAAAAAGTTACAATGAGATGGATGTGGTGATGAGGTGATGGAAATAAAATAAAAAAATATTAAGAAAGACGACTCATCTTTAATTTTTTTTTAGTAAATGATGCAATTATTTCTTGAAAGGCCATAATTTTGATTTTAAACCAGATTGTTTTGAATTATTATTTTTAGTGTCAGAATTATCTGAACCATCAGATGCAGTGGCTCCATTATTCTCTACAACAGGTATAGCATAACTAGTATCTGTCTTTTCGTTGCTATCAGTATTATTCCAAGAAGAATTATCTAAATCGTCGTCATTATTGTTATCACCTACAAGGTTTGCTAAATCATGACCACCATTAGTGTCTAAATCTGCAGCTTCAATATCACGATCAAAAGTTGAATCTTTTAAATTTTTCTTTGACTTTTTAAACTTATGAGTCTTTGCAATTGGAAGCTTTTCTGTACGTCCTTGAAATGCGAAACCAGGATGAAATACTGTCATACATATTGTTGCAATTGACATCATAACAGCATCCAAGATAATAAAATACCATTCATGAGTAATTAAATTACCTTCCCAACCTTCAGATAATTCAGCTAAACGATAAACACAACGTGTGAAAATTGTTAATACGGCACCTGTCATACCTAGAGTGAAATACTTAAATGGAATTCTACTTGGAATTCTCATATGTCTATATTTTGGTGCATACATATAATCAATTTCTTCTTGTGGAATCTTTAATAAAGACCAGGAAAATTTTGAAACTTTTGCATGTTGTAATCTTGTCTTAATGAAAATTTGATATAAGAAATGAAACCATAAAAACATAAAAATTAACATCGAAAATACTTGTAATGCTAAACCTGCAACAAAGATATGAGTACCATTTTTAGTACTCTCTTCATCTGCTACAGCCATACCTGCTGTACCACCACCTGCGGCTTGAATAGCTAATGAAACAATATCAGATGCAATAAACACATAAGAATAAATAATTGGTGGCCAAAGACCAAATTTTGAACCATAAACTTCTAATAGTTTAGCTAATTGATAATAAATACCACCCATTGTAAAGACAGGTGCAATTGTTAAACAAATCATATTTAATAAAAATGGGTCCATCAATGTTGTATCTGAATGAGACCACGTTCTACCAATATAGCCTAATACTTCTAATATACCTGTACATACAAAAGCTGTTGAAAACCAATATTGTTTATATATTACTTGTACTATTTGACTTGCTAAAAGAATACCCCAAATGACAATCATACAAATATTAAATGCTAAATTTGGTGTCATACCACCATAAAGTGATGCATGATGATGTAAATGTCCTAATGTTGATGTGCTATTTAAAAGTGTAGCAACACTAGAATCGACAGAATATTGATTCATTGTGTTAAAAAAAATTAAAATAAAATAAACAGAAAGCTGACGTTTGCTTGTTCTGTTCTTTATTAAAATAAAATTATATTAATATAAAAATAATAATATATTGTTGACGAATTGTGTGGAATTTATTCGAATAAGTCAATTAAGAATTAATTAATTTGAAATTTTTTTTTGTTTATTATATATATATATATGAAGTAGTTTAATTTAAAAAAGAAAGAGAAAATCGATAGACACATTATCAAAGAGAAAAGAAACTACAAAGGAAGGGGGACAGTTGATGTTAAATTAACTGGAAAAAGAAGGATTATATCAATTCAAAAAGAAAAAGTTTCAGTCACTTTGCTGTCTGGTAAATGTTTGTCTTCTTCTTCCTGTTTAGTATTGCAAGGTGCATTACAAAGATGCATCTAAGGTAAACCTGACATCGGAGAGAGAGAGACGCATTCTATTTACATTACACAACATTTGTAAGGTGATTACTAACAGAGACTTGGGATAACGAAAAAAATGGCTTTATCTTAAAGATGATTCTCTCCTCTTGTTGTTTATCTTCCATGGGAAACAAAAAAACCTGTCGACTCTTTACCTCTATTACTGTTGTTGTGCGTGCACCTGAGGTTCATTGTATAGCTCATCATCGAATTTAATTTAGCCCAGGAAGCAGCAAGGGATCGATCCAAATGGGAAAAAAACCGTTGAATATTCTTGGGATGTTTGGTTAGCAGTTGTTATGTAACGTATTTGTACGGCCCTCTCTGTTACCTCATCGAGGGCTTTTTGTTGTTCTTTGGCCTTCTTTTGAATGAGGGACATTTTTAATGTGGAAAAATAATAACACAGAAAACAAGTCATTTTAGGGTGTGTGTCTGCGGTGTGTTCTGTGGAATGCCTTCCTCCCCCAGATAAAATTCATTGTGTATTTTGAACATGAGACCACCTTGGCAGTTTTCCGGAAGAGTTTTAACTCCGCGGGTTTCTCTTTCTTTCTTTTTGCCTTCGATGTCTGCCGCTATTCGTAGAAGAAGAAGACAGTTTTATGGACCGACGTTCCGGATGTGGAATACAGCTCCGTGCGCGATTATAGCACAACCCATGTAACTTGAACCCAAATTAGGAATATTTGAATTTTCTGTTTCCCGGAAAGCTACATGCCTGCACGTAATAATGTTAGGTGGTTCATACGTACCGTCATCTTAATCCCTGCAGAGAAAGTGACGTAGTGTGTTTGGCTTGGGTATGGAAGGTGTTGTACCGATAAAGCAACTGAGATATGCTTTTTTTTTAATTACGTTTCTTTTCCTTTTGGGCGCGTGAGATACACAGTAGAAGGCGCAGAAGAGAGATTTACATGAGAACAAAAAAGTGGTCAGGGACATCACTGTTCACGAGCTATGGACCCGCGGAACTTCAAGTTTTCTTTTTTAATAACTAACCCTAATATAAGGAAAGATTGGATGGAATATACAAGAAGGTACGTATGCTTTTATTAAGCCAATTTATACATATAAAGAAAGTTATTATCCACGGACAATCAGATATATAGAAGTGTGCGTGAGTATAAGTCCTTGGTTGCTACATGGCAACACCCACGGGAGTTATGCCAAGTTTTATCTATTAATCTGCCAACAAAAGAAAAAATAACTAAGTTAAAAAGAAAAAAGGTGTAGTATGTATTTATAAAATTGTTAATTACAATATAATTGTACCATATATATTTTCTTTCATTATTGAGCTTGATCTTCTAGGAATCTAGATAATACTTCATCATATTTACCGTGTGCAGCAATATTAGCTTTACGCAATAATTTTTCGGCTTCACCATAAGCATTTTCTTGTTCACTTGATTCATTATCACAAACATTACCCAAATCAATATATGCTTCAGCAATCGCAACCCAAGAATCCGTGGAATCTGGATCTTGTGCAAGTCTTAAATATTCTAATGCAGATGCAATAGCTTTAATCGCATTTTCTTGAGCCTCTTGACAGACATGACCATGAGTAATATCTCCATCTTTATCATCACCATATCTTAAATTTAAAAATTGTCTCGATGGAGATGCAGCTTTCTTCAAGTATAATTCTCCAATCATTGTTGCAACATCTCTCTTAAATTTAATATCTTTATCATTTGATGATAATTTTTCATATAATTCGATTAATTGACGTCTTTGCCATTCAAAATGAGAACGAGAATTCAATTTAGTATCGTACAATGGATGAGTCTTTGAAATAATAGCAGTTTCCTCGCCGTCCTCTTCAATATCGTCTTCAGCATCTTCTTCGATATCACTATCTAGACCATCTTCAGCGACAGCAGATGAACTATTAAAATGACCTACAAGCTCTAATAAAGTATTCAATTCATTTAAAACAGAATATGTCATTTTAATATCTTTATCATATATTGAAAATTTTGACATTGCATCATTTAATAAATTTTCAATTGCCCATTTCTTTTCAGATTCTTGACTTTCAGGTTTTAATTGTGACATATATTCAGTAATAATTCTAGTAAAACATAAATTAGCAAATGTAAGTCCTAATAATTTATTTTCAGGATCTTGTTTAAAACCTCTTTCAAGAACTTCTAATGCGCGTTCGAATAATTCATGCATTTCTGGATGATATCCATCTTCAGTGTAGATCGATTCAACTAAAGCGAATGCAAAGATAGCTAAATATTCAGTATCCAATTGGGTACCTTCTTTATCACTCTTAATCAATAAGCCATTACATTCATTAATAACACCATTCAATAGTGGTTCCGATTGTCTTTCTTCATGAAAATATCTTTTCCACATAGCACGTAATTGAACTAATTCATTCTCTGGGTCTTCACCTTCTTCAACTTCCAAAGTCAATTGTGGAGTACCTTCTTTACTGCTAGCATTGCTATTAGAGGTGCCTGCACCTTCATTGTTTTGATCTTTCTTGACCCTTTTAGCTTTGTTACTCTTCGATAACCCAAGTGGTCTCTTTGCCATTGTTGCGTTTTTTTTATTTTATCGTGTCCTGTCCTGTCCTGTGAGAGTTCTGGAAACCTACCGTATATATTGCCAACTAATAACAATACCGACCTTCTCTACTTCGTTCTTGGAAACAGTTCGTCTATATATATGTAGATCCATGCAATCACCAGGGCATCTACGAAAAAAATTTTCATTCTTGTTTCGTAGTTTTTGAACTTGTGTAGTTTCTCTCTGTCTCGATCTTCGGACCGTTAAAAAGCGGAAAAATAATTTTTTGCTGAAAATAAAATTTTGTTTTGGCGGAAGGCGTTAATAATAACACGGCGCTATCAATGTTCTCACTAATTAAGTAGTTTGAAAGATGACATTAGGATAAACAGTATTTTTTGAGTATTATTTAATTAATATTGAATTATATACTTCCACATATAGATATATATATAATATATATAATATCCTGATTGTATAATAATAATATAACATATTTTTGATTCCGAAGTGAAAGGAGACCGAAAGTTAGAATGATCCAAACGTGATTCTCAAGATGAGACTGAGTCACGGCGACGTCAGCTTGCTTTGCTTATTTGCTGTTTGGGAAATGATATTTGTATATGTGGATATACTAAGTGTGTCAGCGAGACAACTTCATCTCTGATATATGTATCTTTTTTCTCTTATTAACAAGGGTATTATTTTGTAATTGATATTCCTTCCTTTTTTTTGTTTTCTTGATTGCGTCGGGGTACGTATATTTCTTTTATATTTGAATCTTTGGTATTATTGTTTGTTCTTTATCTAATTTATCTGCATTTCTCTTATGCATTTGTTCTTTACAACTATCTAATCCGGTACATTTATGATTTTCCATAATTCTATGTTTTGAACAATAATGACCATGACAGAAATTGCAATCTCCAATGAATTTTAATGCAGCATTTGAACAATTATCCATAAAACAAATATTCTTTCTCTTTTTCTTATTGGCATTCTTTTTAATTATTCTCTTCGCACTCGAATTACTTGAATTTAAAGTTGGTGAGTTGTTTTCAGTGGATACTATAATATTCTCCTTTGGAGTTTGTTGTTTGATGATTTCTTGTTGTTTTTCAGACATTTTAGTAGATAATAATAATTAGATAGTGGGTTATGTTGTTTAAAAATTAATAAGTAGCAATAGTTCAGCACGATGTGTATCTAATAAAAAGCAAATAGACAGTATAGTGATTTTTATTTTCAGTTAATATATATGTGTGTGTGTGTGTATATATATTCAAACAAAGAATCTTTTGACAGTTTCTGTTTCATGTCTTGAAAGAGTTTTTACTTATGTATACATTAATTTGCCACCCTTTCCCCTTTTATATATCACTTGTTGGCCCTGCCACTCTCTCTGATCCTAACCGTTTTACCTTCTCTCCTCCCGCCCCCCTCCTACCCGCTCTCCGCCATACAACAAGATTTGCCACCGCAAAAGGGATTCAGATAACAAAAATGCAAAATTCGCTGTGTGTCTTCTCTATTTACGCTTTGGATTTGGAACTGAACTGTGCTGCACACGCGCCTCGCTTTGCAACCTCACGTTATTTTCTGTTAGAGGGAATGCATTGAGCAAAATAGCATGATGACGATCTCTCTGTTCAACAATGTGATAAAGATTACTCATAGGTGAGTTTCCCAAAAACATGGGGTGTATGTGTATGTGTTTTATAAGGATCAGGTTGTTTGGTTTCTGAGAAACAGGTAAAACGTATATAGTGTTTCTGCTTGTCTCGTGATAGCGTATTAAGAATGTATTTCTAGATATATATGTTTCAGCTAAATAAGACTAATCGACAGCATGTATAGTGGTATATTATTTTGTAGTAAAATAGTTCAACTTTTTTCTACTTTAGGCAAATGTGATATATAACATGTTTTACTAGTTATTTATCTATCTATTTACCTATTTATTTGTATGCATGGATGTAAAATTGAAATGAGCCAAAAAAAAAAGGAGTTTTGATTAATTGGCTTGAGATGTAACTCTGGTATTCTCTTCTTCTTCTTGTTCTTCTTCTTCATCGTCGTCGTCGTCGTCGTCGTCGTCATCATCATCATCATCGTCGTCATCGTCATCATCATCATCATCATCATCCTCGGTTTCAGTTTCATTATGCTTTCTTTCTTGTTTCTTCTTTTCTTCTTCTTCTTCATCATCATCTTCCTCCTCTTCACTATCATCTTCATCTTCGTCTTCATCATCCTTTGGATATCCACCAAGTTTCATAACAATTTTATCAACAATTTCATTAGCATCCATCATGCCTCCAAGACCAATATCACCGTTGATCCCCATAACTTTTTCACTTGGTTGAAATACAGTAATCCATGGCATTTCATCTTTAATGATGTTCAATTGTTTCTTTGTCATCACTGAATTATATATACTACTAACCATTGATGGTGCTAAAAAAATTGGGAAACTTGGATTCCATGCACGAATAACACTTGTTAATAAATTATCACAAAGGCCTAATGCAATCTTAGACAATGTATTTGCTGTTAATGGTGCAACTACTAAAATATCTGCCCATCTTCTTAATTCAATATGTAAAACTGGATCGGTACGTTGTTTCCATGCATCCCATTCATCTTGATCTCTCCATATTTGAATATGTGGTGGTAATTCAATTTGTTGAAAGACTGTCTTATTTTTATTACAATTGTTAATATCAACTCCACTAGTTATATTTGGCGCATTTTGATCTAAAGGCGTACTAGTTTGAGATATGCTATTGTCATTATTTGTAACGTTGTCAACATTAGTTATAGTGGTTAATGGAATTGTATTACTTCTCTCTAACATGACATTATTCATTACGATATCTCCATTAGCATTGGTTATTACTTGATTTAAATTTCTTTTATTAATTTTCTTCATATATCTTTGTGTGAAAAATTTAGTAGCAGATTCAGTTAAAATTACTTGAATTACAATACGATCTTTACCATATATTTCTTCTAATTTTTTTATCATTGGTTTAATCTTAAATACTGATAACGATCCTGTCGCACCAAATAATACGTGTAATTTACCATCGTCCTGAGGTAAACGGGGGTCGACGTTTTTACCAGTTTCTCTCTTAGGTATATTTAAAGATAGTGGATGAGTAGCAACATTATTACCACCATTAATCAATGAAGATGATGGTGTTCTGGATAATGCCGTTTGAGAGTTGTTTTGACTTGAGATAATGGGTTTCCCATCTGTCGACTTACTTGTTTTAGAAGAAACAGATATTGGATTCGTATTTGTTGTTGCAGTAGTAGTAGTCTCAGTGGTAAAGGGTTTGTCCTCTAATACAGACTCCAACGATTTTAACCCACCTGAATTACTTACAGTATAATTGCCATTACTATTTAGTCTTGTCGGATTGGAATTGGTATTGGTATTGGTATCATTTATTATACTTCCAATACTCTTCGCACCCATTGAACCGATTGTAACACTCCCACTATGAGTGCTACTATTTGAACATGATCTTGACCTATTGTTGATGCTTGAATTTGGGTTATGTAATGGATCTTCAACGAAAAAATGTGGGTGTTCTTTACTTTGTTGTTTAATATCTGAAAAATTTAACATTAAATTGTTATGAATTCCATTTTCTGAAGTTGATAGGATTGATGAGGGACTAGATATCGTTAAGGGAGCATCTTGATCAAACAAGACTTTAGTATTTATATTTTTCAAATTTTTTTTGTTACCTAAACTAGTATTACTATCATTTCTTTTTATTGGATTATTATTAGCAATATTATTCCTGTTAGGGTCTTCGATTATTTTTATCGTAGTGCCTTCTTTAATAGGTTTCATTGTGGATGGTGATTTTATTATTCCTTGTACTTCTCCCGAACCTGACCTTGTACCATTTATCGGTATTTTGATTCCTTGTGTTTCTGTTGGCGACGTTACATTTACACTACCAGATGGAGATGTATTATTAAGACTATCATTAATTCCAATTTGTGATTGTGATGGTTTAACACTTGAATCACTAAATGTTACCGCAGGGATTCTCTTTAAACCAGTCTCAGGAGTATTATTTACAACGGCACCTGAAGTACCACTTATATTCATAATAGATTTAGTTTGTGAAGGGGTAGGACTCACAGAGTTTCTTAATATTGGAGACGCTAGTATTGATGTAGAGTCATTATCTTTATTATTAGTGGAAGGGTTACCAGAATTATTTTTTATGTCATTATTAGGGAGACCACCTCTCTGTAATATATTCCCATCGGGATTAAGTTGTTTAGCGGCAGATGAAAATTTTGGAGAGATCATCTTATATTAAATTAAAAGGGTATATGTATGTCTTTTCACTTAGTTTTGTTACTAATTACTGATTATTGAAACTTACGACGTATTAACCTTTCCCTCACTCGTTTTCTTCGATAAAGGATGGACTTTTTAAAAATCTATACCTTACGTAATATAATAAATTTCGAAACAAATGGCGTTCTATTGATACAAACCAACACTTTAAAAATTCCCAAAACACAACAAAAAATAATATTTGAAAGTGTGCAATAATAATTATGATAATAACGAGATAACTATTAAAATTTATCAAATCAAAATAATCGGTATTTCAGAGATGGCATCGCAATTTAGTTTAGGAAATTTTATTCAAGTTCCATCAGATGAGTTACTACCTCTTGTAGAGATTTCAATGAAAGAAAGAAAGAAAAAAAATTTGGCACATCGTCTGGGGGCCAGTCTCTCACACTGCGAGAGAGACAGAAATTTCCATAAAAAACGCATCGCAAAAAAAAAATAATTTTTTGGAAATTTTTTTTTTGGAAATTTTGGGATTTCGCAGTGAGAGAGGGTAAATGACTAAGAGATTTTAGATGTCATTAAATAAAGTTGATTAATTACATAAGTTTTGCAATAATATATATTACTATTGAAGCAGTTACTTACTATTAAATATTATGTTGTTAGTGTTACAATTGTCCTTTTGTTTTGTTTGAGTGGGGGAGGGGGTGGAAGTACAGCTTATTCTTCGTAGAGGCTGGTGTCATCAAATGGGTTGTCGAGTTGTCTCTCTTGAATACTTAACTTGAACTTACCGTCGGGGGATTGAGAGAGTTGGTAGACACTGTGATCAGGTTCACGGTATGGACTACGTAGTTTTGCAGTTATGTCCTGTTGTGGTTGTGGATCTGATGGAATTCTTCCTAGTTGTGAGTTTTCTTTTTCTTGTAATTGTGATATATTATTTGCAATATTTCTTCTTGTTACAGGTTTGTTAAGAGTAGGAATACGTGATATCTTAATATTCGATATATTGTTTATTTTGCTATTACTGAGTGGGAATAATTGTGTTGGTCTTATACCATGACTAGAACCCGTTTGTTGGGGCATATTTTTCAAAGTTGGTGTAGAAAATTTATTTAATGATACATTTGATGATGAATCTCTTATCATTGAAGGTCTTGTATTTCCAGGCGTTGAAAGTGGTTTCTTCACTATTTTACTTGGTGCAAGTAATCGTCTTTCATTAACTGCTTCTTTGTTATAGGTTACAATGTCTTGTTCGTAGAATTTTGGTAATTTAGATTCTTCTGCAAGTAACCTTGAATTTTTAACTAAATCAGATTCCGTTAAATTAGATTTATATCTTATTGGAGATATTTTCCTTTGAATAGTATTATTGTTACTGTTATTGTTATTGTTGTTTTTTGTCCTCATCTCATCTGAATAATAACGTCTAGCTACTCTAAAGGATTTGCTATCAATTGATTTTGTCATTGGTGCAGATTGACTAGATCCAATGGTAGATTTTGAATTTATAGATGAATTCGAGACAATTCTTTCTTTACGAATCTTCGATATACGTTCCCCCATAATACGTCTACTTCTTGGATATTTTTGAACAAAGGATTCTTCTTCATCTAGCACAATGTCCAGCATGCGTTGATTCTTATACAAGAATGGTCTTTGGAAAACATCTTCAGATTCTAATAATTTTTTTGATAATTCAGCCATTACTCTTGGGAAATGTCTTGTTAATCTCTTTCTAGTATTTTCTTCCTTTAAGAGAATCTTATGAGAATTTCTCGAGAGAAGTCTAGATGAATCCTTAGAACTGTTGTCAAGGAATATTTCATCCTCTTGTAAAGAATGGAATTCATCGATTAATTTTAATATAGGTTTATAAATTTCCATCTTTTCATTTAATTCTTTGATTTCAGAAGTACAAATCGCTAATAAATTTTCATCATATTGAATATTTTGAAGAGGTTCGAATTGACAATTAAATTTTTGATAAAAATCTTCTCTATGTTGTTCTTCAATACTCAATGTATCCCATAATCCAGTAATATCGTCTAAAGCTTGGTTAATCAATTGTTTTATTTGATGTTTCTTTTCTTGTTCTAGTTTATCAGTTTCTATATTTAGATTAACAAAGACTTGAGTAGAAAGACCAGTGTTCTGTTTCATGAAATCTTGAATATATGTCTCAGGTATCTTTAATAAAGACCATAAAGTTCTACATTTGGTAATCAACATTTTTTTTTCACTCAATCTATTCGTCTTAGTGGTAACATATTTATGGGTTATCAATTGCAATATATCTAGTTGTTCATTGCTAATACTAGTATTCGAATCTAATCTCTTGATATTTTGTAAATTACCATTTTCTACAATTTCAATACTAGTCTTAAGGGTATTCCATTCATGAGAATGTAAATCTTCCTCTGGATTTATTTGTAATTCATTTACCAAAGTACTTATTTCAGTCACCATTTCATTATTATGTTGCAATCTCAATTTAAATTCTGTTTCATATATTTCAATTGCAGAAGTAAGACTCTTTATTCGGTTAGTTGAGATATCTGTACAATAATGGCCATCTAAAAGAATCTTCTTATATTGTTTCAGTAATTGTGATATATTATCTGTATTTGTTTGAAAGTCCTTTAAATTCATCAAATCCTTCAAGAGAGATTCAACTTCTTTTAAGGATGGTAAATTTGCAATTGTATTTTTAACAGATTCCTCGGGCATTAAATTATCATTATTAACAGATCGTATCAATTTTTGTAATGTTACAGAATATTGTAAGAATGTAATCAATTTGGGTATATACTTACCTAACGTAAATATTTTAGCAGTTTCAAGTGCAAGTTTTTTATTAAGCAGTGTCAATGGTTTTTTAGGTGATTGAGGAACATTTTTATTCGATTGTTTCAAAATGGCATTCCTTATGTATAGATCTGGGATTGTCTCAATGCCACTGTTATCACCCAATATAATTAGAATTTTATTTATTATCTCTTGATCTAAATCGTTACTGGAAGATAGTTCTTTCATTTCAAATTCTGCCTCCTCATAAAATTTCTCTAGAAGGGATGATAAATCACGGAATATTGTCTTTTCCTTAGTTGTAATAACAGAACTAGAGTAACCTATCTTATGATATATTATATTCAGATTCTCCAGAAGAGTTGTCAATTGAGATGAGATACCGTTAAATTTTTCTTGATATATTGTTTCATGAGTTGGAGAATAATTATTTAAGGAATTGATCTTGGCATTTATATCTTTAGGTTTCCTTCGGCTAGATGAAAGTAATGGGTTCCTAGAAGGAGAATAATTTTCAGGGAGTCTAATTGGTGTCAAAGTCATGAACTCCTTTGACGGGCTAGCATTTGTTTGGCTTGTATGTGTCACAACAGGCGTTCGTGAACCCATTGTCGATAATGTCGTTTCTATTGAGGACTCCGTTGAGGTATCATTTGCGTGAGATATCTCAACACCAGTATCCGTCTCTGTGGATTGTTCTAGGTTTGATGGTGATGATTTTTGTATCGTATCCATCGTTATATGGTTCTATATTACAAAACAGAAATGAATTATTCAATATTAAACTTCTGTTTTTATTTCTTATTTCTTTTGTTTTACAGTTGGTTCGTGAAAGTTTTTAACATATAAAAAGACCAAAAATAATATAAATGTCAATTGATAAACAAATTTTCTGTATCCTATAGAATATAATTAACCTTTTTGGTGTTTTTCGGTCTCTTGCATCGAAACTTCATGTAAGTGATGATGTTAAAGGATGTGTCTGTATCTCTCCCTCTATTTGTTTCTTTTCACTATTTTCGCAAACTGATGAGGCTCTCTCTTTATTTTTTTGTTGACAAATTTCCGTTTTCGGTATATTGATAAACAGTTACCCGGATTTTTATAAAAGTTCATTTAAGAGTAGATTTTGGTGATTTAACAGTCATGATAAATAACTAATGATAACGGGGGAGGGGTGGGTTGGTTGTTTTTGTTTTAATTGATGATCAAGGTTTAATGCAGTTGTTGCTAATTTTTGCTAATTTTTTTGGTGTTTTTATCAGATAAAAGTGAGTGATTTGACAAGGTGTTTGCCAAGTTAATGCCATTGAAAATAAGAGACTTTATAAGGTTATAGTAACATTATCTGTAGTTTGAGGTAATTAAAATAGAGTAATATACCGAGTCAATGAAAGAAATTAAAATTTGTTTACTAGATTATATATATTTTTACATTTTTGAAAATTTTAAACTGTTACTTTTTTTTAGAATTCCATTTGAATTTAAATTATTTGTTCCTAAATATAAATAAAAAGTTGAACAAATCAAGGACCGACTCTTGATTTTTTAATTTTGCAGTAACTATTATTTATACGAGCCATTATCACATCATGTAAAGCAACATTGCCACTAATAATCCTAGATTTAAGTGTCTTTTCTATTTTTATGTCACTACTTCTATTATGGTTCTTTGCCCCCTCCGCCAAATACATCTTGAAAAATTTCTTGACGGGGATGACATTATCCTTGAAGGTCAGGACCCCAGTTATTAAGTTGAACATAAAAAAGTAGATCTTCTTAGAGGATGTATAAATATTTGGTTTATATTCGCTATCACTGATAAGGTAAACGAAATACACTACTGATATAATGTCTAATAATCAATCAATTAATTACGATTTAAATGAGCCGCTAACATCGTCGGCGGCACCTCTAACGGATTCTACTATAACTATACGTATTATCAAATCATTCCCATATAGGAATGTCAGAAACATAATCTTGAGGGATTACGATTTGAAAAACAAGACCGGTAACGACTTATTCAATGATTGTATGAAACATATCCAAACAGACGGTGCATTCAGACCATTCAGAACTGTTAAATATAACAAGATGAAAATTTATACTCATGCGCATGGTTCAAAGACTGTGAATCTGGTGATTAATTTTAACCATGACGATGATTGGATCATTGATATTTCAGACACTAATGGGAAAAAACTATGTGAGTATGATATTGAAAATGAAACAGAGATTTCTTTGTACAACGAAGAGGACTATATCGCTTACAAGGCTAACCCAGTTGAGAAATGGTAAAAACAGTCATTTCTTTCCATTGAGCTTTTTATGTCTACTTCATAATAATGCAAATAATAAGTAAGTAATTACTACAGAAAAAAAATTTGTATAAGTATATGTAAATATAATATCATTAATGTCATTTAATTAGTTGAGACTAGGTAACTTACTAGTTGACCGACAAATTGTATAGAGGCAAGACTAGTTGGTTGTGTATCCTCATCAATACCTCTTCTTGCAATAATACTACCATGTGCATTAAGTGCCTTAACATAGATTGGAACTCTGATCCATTCTAAACTGGAAAGATTTTCTAATATTGTCATTCTTTTATTATCAAAAGGGAGATCATTGAAACTTTTATACCAAGTATTCTTTTCACTAACAATACTGGAATATTTTTGAATAAATGCATCCCATTTATCATCTTCTGATTTAATACCATTAGAAATTTTACTCGTTGATTGAACATAAGTTTCCCCGCTTTGTATAAAGTCACCATCTTCCTCCAAATCATCATTTCCAGATTCGTTTTCTTTTAAAATTGATTCATACGTAGTACTAACATACGCTTCCAATCTATCACTAATCCCAACCTTTTCGCGAAACTTATTTGGTAAATTTCCATCTCTAATCATCTTTCTATATTTAATGGTAGCAAAATGTCTATATATGGTACCTGATATATTTACCAGTAATGCAATTGGGAAAATTACTAGGAATAAACAAGGTAATAACACATAAAGTTTTAATTTCGCATTTAATGATAGTGATTTCTCTTCCACAATATGTTTATTCTTAGGATCCAACTTAGTCAAATCAACAATTTTTGGTAAACTAAAACCGTAACCATTTCCTGGAATATTAGTCTCGAATGTATAATTCACGCTATTTTGAGTATCAATAAAAGGATCATGATTTGTTATAAAGGCTGTGTAGAATGCAACAGTTCTATCATTCTTAACATTTGCACAAACAGTTCTATATTTAAATTTTGCTAGTCCATCAATGAACTCACCTTCACTCAATGTAATTAAAATATCATTGTATCGATTAGCAATAAAAAGTTCTCTACCACTTTTCCCTAAGGCATTCGATCCAAGAATAGTCATTGTTGGATCTAAAATTGTTCTAAGTATACTCTTTGATGGATTAAAGAATCGTATCCCGAGATGCGGACTTGCCATTGTTAAGAATAATACAGGTTCAATACCAGAAAAATATTCTTGACATTCTGTAAACATCTTACCAACAACAAATCTGGCCACCAAACCACCGAGTGAATATCCAATTATACTAATTCGTGTAATACGTTTATGATCGGAACATTCTTTTAGATCATTATGCCTTCTAATATATTGACAAATCTCAAGGAGCGCTCTATAACCTAGCACCTCAATACCATCAAAAGTTTTAAATTTAGAGTTTTGAGATGGTAATAAAAAAATTGCATTTTCGCTTGGATCGATATACTGCTGGAAACTTTCTCTAAGGGATCCCATGTGTTGAGGAGTTCCCCATAACCCATGTATGAGAACGAAGAGATGACTACCTTGTTTAGATGACATAAAAACAGAAAGTAAAAACAACAACAAATGCAGGCACACACACCAATTAAAATATATATCTTTTAAATATATCTATTTAATTATCACTTATCAGATATTTAGCAACCAATTGAAACAAGCTTATTTTAATGTTCTGCCAGTTTGCTAGAAGTGATAAACTAGTTTAATGCTTATTTATATATATATTCATATTCGGACCAGGTGGCGTAGTGCATGGAAATCTATTCGGCCGAATCCCATAAAAATTCCACACAGATAAATAATTTTTCACTGAGAGGAAGTAAAGCCAGAAGTTCGGAGATAAGTTCCGCGGAATTATTATCAATTTGCAAAGAACCTTGCCTTAATTCAATATACGGCAAATAAGTTATTCCAGCAAGAACGATATTATGACTTCGTGAACAGTCTTAACAATGTTTCTACAGTTTCTTGTAACTCCTCGAAAGGAATATCTGGTTGTTGACCTCTGTTCATCTCTTTTAATTCATTCCGATGTGTAAATTCTGATGCGTCAAAAGTCATTTTATATAGTCGTTGAAATGATGATTGAGTATTTGGGATACCTCTGAGTCTTAACCCACCAAGGATTAATTTCGACAAAGTTTCATTGAATTGTAATTTACGATCATTAATACGAACATTCTTCGCAACTTCATTATTTGCAGAATTGATCCTATTTTGAGATTTTTTCAATATATCATCGATACTAGATTCTCTTCCCATATGACTATTATTCTTTATAGAGTCATGGATCTGAGTATCAATCATGTTTTTTCGTGATAGATCTAACATAAAACATTTCACAAAGTTATCCTCATTCAATTCACTATCCTCATCCCTATAAAATATCCACAATCCACTACTATCAGTAGCTGTATCTTGAGATGGAAAACTAATAACTATACCTCTCCTACTGTCTCTTAATTTAGAATTGAAATATGCGTTGGTTGCTTTACTTGTAGTGAAACATATATGTGTTGAATTATTAGATGAGACATTTGGACGTAACCACAATGGTAACATATTAAGATCTACATATTGCATAAATCGACCACTATGAGACCAAATCGAGACATTATCATTCTGGTGCTCATCCTTTAAAGTATCATTGTTTGTCCATATTTGCACATCCTTGACCACTATATCAGTGTGTCGTTCTCCTAGATCGAATTTCAAAACACCAACTTGTCTTAACATCGATGAACGAAAGGGTATTTTTACAAAAAAAAAAGGATTTTTTCAATGATTACCCACTATAAACTACCATTGATCGACTCAATATATAATATATGGTATACTGTTTAGCAGAATTCGTTCGTGATGAGCTTTGCTAGTCTTAATACTTTCAATAAATACTGTCATTCACAGGTAAATTAACCTCGAATTTAGCACAGCCAGACAAACAAAACAAATATTTATACAGCGAGAAGAAAACGACAGTGCCCAGCGCAGAGTTAGAGAGACCAAAAGCGAAAGGAAAAGCAAAAAAAAAAATAATAAAAATTTAAAGAAAGGGCAAAATGAGAGGGGGAAAGGCATACAAGAGAACACAGACAACAGATCAAGATACAAGGTGTATAGGGATATAATTCTAATCGGAACTGATTTCTCGAGGTAGGATTAAGGATTGATTGTGGTCAGTGTGATAGTTTTATACTGTTTTTGTTACTTTTTCGTATTGGTGAAAGAACAGAAATATAATTCATATACATAAATATAAATACTGAGATAGTATTGATTGGCTTTATTAAAGAAAGATGCCATTACCTGCTTCGATGTTAAACCAGAAATCCAAGCACGTTTACTCTGTTGCTAAAGTGTATTCGGATGCTTGTGAAAAGAGGCCGCAAGAATACTGGGATTATGAACAAGGTGTTACTATTGATTGGGGGAAGATATACAACTATGAGATCATTAATAAGATTGGTCGTGGTAAATATTCAGAAGTCTTTAGTGGGAAATGTGTTACTAATGACAAACCATGTGTTATTAAAGTATTGAAACCTGTTAAGATGAAGAAAATATTTCGTGAATTAAAAATTTTAACGAATTTAACAGGTGGACCAAATGTAGTGGCATTATATGATATTGTTCAAGATAAAGATTCTAAAATTCCTGCATTAATATTTGAAGAAGTTAAAAATGTTGATTTTAGAACTTTATATCCAACTTTTAAATTAACTGATATTCAATATTATTTTACACAATTATTAATCGCTTTAGATTATTGTCATTCAATGGGTATTATGCATAGAGATGTTAAACCTCAAAATGTAATGATCGATCCAATTGAACGTAAGTTAAGATTAATCGATTGGGGTCTAGCAGAATTCTATCACCCTGGTGTTGATTATAATGTTCGTGTTGCATCTCGTTACCACAAGGGCCCAGAACTTTTAGTGAATTTGAATCAATATGATTATTCTTTAGATCTTTGGTCTGTTGGATGTATGCTTGCTGCTATAGTATTTAAAAAAGAACCATTCTTTAAAGGTTCAACTAATCCAGATCAATTGGTTAAAATTGCAGCTGTTCTTGGAACAAAAGAAATGTTACAATATTTAGCTAAATATAATTTAGATTTGCCATCGGAGTATGATAAGATTATGAAAGATTTTACTAAGAAGCCTTGGAGTCATTTCATCACATCTGAAACTACATTAGCAGTTCCAGAAATGGTTGATCTAATTGATAATTTATTAAGATATGATCATCAAGAAAGATTGACTGCTAGGGAGACAATGAATCATACATTTTTCAATACTAAATATGATTGAAAAAAGAAAAAATTAAGCAACAAAAAAAAGTGAAATATATATATATATATATGTATAAGTATAAATTATATATATAACTAATTGTAAAAAGAATAACAATAATAAACATCGAAAGATGCGTATTAATTAAATGTGCACATTACTTTGATAGAGTTTATTATTTGCAAAGGAATAAAAAAAAGAAGAAATACTGAAGTTAAATGATTAGGGACATAAAATTAGTAAAAAGTATTGAATGTATGTAAATATATGGTTATATAAATAAAAAGATAAAAAATAAAAGGATATATTATGCAATTATAAATTGTTTTTGTTCTTGTCGGTATTAGTCGTTGGAAAGTTATTTCATGAGAATGTAATAATTAAATTAATAGTTGTTGTAATAATAATAATACGAATATGTGCGTTTGAGATTATTTACTTCTTTTTTTTTATTATTTTTAAAAAAAGAAGAGTTAGAGGGAATGTGTATGTATGGATGTCATTAAAGAATTATGCCTGTTTTATATGTATCTATCGGGTAGCGAATGTAATAGGTTCAATGGCGTACAGCTGTACGTACATGGTTATGAGTATGATGATGGTGATGATGGTGGTGATGGTGATGGCTAGAGGAATCTGATTGTTGGTCATTAAAAGTAGTAATATAATTTTCATCGTCATCGTCATCAAATAATAATGTATTTTGTTCTGCTTTTGAATTAAAATCATAATAATGATAAGATCCTGAATTGTGATGTAATGAAGTTGTATATGAATCCATTTGAGAATCTATATCATTAATTTTAATATCAGACTCAATAAATTGGCCTCTTTGATTAATATCTCTTCTATGAACCAAAGAATTGAATTTCAAACTTTTCTTCATAGAAGAAGAAGTATTATTATTCGTATGATTAGTCTTTAGAATTGAAGGAGAATCAAAAATCGAAGAAGTTTGAGATTCAACTGAAGAAGAGTAACTATCATAAGAAGAAGAATAATCTAAATTTGTATCAGAATGAACACTTTTAATTTCATCTGAATCTTGTGAACTAAATGAAGGAATTTCGACAGTTTTAGATTCTTCTTGTTTTTGTTGATCTATGTCCTTTGATAGAGAAGGACCATATAATACAGTAACATCAGTTTCTTTATTCCAATTAATCACTAAAGGATCAAGTTTTTTATCTTGCAAATGAAATTCATGAATAGCCCAACGTCTCCAAAGACAATGGTGTAATCTTTTCAAATACATCGAATAATCATCGTCATCTTCTGATGAACATGATGGCAAACGTAACAATTTATGTTTTCTCATTTTTAATAATAAAGCCCAAGTTTCTGACATTTCTAATTTATTGTAATCGAAACTATGATGAAAATAATCAACTGAAGCTCTTGTATAATTTGTTACGTTGTCTAACAACATTAAATTTTGATCAGAAATGATACTATCGTCCAAACTAGTCATTTTTTTTTCTGTTTAAAAATAATATAAATATGCTATTGTTGTATTTTTACCTTATTTTCTTTGGTAATATGCTGGTATACAGACTAAAATTCTGAAGACTTATTAAAAACTAATAATTAATTCTATAGGTAAAAAAAAAAAGAGAGGGAAACTTGTAAGTTATTTTTTTAAAAGATTCTTACAATCAAGACTAATATTTTATTTGATATTTATCTCTTTGCTTATATAATGGAGGGAGGTAAAACGTATGATGATCAACAAGGTTCCAGATAAGAAAGAGTTTTCGAAGGTTTTCCTCTATCTTAGGCAAGGACTAACCCCAAGCAGAGAAAAAAAAAAGAAATCGGTGGAAGAACCTGTGATGGCAACTGCAAAAAAGCAACCACCGCCAGGGGGAGGGGGTGCCACCCTGTGCTGCGGCGGTATCTGGCCAGAAAACCAGGCAGTCCTTCACCTTCTTTGATAACGCGGGGGTGGTGGGCCGATAGCCAGAAAAGAAACTAAAAAGTATTGTTTGCGGGGGTGTCGGTGCGGCGTGTTCTGTGTCCGCGTGGTTGGCTTCACATATTTTGGCGGGCGGTCGCCCCCCCAAAAGAAAATGGAAAACAGCGAAAAACAGCAAAAAACACGCCCGGAACAACTTCTTTGAGATGCCGGTGCGGCCAATTTGTGTGGGGTGCGCTAACTATCACAAACAGAGAGAGAAACAGCTTATTATTGCTCGCTGAACGGTGTGCTGTCTACCGACACGAGAAGATTTTGTGTGCTAGATGACGGTAAATACAATAGCTGAAAGCGATCAGGATATTAGAATGTTGATACTGTTAGGTAAGGGAGAGCTGAGCAATAATCAAGTGGGGGGAGTGTGTATAAACATGGATAGTGTGATTTATAATCATGTTACCTCTATTGTTTTATAGGAATGATGTGGTTGTGTGACACCCTCGTGCGTTGTGATGTTAATGTTATTGGACTGGAAACATCCCTACACCCGCAAGTTCAAATATTCTATTTTCTTTTTGGTTTCGCCGAACGCAAAAAAATAGTAAATTGAAATTTCTTTCATTTGTATGAAGCGGAAGCGGTGCGGATGGGTAGAGTTCTCTCTTTCCTTTTTTCTTCGTGCGAAGTGGGTTGAAACAGTTTTTTTTCTATTAGGGCATTCTTGACAGAGAGAGAGAGAGAGAGAGAGAGAGACAGAATTTGGGAAATTTTTCAATCTGCATGAAAATTTTTTTTTTTTCCAACTTGTTGTAAATTATTTTCAAAAATCTGAAAGATGATATATATATTTAAGAGCAAAATTTTCATATATTTCAATTATTGATGGCTTTATAAATTTCTTATTGTTTACACATAGCTATTTTATTTTTGTTTATTTGTTTTCAATTTAAGAAACTACAACACATTTATATAAGTACAGTACACAATGTCTCACAGAAAGTACGAAGCTCCACGTCACGGTCATTTAGGTTTCCTACCAAGAAAGAGAGCCGCCTCCATCAGAGGTAAGGTTCACTCTTTCCCAAAGGATGATCAAACTAAGCCAGTTGCTCTAACCTCTTTCTTAGGTTACAAGGCCGGTATGACCACTATCGTCAGAGATCTAGACAGACCAGGTTCCAAATTCCACAAGAGAGAAATTGTCGAAGCTGTCACTGTCGTTGATACTCCAGCTGTCGTCGTTGTTGGTGTTGTCGGTTACGTCGAAACCCCAAGAGGTCTAAGATCCCTAACCACTGTCTGGGCTGAACATTTGTCCGATGAAGTTAAGAGAAGATTCTACAAGAACTGGTTCAAGTCTAAGAAGAAGGCTTTCTCTAAGTACTCTACCAAGTACGCTCAAGATGGTGCTGCCATTGAAAAGGAACTTGCTAGATTAAAGAAGTACGCTTCTGTCGTTAGAGTTCTAGTTCACACTCAAGTCAGAAAGACCCCATTAGCTCAAAAGAAGGCTCATCTAGCTGAAATTCAATTGAATGGTGGTTCCGTTTCCGAAAAGGTTGACTGGGCTAGAGAACATTTCGAAAAGACTGTTTCTGTTGACTCTGTCTTTGAACACAACGAAATGATCGATGTTGTCGCTGTCACCAAGGGTCACGGTTTCGAAGGTGTTACCCACAGATGGGGTACCAAGAGACTACCAAGAAAGACTCATAGAGGTCTAAGAAAGGTTGCTTGTATTGGTCCATGGCATCCAGCCCACGTTATGTGGTCTGTTGCCCGTGCTGGTCAAAACGGTTACCATCACAGAACTTCCATCAACCACAAGGTTTACAGAATCGGTAAGGCTGGTGATGAAGGTAATGCTTCTACTGAATTCGACAGAACTAAGAAGACTATCAACCCAATGGGTGGTTTCGTTCACTACGGTAACGTTAACAACGATTTCGTTATGGTTAAGGGTTCTATCCCAGGTACCAGAAAGAGAGTTGTTACTCTAAGAAAGTCCCTATACACTAACACTTCCAGAAAGGCTCTAGAAGAAGTTACTCTAAAGTGGATTGACACTGCTTCCAAGTTCGGTAAGGGTAGATTCCAAACCCCAGCTGAAAAGCACGCTTTCATGGGTACTCTAAAGAAGGACTTATAAATATAATATAACATATATATGTATATTTAAAATATTTCTTTAATCTCCTATAAAAAAAAATAAATTTTTTCTTTTTTTATTAATATGAAATTTCATTCATCTATAATGCATTATTAGTTTTATATGAATATATATATATTTGTATGTATGTATTTTTTGTTTTCAAATATAGTGATATATGATGATTAATTTCTATGTTGTTTAATGTTCTGTCGGCTTTTAGTCTTCCATTCCTTTTGACATTTAGTACTACAAAACCACTTACCTTTAGGTGGTTTAGTAATTCCTACACAAGAATAATGAAACCATTCTCTGGGACAATTATCGTTATCACACGCGACCATATCACCAAAGGATGGTTGTTGACACCAACAATATATGTCTTCAGGGATATCATTACTATTATTATTATTGCTCTTATCTGATGTTGGAGTAGGCGTTATACTATTTGAACGATGTTCTTTAATGACTTCTTTCCTCAATTGTTTTAAATTGATACTTAATTTCATTTTATTTTTTCTTGTCTTGATAACAGCAGGTTTCTTCAATTTTTTATTTAATTTTTTAATTAAATGAGGTTTGTTCTTTAAGAAGGTATTATATCTTTTTTTAACAATTAATTGAAATTCTAATTCCTGAGTTTGGTCTTGAAGTCTTCCAGTTTCCTTTCCCACCAAATCACCAAGAAATCGTGATTGCGTCTTCAAATTATCCCCATAATACTTAAATTGTTCATCTGATTGATCTAAATCTCTCAATTTACCATCCAATGTCTGTAATAACCATAAAGTTCTCACTATATCACAAGGCAGATAATCCAACGTATTAAGAAACGAATACCGTATATCCGACATCTTTCTAAACTCTAGTTTGTTGTGGTAGAGATAGGAATACCAATGTGAAGTAGAACTCTTCTCGTTCTTCTTCTGCTTTTTGCTGTAGTTGTATTGATATAGAAGGGTTTTCTATGTAAACAAAACAAAATATACAACAAAGCAAACCCTAACCTAGGGTTGGATGTTCGTGCACAGTGATACCCAAACCGTGACATCACATCGCACGACAGGCCCTACTCCGCGCCCACTCTATAGGAAATAACGCTAACCCTAACAAACCAACCAATGAAACGCGAGAAAACCATCAAACCCGAAAAACTTCTCACTGTGAAAGCCGAACGTATCGGAGAATAGAAAATTAAAGAGAGAGACGCCCGCTGTTTGACTGTTATTGCTGCAGTAAATAGAGAGAGAGGGCAGTAGAAATGAAAAGGAATAGACCGATGGATAGTTTCTGCAAGGGAGAGAGGGAACATCATATAATACACTGCAACAGGTTGAAGACTAGAGGATTATATATACTCAGATATATTTAAAAGCTTGTGATTAGAAATAAATACATAATTGAAGTATCAGTAACAATTACAATTTATTAAACCGTCAAGTGAAGATATATATACATATATTGCTACATTCTAATTTTACTTTTGCGTTATTTGTTTGATAATATTTAATCACTGCCTTCGTTTTTCATCGATATCCTTGTTTGAAAGATACCATAAAAAGAAAAATATTGAAAGGTTTTTATACATCAATAGATAACCAGGAATACTTTCACACTTTCACAATTATAACTTTTTTTTTGTTTGATTATCCCCTTGTTTAGTTAAGATTTGGTTAGAGGATTCACAAGAAAGATTGTTACTATTAATATAAAAAAAAAAGTTCATTTCAGCTTTTATCCGTACACATTTTGTATCTTTTGAATTCAAAGATTAATTATACAATGTTCTCAAGATCTATATTAAGTCGTATGGTCTCTAAGACTACTACTCGTCAAGTGTCTACAATTACCGGTAAAACCGCAAAGTCCGTCAATAATAAGTTTTTAATAACTGGTGCTGCATTAACTGGTATTACAGCTTCAGGTTTACTATATGCAGAATCATTGACTGCTAATGCAATGACTGCAGCAGAACATGGTTTGCATTCTCCTGAATTTGATTGGCCACAAAATGGCCCATTTAGTACATTTGATCATGCTTCCATTAGAAGAGGTTATCAGGTCTATAGAGAAGTCTGTGCTGCTTGTCATTCCTTAGATAGAGTCGCTTGGAGAACTTTAGTTGGTGTCTCCCATACAAATTCCGAAGTTAAAGATATGGCTGAAGAATTTGAATATGATGATGAACCTGATGATAATGGTAATCCAAAGAAGAGACCAGGTAAATTAGCCGACTATATTCCAGGTCCTTATCCAAATGAACAAGCTGCAAGAGCCGCTAATCAAGGTGCTTTGCCACCTGATTTATCTTTAATAGTTAAAGCTAGACATGGTGGTTCAGATTATATCTTCTCTTTATTAACTGGTTATCCAGAAGATGCTCCAGAAGGTGTAACATTACCTGTTGGTTCTAATTATAACCCATATTTCCCAGGTGGTTCAATTGCTATGGGTAGAGTATTATTCGATGATTTAGTCGAATATGAGGATGGTACACCTGCTACTACATCACAAATGGCAAAGGATGTTACACAGTTTTTGAATTGGTGTTCTGAACCTGAACATGATGAAAGAAAGAGACAAGGTCTAAAAGCTATAATCATTCTATCATCCTTGTATCTATTATCTGTTTGGGTCAAGAAATTCAAATGGGCTGGTATTAAGACCAGAAAATTCACTTACACTCCACCAAAACCAAGAAAGTAAATTGAGTAATTTTTTTTACATTTTATTTCACACATACTTCCCCTCAAAAAAAAAACAATAAAAAATGACATAAAATTAAATTCATCAATTGGGAAAGATCTTTTATCAAAGAAAAAGAAACTATATCTGTTTGGTATGACTAGAGATGTGGTTAAATTGTCCATAAATACAAACTACTCAACAATCGTGTAAAAAAGAGATAATAATAAATCGTTTATACGGTTAACACGTTCAATTAAACTAAACCTACAATTATTATTATTACTTTCTTTTATCTATCTGATTGTTCGTAACTCTTTTTTTTTTCTTTACCTGTCCTATTTTTTCTGATAATATTATTACAACTAACTCTCCACCCACTAATCTCTGTATGATCATTTCCCATATGTCTTTTATCTATTTATTTATTTCTTTTTTTCAACTTATTTAATACAACTACCACTACTACTACTACTACTACTACTATTCATCTTTATTTATTATTACTTTATAATTAAAATAAAAGGAATAATACACTATTCAATAAACAAATCTCTAAATAAGATTAAATAAATTCATCGTTGAACGGTTAAAGTGTTGTTCAAACTTGCTTATAAGTAACATTTATCACGTGTTTCCCAATTAGGAATTCATTTGTTTTAAAAATTGTGAAGGAGTTTCAGCTGTTCTTCACCCTTTTCCGGGGCACTCAAAATGAAAATTAAAAAAAAAAATGAAAACTACCGGATTAGGAAAACAAATCAGTATATTGTTTTGACCTTTTTTTCTCTTCTTCTTCTTTGACCTCTACAATTTTTCAATTGCAACTACAAATACAATAATAGATAAATAATAACACAAAATAATATAATAGAGAGAATCATATACTAGATCACTATCAGTGAATTATCAAAGGATATAAGTTAAGCAAAAAAAGTTGTTATTTCTCGAATTTAACTTTATTTGAAAAATAGTTCTACCCTTCCTGGAGAAAAAAAAAGTTTTTTTGACCATTTATTATATAAAGAAGGTTTAACCACATCAAGTCAATATTGACCTCATAGAAAAGTGAAAAGGAAATCCTTTTAAAAAGCTGGAAAATTTTGTTCTTCAGTTTATAGATAGAACAAATACATTTCTATTATGACTGCAAGTCCAGAGAAAAGTACAAGAAAGAGAGGAAGACCACCTATCACTAAAAATTATGCTAATCCATTAGAGAGCCCTTTGGCACAATCCTCGATGAAAGTACAGAAGCAAGGTACGCATGTGTTTTCTAAACCAATGATGAAAGTAGGACAACTCACACCAAGTTCAAAGAAGAGAAGGAATAGTAATGCTGGTCGTTTACATTCTGAATCAACTCAACATTCAAATTCACCTCTTAAGGAGGGACTTGCCGGAACAAGCCCTAGGAAAGATAATATGGTTAAAAAAATGGGTACTACAAAGAATGGAAGATATAGAGGTATCATATTGACAACACCGAATAAAACTTCATCACATTCAGCTAATTCACCACCAAGGGATAAGAATAAATTGAGTGAGATGAATAAACCAAAATTGGCACCAAATGGTGCTCCTTTAACTCCCATCACAGACAAATCGGAAACTATGAATGTGATGAGTGAGAAGAAAAATGAGCATAGTGTAAATTTTTCATTATCATTAAATATAAATTCTAATGGTAAGGCTACAATAGGGTCCTCGCCGAATGGTTCAGTGAAACAAGGACAACTTTATCAAATTAAAGATTTTGTTGCTCCAATAAAACAAGATTCAAATTTCCAAAAGAAGGATGTGTTATTCTTATTAAAGAAAATGAAGACTCATACATTAAGTAAACACAAGAAATCTGTAATATCGAATGATAACATATCAAATGTGAAACATTTATCAGTACCCAAAAATGGACCTTTAAAATTAGAAAAAGCCTTTAGTAGTGGGTCAATAACAAATGAATCAAACAGTTCTTCAAGGGAAAAGGTAACAGATTCCAAAACGTTAATACCTTGTACTCCACCTGCTCCAGGACCCATGTCGCCAGGAAACTTCTTCAATACTCAATGGAAAACCGGATTAACACCAAATATAAATGGTTCTCTTGGAATCCTATCGCCTTTTAGGATGAGCCTCGGAAACAATCATTCCGTAGGCGTAACTTCCCAAAATTGGAATACAAAGGTCAATAATTGCATTGATGAACAATTCGTTACTGATAAAAGTGAAAATAGTATATCTAAAATTGAACCTCTAGATGATAATTCCAAAAAGGCCTCTGTAGACGGTTCCAAACAGTATGGTTTTAAGTATTTTGTCGGTGATCCACTCCTTTTGAATGATGATTCAGAGATAGGTGAACAAGTATGGCAAGAAAATATCAACATAAGATCTAATGTTTTATCACCAGAACATTCTAAAGTATTTAATACACCACCATCATTTGTGAATTTTGGATCACCAGGAAGTTTACTGTTTAGCCCTCCTACTCAAAGGAGAAACTCTAGTCTATTGGCAGCTGGCAATATCGACAGTGTGGATCAAAGTGCACACATGACTATGTTGAAGACCCATCAACAAAAAATTAACTCATCAGGAAAATTATATAATAATGCATGGAAGTCACCTGCATATAAAAGCTCAATAGTACCTGTTAATTTTAAAAATAAACAAATTAAAAATAGCATAGACTTATCGATGCTTGATGTGGCCCATTATGAGTTTAAGGATGTTAGTCCGAACGGAAATTTTCAAGCAAACAATCCTCGATCGGAAGAAGTACCGCCATTGATGCGTCACACAGTAAATGCAATTACTAAATGTCAACAACTTAATAGTCCTCATGAACTCTATTATACATCAAATGCAAAGATTGAAAAGAGTTTGAAGGTACCTAATTATATCGACTCAAATCCAGAGAAGGTCGATGATGCCAGTATGGCATTAAAGAATTTGATTAAAGAAGAAAAGTCCACATCTAATCAAATATAATAATACATTCATTTTAAAAGGAATTTATAAAACATATATAGAGAGAGACCCTGTTTACTTTTTTTTTAACTTCTCTACTTTAAAATAACTTTCAATATTTATTGTTCATAACATTATTACTTGTAATAACTTAAAATATATATATAAAGATTTACACCGTTTGAGGTACAATATCTATTACGATTCCCATAGTGGTTCATCAAAATTATATAACCATGATATACCAATCCATGAACTCATTATTCCTAGAGAACAATACACACTATATGTCATAAGTCCTAAAAATTCGAATTTTTCAAACAATGGATATTTCCATTTCATAACATCGAAAAATTGGATCCCTAATACCATCGGTAATAACAAACAAATATAGATAATGGCTAATCTATCCATGAAGAATACTCTTCTTTCAACACTGGAAGAAAGCTTTGTAGTTTTTCTAAGGGCAAAGAAATAGACCACACACCACACGAAGGTGTATAAACATTTCAATGCAAAATCTGCATTTTCGTATAATAATGGAAACAATGAGACATAACCAGCTGCTGATACTAGCATGAAAGGGACAAGTAATCTTCTATCCAAAATAACTAAGAAAGAGAATGGAACAATAACCAATAGAATAGCCTTTTCATGCACATGCCATCCAAATAGATAAGATGCGAGGCCACATAGAGTTAGAGATCCAATAAATCTCTTGAATGAAGGATCAAATAATACTGGGATGACTGCTAAGATTTGATAGAATACGGTTAAAAAAAAAGTAACCTTTGGAGGAATCTGAGGCAGTACTGTAAATACAACATCTTGTACTAAACCTTTGGAACCGTTGTTACTAGCTTCCTGTACTCTCTCTCTAATTTCATTTACCGATGAAGGTATTAACGGTGACGATATAAATCTTGTCACTACAGTGTATATGTATGGTACTCTTAGTATAACAATAGAAAGGATTTTATCAGCAAAGGAATATAGTGCCCAAAAATTTGGAGCCCAATAAGCATGAGTTAATCCTCTTGAAAATGGGAATAGTCTGGATAATACTTGTGGCATTTGGAAAATGAATGGACTAAAACATAAAGCAAATGTACCAATTACAATACTACCTAATTTGAAAAGATGAGACCATTTCACTAAGAATAATAAATCTTTATAGCTTCTAAATTTAAATTTTTCAAAATTTAAAACGTAAGCTCTTAATAAAAATATAAAATAACATGGTGCCATGTAAAGGAAAATATGTTTAAAACATAATGCAATACTGTAGAAAGTTGCACACCATAAATAGTTTTTGTTTCTAGCTGTAACAATAGATGCAATGAAAATTGCGAAAAGGAATCCATTGTATTGAAAATGAATATGGTCAATTATTAGAAATCCTGGGGAAACAACAATACTTGTTGCAACGATAAAACTTTGAGTTCTTCTATCCTTGGAAGTAGTATTGATGTAGTATTGCAATACTGCATAAAGTAAAATTTCACTAACAATTACGGTACCTCTTTGAAAGATCACTGTAGGCCAACCAAATTGACCCACTTCTACTATGTCTAAACAACCATCCTTCTTAACTATTGAAGGAACAAATTGTGATAAAACCCATTCAAAATATGCAAAAAAAGGTGGATAATCGAGAGTCCATTGACTTGTATGTTCAAAATACCATTCGTTTATTGGAAGATTATGAGTAATTGCTAACCAGTTTCTATGAACATCGAAATCTGTACTGAAGTAATCAGGAAATAGTAATATTTTCAAAAAGAGTCCACAGATCCAAAAATTCCATAGAGAATATCTTCTATCAGTGGTGCTTATTTTACAATCTTTCTTTTTCACAGGGTCTTGAGGTTGTTCCTTAATCTTGTCAGGAAGTTCATCCACATTTAATTCCTCAATAATTTCAATATTTTCAGTTTCTACGTCACTCATTTCTTCAAAAGTAAACGTTGAAAACTTCTGCGGAGGAAAACGAAGCTCTATTATCTGTTTCAAATACACTCAGAAGTAAAAATTTCAAAAGGCCTACCCTTTCTTAAGTTAATTGAACTCCCTGTCTGTTTGTCATCTTGTTAACTTTCAAAATGTCTTTTCCTCTTGTTTGGTTGTTGTTCTCTTTGATTAGCGACAAATGTTATTATTTTTTTTTTGGAAAATCTACAATTTCCAGAGAAAACGCCGTACAAGATGGTTTTGATGTAAGGGTACCCACTAACTAACTTGTATAACAAGCAATGTATTATTCAAGACAATATATACACACAACCATTAATCAAACTGTTTGCTTAAACAAGTAAAATATATCGTACTATAAATGGTATTTACTGCCATGGCCCTAAATAAAATATATGTTGAGGTAATCAGGAAGAGTTCTAAAACTCTATCACGACAAAGCCTCATCAATTCACTATATAACCTTCTTTATCAAAGCAATTATAGGTCTTTACAACCGTACATACTCTGTAGGCAGACATGTTGGTTACATATATACACATATACGCGTTCTGTTACTTTATATGTACTACTTGGTGTGTAGCATGTTAATGTTGGAAATTCACAGTAATTGAGGCGGTTTGACCGCAGCTTAAACGAATTTTTTGTTAAAGGCCGTAGGGATTTGTTTTACTCCCTCCATAACGAATTGTCAAGAGACAAGAAACAAAAGAATTTAGATTCTGATTCTGATAGACACAATTGGTTTTTGGTTAAAATAAGAAAGGTTGAGTTTCGTTATTGTGTACTATATTTAGTCAGTGATTACTTATGGTTCAAACAACTTGCAGAATCCGAAATTAGATTGATCGTTATAGAGAAGGATGAATTACGAGAGTGACGATGCACTTAGAGCCCCTGTTTGGGACGAATTAAATCAAGATGAAGATAAGGTGACTACAGATACAACTGCAACTGGGAATGATAAGTTAGATTTCAGAACAAATATAAATTCAGATACTCCACATGATACTATTAATGAATTGAGTCAAACGTTTGCAAGCATTGGTACTAATGATCATATTGATGGTGATAACAATGAGCTCGACGACGATGATAACAAATCAGAAGGTACTAAGTTGATTAATTTGTTAGCACCAGAAGATAATCCTCTTGCAGGTATTGAGAACGATGTTGGAGTAAGCACAGTGATGAGTGGTGGTGACGATCTCTTGTTTGGTGGGTCTTCTTCTTTAATGTCCCCTATCTTGGGAACTGAAGCTTTGAAATTAAACACAAGTGAAACATCACCCAGTAAAAGAACAGGTAAACCACATTCATTGTTCAATGCATCCACAAGGTTGCGTCGTAGAAAACCAAACTATGGTAATGAAACATCTGAAGTCAATAATGCCGAATTGAATAACAATAAAAATAGCAGTAATAACACACAGACAATAGATTCCTCATCACAAGCTACATCATTAGGTGATGATCCATTGGCGAAGGCACAAAAGGAAAATGAATTTGTTGAAGAATCCTTGGATTATGAAAACAAAAGAAAAGATACAAATGGCAGTATTTCCAAAGTCTCACTTTTAAATCAAATGAACGAACCACTTTATAAATTATCTCCAAGGAAGGTACAACCAGTTTCTGATGATAGGACAGAGAAATCTAGTAAAATTTCAAATATTTCCGACAAAAAAGATGGAGTACACACTAAAAGTTCGGATCAAGAGCAAATAGATACAGAAGCTCCTGATTTGGTTCCATTTAAAATTGATGTCACAGACCCAGTAAAAGTTGGTGATCTCACATCAGCACATGTTGAATATACTGTGAATACCAAATCAGAATTATTAGATTCAGCAAATGCTCAAGTTACAAGACGTTACACTGATTTTAGATGGCTTTATCGTCAATTACAAAATAATCACTGGGGTAAAGTGATCCCACCACCTCCAGAAAAACAAGCCGTGGGAAGATTCAAGAGGGATTTCATAGAAAATAGGAGATTTCAAATGAAGACAATGCTGAAAAGAATTGCACATGATCCAGTATTGCAAAGAGACCAAGATTTTTTGATGTTTCTTACAAGTGAACAATTCTCTAGTGATTCAAAGTTGAGAGCACATTTAACAGCATCCGGGTCATATAACGATAATAATGATCTTTCGGAGGTTCACATAAGTGAAATCGAATTATTAGGGCCGGATGATGCAGTCATAGTCTTAAGAAACGGTGGTATTGATGCTGAACAGAATAAAGGTTTTATGAATTTTTCACTAACTTCACAGCCGAAATACAATGAACCTGATCAATACTTCATCCAGGAACGTGAAAGATTTGTTATTTTAGAAGAACAATTAAAACAGTTATATAGATCACTCGAGCTCATAGATACAGAGAGAAATGAACTGGCAGCCACAGTATTCGAATTTTCCAAGAGTGTAGAGATATTAGCTAAATTAGAGGTAACCCGGAAAAGCTCAGACCTTTTAACTTCTTTTGCCCAACTACATGATTCTATAAGAGAATCTTTGGAAAGAAATTCTTTACAGCAATCTTTGACCCTTGGTGTGACGCTAGATGAATATGTTAGAACTTTATCCAGTGTACGAGCTATATTCAACCAGAGGGCTAAATTAGGTTATTTCCTTGTAATTGTGGAAGGTGATCTAAAAAAGAAAAAAGGTCAATTTGCAAAAGCTTATCCAGATTTTAAACCAAATGTACCAATTAACGATGAACGGTGTAAGAATCTACTGGGAGAATGTCTCGTGTTGGATAAGAGATACAATGTAATAAAGGAGAAGTGGTTAACTGTTGGTGATGACATTAAACGCGAAATTAAACATTACGAGATCGAGAAAATAGAAGAATTTAGAAACAGTATGGAAATCTCTCTAGAATCATCGATAGAATCTCAAAAGGAGTGCATTGAATTATGGGAAACTTTTTATCAAAATAATTTGTAAATGGTGTAGGTGGTAATTAGTTGTATATATATGACCCATTTTATGCTAATAGTTATTGTCATAGTTACTTATTGTTCATTATGTAAAACAAATTAATTTGTTTAATTTTCATATGATAATATAAATTCATTGATATTACGTATTTATTTCAACCAATGCGATGTCGCATCCTTGTATAATGATTGCCATATATACGCTTCACTCAGTAGCATCTCTATGTCAGTTTCAGTCCAATCTTTTGTGGGAGGATTTTGTAGAAATGTAATAATACCTTGGAAGTCCATATCGCATAGTGCATCACTCCATTTAATTAGAAAAGCAGCACAGACAAATACGTGAAATTCGTTGAGTGAAGTATTACTAAACCTGGTCGATGAGTCATCTGACGATGACACACCTGCTGGAGAAGCACCGCTTTGCACACCCATATTTGATCTATTAGTGGAGGACATTGGTGATGTAAGGTCTGCGTTGGGTGTTCCAAACATGGCTGGTTTTCTTGAAACAGGAGTATGCGGTGATAATAGCACATCGTTGTTTGTGCTCAATTGATTAGGTGTCGCGAAACTTGATGTAGTTTCTGGCGATGTCTCTGCAAGATATGTATCCCACATTCTTATCACAGTATCCATCTGAAATTCTCTCATTAACAAACAATTCATCCATCTGAATGCAAATTGAATAAACTCTACATGTTCATTCTCGAAATGTTTATATAGATCTAAATCAATTCTTTTCACTAATTGGCTCAAATTTTTCACTTGTTTTAAGATCCCTGGTTGACCATGAATGTAATTGTCGGTAATTTGTTCCAAGAATTTTGTTAAACACCAAAATGTATCAGCCTCTAGGTGTTCTTTCTGGTCTTCTGTCAAGTATGAGTTTGGATCTGTTACTTCGACAGTATCAATTTTAGATGGCGGAAGATACTCTGTTAAAAAAGTTTGAAAAAATGGTGTCACTAAATCATTAATACCTTGGACATAACCACTTGCTGGATGTCTTATTGCCCAAAGATATAGAATCCTTTGAAGACTATCGTGGACAGATTTAAACTGATACAATGGGATATGAGGATTTGTTCTAGGGATATCAATTTCTATCTGATGCCAAGTTGGAATATCTCTCGAATGTTCATCAGAAAATGTGTGTTTTAAACCTTCAGAGTATTCTTGTCTTTTTCTCTTCAAAAGAGATTCTTGTCTTTTAGTATTTGCTGGTAAATAACCTATTAATAATTTCCATACAATAGGTCTATGTGGCTTAGGTATACCATTCCAACTCAGTTGTCGTAGCTCTTGTAAATTAATAATATGTTTACCTTTGATAATATTGTCAAATTTTGTTATTCTTTGCATTATTGAGTTTAATTCCTGAACTTCACGTTCATTTTCTATCTCTTCTTGACTCTTTTGGAGATCAATAGCATCCATAGTATTAAGGTTTGGTAATTGTGGATATTGTAAAGATTGACCCTGCGTTAATGTTGTTGATGTAATACTAGTAGCTATCGATGAAGCAGTTGAAGTCCGTGAAAGGTTATTCTTCGGATCATTACTTTGAGTATTATGAGATACTGAGGATTTCCCATTACCACCATTAGTTAACATTGGAATTGGCATATTATAATTATCTATTACTGCACTCCAATCTTCATCTAGATCCTCAAAATATTTATCACTGGATTTCTTGTGAGTTGTTGAATGTTCGCTAATATTACTACTATTGTTATGTTGATAATATAATTGATTATGATGGGAATGTTTGTAATGTTGTTGTCTTAGAACGGATGCCCTAGGACTTTCAATTTGACTAGATGATGGACTTGAGTATCTTAATGGAGAATATGTATTAGCAGGTGATGTTATGGATTTATTTGTACTATTCTGTTGTTTTGACATTGCATCAAAATTACCATCAGAATTATTCGCAGTAGAGAGAGAATAAAGTCCATGTTCGTTACTAGGACGATGTTGTTGGTTTGTATTATTATCGTTTGTATGACTATGATTATTGTACATTGTATCGTTATATGTTCCAGTTGTTGGATTTCCAGAAAATGATTGGGATGATTTATTTGAAGGTTTACTTGATGAACCTGATGAACTTGATGATGAAATCCTCCAGGATTTCATCAAAGAAGTCACTAAACTTGTAGAGGAAGAGCTAGAATGTGACCTTCTTTCTTTGGTCTCTCTAGTAATTTCCTGTGAAGTTGACCGTACACCCATTTTTATTTTTGTTTTGTTCTAGCAAAAATAAATAGACCTATATGCTTTTTTAGAAATCAAACGACTATTAAATCAATTCAAACAAAGTTGCAGCGTGTTTTTTAAAAAATAGAAAGAAGAAGCCAAAAAAAAAAACCACCTCGTTAACCAATTATTATTTCGTTAAGTATGGAATCCCTTTATGAATACTTCAATGAAATGTCAATGTTCTAAAAAAATATGTTTAAACGAACCACTTATATCTCCGATATATCTATTCAAAAAAAAAGAGCACCTTTAAGATTAGCAACAACAGTATATATATTTCGAGATTGTACGTTTCCTGGTATTTAATTTCAATCTGGATATATATTTAGACCTTTACACGTCAGTAAAATAGTATATTTACCACGGTAAAATAAAATTAGATAATCCTAACAAGTTTGACATGCACCCTTGATTAAATACGTACATATCAACATATTTTTTTAATACAGTGTTCAGTCATTTTATCGATTTGTGCGTTGTTGCCTTCACTTTGTTTTTTTCGTTTCGTTTTCCATGAATGTGAAAGGGAAATTGGAACTGTGCAGATTCGATCCCGCGACTGGTGTGTGTTTGCCCATAGTAAAAGCTGAATGAAACAAGTTTTGATGGATTCCATCAAGGGTTCTTGAGAGTTTTAAAGTATAATGTACAAAATGTTTAGTTAAGGAGGAACTGTGTCACATAAGGTGACGTGATATATACACGTATATATATATATTGGTAATAATGGCGGTTAAATGATAATGATTATTTGAGAAATGCAAATGAATGTATTTAGTGCTTTTGTTTCTTAGTAGCTGGTTCGATATCGTCTGCGGTAACGAAACTTTCGTCATCATCATCATCATTGGCAATTTCGTTGTCACTTTCGTCTGCACCAGTTTGATCGAATTTAGACTTCAAACCCTTCATCTTTCTTGTTTGTAAGTTTTGTAATTCTTGTTTACCCATGTGGATTCTACCGAATTTATCACCCATGGAATCTAGTTCAACATTCTTCTTCATCTTGATATCCAATTGTTTTGGTCTCTTCATAGCTTCTTTAACCATATCAGGCGTTGGAGTTTGAATTCTACCTATTTTAAAATCTAAACGTGGACCAGTTTCATTTAATTCGACTCTTGGCAATTTACGGCCACCTTGTTCACTTCTGTAAGTCTTTAACTTGTAGACTCTGAATAATACATTTGGTAATGGTTCACCGTCTTGGTAATCACCAGCAATGGTAACTGAAATAATATGTTGTAAACCAGAGACATCTTGTAAAGTAGTAACTTCACCTCTAAAGAAATCCATAAATAAAGATTTTACATGCATGAATACTGGATCAGTATCAAAGGCACTACCTTGAAATATCATCATTGGCTTTAATCCAACGGTAAAAGTTTCCTTACGGAAATCTGATAATAATTTAAAATTTTCTGCAATTTGTAATTCAATCATATCATAGATCTTATAACCAAAAGTACGAATAAAAGTTAAGTTATTCTTACGTTTCTTAGAGCTTGAACTTAAAACCATTAAAGAGCAGTCGTTCTTTTCACTTAAAAATTCCAAATTAGATGCATCTTCAAAAGGTCTAATATTGTTTTTCTTATTGAATCTCTTCATGTTTGGTTTCTTCAACGAACTCAAATCCACCATAACATCATGTAAAACTTTGTTAGAGGTTTGGCCTGGAATGAAAAGTGCTTGTTTAACATTCTCCACAATCTTGGCTTCTTTCTTCTCTAGAGCTCTCTTAGCTCTTGCATTCTTTGGTTTCACTGTTCTAATCATCCTGACACTCCTTTTCTCTCTGTTGGGCTTCTGCTTGACCTATAAGAGACAATATCTGATTCCAATATATATATATATATATATATAAATCAAATGAACATGAAAAGATGTTCTGAACAGGTCCTTCAGGTTTACAAAGTTTCTCTCACTGAAAAAGTTGCGATGAGCTCAAAAACGAAAAATTTTCTCTGCGGGCAATAGGGAATATCATGTGGCACGAGCAGACCGGAGCCACAAACAAAATTTAGTATGGCGGGTTTTCTTTCTATTTGTTTATAATACAATTAAAAGGTAAACAAAAGGGAACTAATCTCATGGGAAACAGGGAAGAAGTTAACCGTTCAAGTCTGCCATTAAATAGAAGTGTATCTTATAAGTTTGATCAGTCTTGCGATACGAGTAATACTCAATAGGCGCGTGTGTGAATAGAGAAAGAGTCAAAAGGATACCGATTTTAATTGAGAGAAGTGGATTAGATGACTAAAACGGGACGGAGTAGCGGCTCGAAGAGCAACGGCAGTTCAAATAAGCCCAATAATACAAGATCGTATCAATTGCAATTTCAAGAGTTGCAAGATATTCTGGATCAGGAGTCTGAGAAATTGATCCATTTAAAGAGTTCGTATATTCAACAGAATGTCGCGATTGCTAAAGAGAACGCAGTATTGAAAATTAAATTGAATGAAATGGAGACAAAAATTAGTGGCTTAATTCAAGAGAATATTGCCGTAAGGTCACATTTAAGTATTACACAATTGAAATATAAACAAGAATTGACTGATAAGTTGCAAGATATTGAACAAAATTTACTTTCCAGGTTTCAATCCATATTAGATATGTTTCAACAAGTAAGAATTCAAGAAAATTTACCCGCTGATAATTCTCCAAAGAACAGTTTGCATTCTAACATACTACACTTACCACCATCATCGTTACCGACATCAAAGGATTCGCATACAATAAATTCAAAGGTTTCGGGCCCATCCTCTTCATCTTCTACATCTGCTTCTCCTTCGGTAAATTCTACATCCTCACGAAAGAGAAGAAAAAGTTCAAGAAGACAATCAATGTTTGTTCCAAGTGATTTTGAGTTCCCTGTAGACAATGATCCACTGAATGAAAACATTGATCGTCATAATAATACTATTAATGGTGTTGGTATTATAGATAACAATGAATCAAGGGATGTATTACAAGATCAAGATCATGGAAACGTTTCTGATGAATCAATTAATGATGAAACTGATTTCACAAATTCTATTATAGATTATTCAATACCAGAAGAAAATGATACTAAAAAGAACAGTAGGTTAAATTCATTGGCATTATCACAGAAATCTCGTAAACCTTTGTCTACATCTTCAATCATAACTTCTTCCTCGTCATCTTCTTCTTCATCTGTAACAAAGCTTAACGTATTTAAAGACAATGAGAATGAAAATATCAATGATGAATCTAATGATGGTACAAATAATACTGATAATACCCCTATGAAACATTCGATAAGACCTCCAAGGATAAAAAACAAGAAAAGAAAGATTGTGGATGAAAAAATGCCTGTATCGACCTACCCAGAAATAACTTCCTCAACAAGAAGAACAAGAGGTAAAACCGTAAATTATAAATTGCCTTCATTACGTTCAAAAATGAGAAGACCATCAGAAAAGTTTGTTGATGCAACAACAACTATTAATATTAAGGATTTACAAGTGAATAAAAGAAAACGTGGTAATGATTCCATGTCTAAAGATGAAGTCGTATCTCTAACATCTGCTATTCAAACTACTTCGAAGAAGGATATCCCTCAGGATATCTCGAAAGTCTCTCCACCTTCTTCTTCTTCTTCTTCTTCTGCTTCTTCCATGTTAAGGGAAACGATTTTTAAGAAGAAACAATTGATTCAACCGAAAAGTTCATCGCCATTGGTAGAGAAAGATGTTAATAAGAAACGACCAACTTCACAAAAGAAGAAATTATTTAAACATGCAATTATTAATGACCTATATGATGATGTAATGACAGAATCAAGTGCTAACTCGTCGAGGGCAAACAAATCTGTCAGTTTCAGATTAAATGAGGAAGATCTTTCCGTATTTGATTTGATTCCAACTAAGACAGCTACCCCAAAAACTTATAAAAATAGTAATACTAATGCTGAAAATAGTAATTTAAATAGTAACGGTTCCACGACGGGGAAAACATTAAGATTATAATGTGATAATATACCTCCTTTCATAGAACAAAATATTGGTTAAATACCACTATGTATGCAAACATATATTATTAAAATCATGTAGATTAAGATGTTCTTTTAAAGATGCTTATTTCAAAATAAATAGTTATTGTAATAGTTTTCCAATACCAATGGTTCTGTTCATATTGTTTCTTAATATAACAACATTACGTCCAGGCGTTAGGATAATTGGTTCATTGACTTCGACCTCCACTTTTAATATAATGTCTCTTCGGTTTAAAATCTTACTAATTTTAACATCCTGTTCAACTGTACTTGTAAATAGTTTCAATCTAGTCCCATCAGAGATTTGTGTATCATATATATCGAACAATCTAATATCAAGGACGACATGATCACTATTTGCCACTATTAGTTGGTAGTTATCTGAAGTTGAAATAACATTACGTTCAGTAATAATAACATTGTCTTCTTTATCCATTCCTTCATACTTATATTCTACGGAAATGTTATCACCAGTGATCGCAATAGGAACTGATTTTCCTTTCTTTGCAATAGATTTGATTGAGATATTATAACCATCTGGTTGAACTGTAACACTATCATCTTTTTGGATATTACCAAACTTCACTGTGCCCGAGAATCTCCTTCCAACTGCAGATTTGTCTACAGTCATTGCCAATTTTTCTTTCACATCCGATAATTTAGAATTATCTAGAGTTATGCTTTCATTCTGAATAATGTCAAATATACTTTTCATCTCAGTGTTCCATGGACACATTTGGTTATAGATAGGTTTAAAGAGACCATCTTCCTTCGTATTTACTATACTACAACAAGGAACCCAGGATAATTGATTATGTTCAAAACCAATATTTGTTAGAAATGGGAGTAACTCTCCTTTGATATCTTGAAATCTTTCCTGGTGCCAATCAACTGTATCTAGTTTATTCATTGCAATAATTAATTTTTTCACACCACATGAGTATGCTAACACACAATGTTCGATTATTTGGCCATTCAAGTTAAAACCATTTTCAAATCCATCTATGGCACAATCAATCACGAGAAGGCCGATGTCACTGGAACTCATGACACGTAAAAGCTCAGAAGATAACATTTTCTTTGTACCTGGGACATCAGTTATCCTATAGTTATGTGCACCATATAGAGTTTCCTCGGATCTTATTGATTTTTCCATGACTTTTGAAGATTTTCTATCATAATCCAGCAACCACGACCAGAATAAGTTTTTTTCACTTCTATATTGGGATCTCTCAAGTCTAATTTTCAAATCATTGACATCTTGAATCTTGAAAACCCCTAGATCATATAATAATTTACCAATTAATGTAGATTTACCACTACCTGAGTGTCCAAGTACAACTATGGATACAGTAGGATGTAATTTATTCTTCGCAATATATTGGTGGGCATTAATTCGTGTGATGGCCTCCTTTGTCTCAACTTTTTTCTGTAATCTCTTTGGTGGTTTTATAGATAGATTTGCCACCTTCTTGGTAACATCTTTAAATGCACCCGTTTGAGCCTCTACGATCTGATCATCTGGACTTAATTTTGAAAAATTTTGTACTATTCTATTTCTCTTACTTAAAGGACAAAAGATGAAATCTAATTCAGCCAGTATTCTTTTATTATGAACATAACTAGTCTTGTTGTGTGTTCCATCTATCAAGTGCGATTGAGACCCTTTGGTAGAAGATTTATAATATTTTGACGGTATATTATCTTGGTCTCTAATTTCTGTAAAATATGATAAAGAAGTTCTAATGTTCTTTAATTCTTCAGATTCATGTGCCTTCAACTTTTTTGCTTCCACTGTTGGTGTTTGGGCATTTGCTATGTTTTTATTGTGTTCACCTTTAGTTGCAATATTCTCTTCCCTTTGTCTTTTCGATTGTAAATTGTGTAATCTTGAACTTAAAGAACTTAAGGAAGCAGGTTTTTCTGTTCCTTCAGTTGCATGGGTCTTTGAGTTCTTCAATACATCCGAGAGGGTTAGTTTTGATTCTGTTTTCTTTTCGATCTTTGAAGTTTTCAATCTATCTAAAAGAGATGCACCTTTAGTGTTTGTATTAGAGTCTATGGGTTTCTTGGAATTTTCCTGCCTTGAGAGTAATCTCTGTTTGGCCAATTGCTCTAACTTGGACATTGCACCAAAAAATTGGGGTAGTCTATATATATATTGGTGTTCCTTGTAGGATCAAGTTCCCTTTACTTTTTCTGGATGTTCTTTCCTGTGGTAACTGTTTTGTTTATATTACTTGGTTGCTTAGGTTGCCTAGTTAAATATACATTTCAGTGGGAAGTTCGTGGGCCGCCCAGTAGCGAATATCCAGGAAGCAAGAACTACCTAAAATAGGATAGAACATTTTACAAGAAAAAAATGACCATATATATCGAATACTTATATATATATCTCCCAGATGTTGTAAGGATAGTTTGTATACGCATTGTTTGTTGAGGATTAGTAAATTTAGGTATATATATACATATGGATGAGGCAAGATGAGCGATTATTCTAGTGCTAAATTTCTGAGTAAACAGATGAAGGCAAGAGGACTTCAAAAATTAAGATTTTATTGTCAAGTATGTATGAAGCAATGTCGTGATGATAATGGGTTCAAATCACATATCAAATCACCATCGCACCTGAAGAAGATATCTCAAGTTACTACGGAAGATATTGACAAGTATACAGCCCAATTTGAAAGTGATTTTTTGACTCTTTTAAGAGTAAATCATGGTGAAAAATTAATTGCTGCCAATAAAGTTTATAATGAATTCATCCAAGATAGGGATCATATCCATATGAATTCCACTCAATTTACCTCATTGAACAAATTTATCCAACATTTATCAAAGGAAGGTAAGATTAGAATACAAAATCTTGATGATTTTGACAAGCCAGAGAATATCGAGATGGGTAGTTTATTAATAAGTTATGTGGATACTTCAGGGAGCAACACAGTACGGAAACAACAACTTGAAGATATCGAGAAACTTGAAAAAGCAGATCAAGAAGTAAAGAGTTACATTTTACGAAAACAGATTGAAGCCGGTCTCAAGGCAGCTAAAACCCAAAATCAAGCCGATACATCGGATACTGAAGGACTCACTGCATTGAAGGTAGGAGACGATATAACCATAGACCTAAAACCATCTACGAAGAAGAACAAAGTACATAAGAAGATCAAAAGGAAACCAGCCAAGAATATGTTTGATTGATGAACCATTAACCTTCAGTTCAACATGTCTAGTTGGTTAACCCATATTTTGTACGTGAGGGTAATTTTGCAGTCCGAAAATTTTTCTTTTCTTTCAGCGCAAAAAACTGAAAAAAAAATGCGATGAGCTTTTCAATAAACTAATAGAAAGAAATACTTAATATTCCATCATTTTTGATAAATAAAGACAGTGCATAATTGATTGCTTGTTGATATTGCGTTTTGGTGAAGTTAAAGTAGTAATACTTTGAATATATCAGTAACTGAATAAGAAAAGATAATTGCATTTGGAAATAGAAGATATCAAGGGACAAAAAATGAGCAGTAACCACGTGAAATTTGATGATCAGGAGGACGCAGTTGCTCCTTCTCAAGGTCAAGGAATTACTATAAATGAAGGTGGTTTCAAAACAAACAATAAGAGAACTTTGAATTTGGATGATGATGAGAGTGAAAGTGACGATGAAGCACCTGAAGAAGAAGGTGCTGCCAAAACAAAAGAGGATATTGAAAAGAAATTAAAAGTTAGTGAAGATGCCAAGAAATTGGAACAACAACAATTAAAAGAAAAGAGAAGGAAACAGAATGCATTATTTCAAGAGCAACAATCTGCAAAGAAGCAAAAGGTTGTTGCTAGTGAAGAAATTATAGAACCATTAGAGGAACTCCCTACTGAACTCTTACAAGAAGTCGAACAAAGGGAGGCAGCCAAGCCAACCCACATAAATTTTGACCAAGACTCAGATTTGATCAATAACGATTCGGATGACTCAGATGTGGAGAGGACCATACGAAGTGATGCTTTAAAGAAGAAGAAAAATCAGCTGAAAACTCTAAGAAAGAAAACAATTAATAAAGGCCCTGTTAGTGTAACTTTATTAACTTCTGTTTCTCAATCGAGAGCAATGGCTCCAAAAAAAGAAGTTCAAATAACAAGTACTAAAGATAAATGGTTAAGAAGGAAGACTCTGAATAGAAGGTAACATATGTTTTTTTATCTTATCATCCCATTTTTATAATTGCATATTTTCTTTGAAGAAGAACAAACCCTTATAGTCACCGAGAGTAGCCGATTGGAACTCGTATATGACAACCCCTATTGAGCTTTTACCATTTTTTTTTGTAAGGTTATATCGTAATAGAATCTTTATGAAAGAGAGTGTTTTTGTATGTAATCATTAGTCCTTTATATAAGTACTTTAATATATAAGTATGTGTGTGTGTGTGTGTGTATGCTTACTCATTCACTTATAACATACGATATAATTACAGGTAGAATGACACCCATCAGGGTATATACAGATTCATCCAGAGATAACCAACTAATGCCTTTGTATGTTTCATTTATCCCTCTATCACTACGTATCGTATTACCTTCAGGTAGGGCGGCATCGATATTCGTATTACTATTGATGGTATCTTCATTGACGATATTATAGCTTCTAGGGTCCCATTCCATATCAAATTCCTCGTGGCCCTCTGGTCGAGGAGTTGCAAGATTGTCCTCAGAAGAAAATTCAGGATCATATGTTTGCATTGGAATACGTTCATAATCGTGCGAGTGTCCAGAATCTCCTACAAATGCAGTGAATGAAGCATATAGTAAGCTCCCGCCACTCATTAGTAATAAATTACCACTTAACCAACTCATTGTCTCCGAATGTTTTAGATTAAATATAGACAAAGCAATGTACCCTAATGGGGTGGATAATGCAAATGCAAACAAGTTTGATATAGCTTCCCATTTTGGAAGATGCTGTTTTGAGATCATCAAACTTGATAAAGAAAGTACAGCAGGGATTTTATGAATTACAATTGCTATTAACATTACTACCATAAGTGAATCATTATTTACTGCAGTTCCCAAAGCTACCCCGTCTGATAAACCATGAATAAATAATGCAAAGACAACATTATTTCTAAGTATCGCTTTGCAGACTTGTTTAGGATTCTTCATCAGATCCTTCCATGATTCGAAAATAATATCAGCCCTTCCTCTAATCTCAATTCCTGAAGTTACCTCATGTTGACTGTTTTTCATTATTGATTGTACTATTCTGTCTAGCAGATAGACAATAAGGAACCCCATCAACATGTTTAAGCCTACATTTCCTCCATGTTCCAGACATTCGCTAATACCTTCAGGAATCACCAACATGAATGAGGTCCCCAACAGCATACCTATCCCAAACTGTGACAACACATTAATATATTTTTCATGTTTTGATTTCCCATTAAATTGTTCAATAGTTGAGTTTGATCCCTGCGAAAACCAGTATATTGGAAGACTCCCAATAGCAAACGTTAAAACTAATAACGCCAGCGCCATAAGGAGCACCTGAAGCATGTTTCCACCCATCCTTTTCCTAATTGTGTAGTTCTATAAGCTGGTAGAGCTGGAATACTAAATATGAATGCGTTTAATCCTATTTATCTTGTTTTTAGAACCATTCAAATTTATTCCTGTCATAAACTGCTTCTATAAATCGTTGATTAGCATGGCTCAGTTCCTAGACGCGTTTGTTTTGTAAGATAAATATATACGCGAAGAGCATACAATACCCAGGTAAACCATCGAATATAAACATATCTCTCTATAAAAATATTAGAAATTTATCAAACACAAGGATTAACAACAATTTTAACTAGTTGTGAAGAAGAACAGTCGTTAATTTGGCCGTATTCTATTTAATGGGTAAACTTCGATGAGCGGATCAGCTGTCGATAGAGCCCTAGAATTAGGCACAAAATATTTTAAAATTCAGGACTATAAAAGTGCCAAAAACGTTTTTTCAAAAACAGTTAAATTGATCCAAAGTTGCAGTGAAAATGATACAATTAAGTTACGTGAATCTTTAGGGTTAACCTCTCACACTTTTACGTGTGTTAATAATGAGGCTAAAAAAAGTGTAGTTCATCCTAAGTATATTAAACTATTAGATAACCTCTCAGCAACTTTGGAAAAGATGAATGAATTGCAAAAAGCAGTTAAAGTTGCTGATAAGATGATAGAGAAGGAATCATATAATTTAAAGGGGTATATACGACGTGGTATCTTATTGCAGAAACTCGGGAAGGAGAGCGATGCATATAAGAATTATAAAATGGCACTAAGGATGGCAAATTATGGACATGATTCCCTGAAGATTGAATATTCACCGAAATTTCTTGAATTTCTACAGAATAAGAAAAGAACTATAAAAGATAATATGACGAAGTTGAAAGATGAAAAAGCTAATTTAGAACGGAAACGTATCATTATTGATCCGATCCAAGAACAGAGACAGATTAAGAAAAACAAGATTAACCAGGTCAATGAGGTAGAAGAGAAACAAGGCATAGACTTTATTAGCAATTTACCTTTGGAATTATTGCCATCTATATTGTTTGGTTTTACACCTAATGAACTTTTTAAACTGATGACTGTATCTAGATGTTGGCGTAAGAGAATTCAGTTCTGGTCGATATTATTTAATATATTCAACCTCAGAAGGGTGACATACAAAGAGCTCTCCCAATTTATTAATTTTATCCGGAAAATATCCTCATCTAGGCATATCAGTAATATAGACTTAGACAATACGGATAATCATTATGGGAATAAACATTTTATTAAGTCTCTTACATTATCGTCAAGATTACCATCTGAAGAGAAAAAAATGCTTAAGACATTCTTCATGCAGTTACAAAATTACAGTACCAATAAACTCATAATATCAACGGTCCAAGCTTCTATTTATGACCTGGCAAAATATATAATACCAGGTGATACTTTTTGTCATGGTGTGAAGGATCTTTCAATGATCACGATGCTTCGGGTTGACAAACCTGGTGAAATAGAATTTTTATCAAACTTCCAGAATTTGAATAATTTAGAACTAATTTTTAATAGTTCGTTGGTTCCAGTTACATCCAGTTTCAATGCAAATATAAATTTGGCAAATTCAGACATTTCTAATTTGAACTCATCATGGTGTGCTAATCTGAGGAGTCTACGAATAATATGTGACCAAAATAGAGTTAAGTCGTTTCCAATGGTATCTTTTTTGCAAGTAAATTCACCGTTGGACTGGCATTCTCTGGATAAATTATGTATATCTGGTGTAACGTTCGATGATACAGTTACCAATTTTCGATGGTTGTTGCAATTTCAAAATGTGAAAGATTTATGGATAGAAAATAATAAAAATGCGAGATTTGCGTCATTTATGAAACTTTTAAAGGAAAACCATGTTTTCAAGAACTTAAAATCCTTAACTTTTAGGGAAGATATAAATAACGGAAGATATGATGTAGATATGATTGAATCATCCAACATGTATCGAGAAAACTTCCAAAATCTAAGGATATTAGATTTGATGAACACATGTATCTCCGGGTCTGGCCTTTTTAATCTTACGAGTTTTATTGATACAGATATGTTAGAAAAGCTAAATATCGGTTTCTGTTCATATATTGGATTTACGAGACGTAGCCACATAAATGACATGAATAATATCTCCACTGAAATGCGTTTTTTTGAGCATATGAAAAATTTGAAGGAATTGGATATTCAACAGATGGGGTCATTGACTGATAACAGTATATCAGCACTGATAGAACAGATTTGGTATCTGAAGAATTTAACTAAATTGGACTTATCATTCAACCAATCGATTGGAGGATCCTCTGTATATGATCTCGTACGTGCCATAATCAAAAATAATGGTAATAAACCATTATATAGTCTAGTGCTAAACGGATGTCCCTCAGTGTCGCATGTGACAGTCAATATGATGCGTACTAAAAAGTTGGTCACAAATATGGAATGTGTTTATGAAAGGGAAACATGGGAACGATTTGGAGTTAATTCATTTAAATATCGTATTTAATTGGGATATGTTACTTAATAAATTTATAGAAACAATGGTTTTATGCACATGTTTGGCATTTACATGTCATCCAAAAAATATGTCACTTTTAAATTTTTGTTTACTAAACTGACCGATTTTAGAGGTTTCATGTTAAGTTGCATTTGAATAAATTTAAATTATATTAACAAAATTTTTGCATTAAAAAAGAATAACTCAACAATAAATTTTAATAATTTCATTACATGTTATTCTAATTCCATATTGGATAAGTTGAATAAATAATTATATATAGTAAATATTTATATACAAATGTTAGTATCTGTTTTCCGAAGAGGTTGTGGAATATGTAATAATTGTACTAGACCTCCCTTTTCTTCGTTGGTCATTACGATCGATATTACGCGGAGACCGTCTTATTACTGATCCACTTGGCTTCTTTGGACTAACAGTTCTTGCAGAAGTAGATACCGCCAATACACCATATGTAATCACTGGTGTAGATGTGCGCCTTATATTGATAGATGATCGATTTTCCAAGATAGGTGGTCGTTTTGAAAGAGAAACCGGCTCTCTTAAACTTAATGACCTTAACCTTGTCTCCCGACGATCACTATTTTCATCGTTTGGATGGATTAATAAAGAGTCCAGCTCTTCCGGTTCAGCAATGTTATCATCCAATGAACCTGTATGCTCAACATGGGCACCTTTACTTTCTTGTAATGGTGATTCCTCATCCTTATTTGATGGAATATCAGAGACTCTGATGGTTGCCTCACTGAATTGTAGAGGATTCTTAATAGAAGTTGACATAATAATTTTTTCCTTTAAGAAGAAAATTGCTTTATCTAAAGCAAACTCTTGTCTACAATTATTTTTAATCATGGATATTTTTGGCCACGTTGCCCGAGCGCCATTGACAGTTTCGTACAACAGAAATTCTTGGGATGGATTATTCAATAATTCAGTCGATTTCAATAACATACTCATATTTGGTAAAATTGTTACATTCCCAGAATATTGCTGTGATAGCACAGATCTAAGTTTTGTGAGAAGATTTCGAGCAATACCCAGTTCACTACCAATCTCTAAATAATGAACGATTTCTCCAGTAAAAAAATCATAAAAATTGTTAACATGTTTCTTGAATCTTGCACTCATTTCATTTTGAACTTCACCCCCGACACAATTAACAGAAAAATTTAAAAATGGGAAAACATGGAAATTAACTTGACAAGCAATAATATGATCTATATTAAACATTTCTGAAAGTCTTGTAATGGGCAAATCGTTCTCAACAGACCCATCAACAAATTTAACAGAACTATTTCCTGTCCATTCCTTCTTTTGACCAGTTTTAGGATCCTTCTCATATAATGGTGTTGCTGGGAATACCCCAGGGACAGAACAAGACGCACACACGGCAGACCATATTAAAACATTCGGTGCTGTCAAATTATTTAATAATCTTGGTTGTTCAAATATTGATGCTGAAGATACCGTAATGTTTAGGATCCTCCCAGTTCTATAATAAGCTTCCTTAAATGTCATATCACCTAAAAATCCAACCATCGTATTGACCAAATGTCTATTTGTAAACCATGTTCCTTGCTTAAAGAATCTATCTACTTTGAGTAAAAAATCTTCACTATTACTTTGATCTCTATTATCCTTGAATATATTAAATTGCATGTTAAGTACGTTTGCTAATAATGCAGGTATTTCATCTCTTGTATGAACACAGAATATACTTGCCACTATAGAACCTGCACTTGTACCACTAATGACTCTCGGTACAAGATCCTCTTCATATAATGCAGCAAGAACTCCAATATGAAAAAGACCAAATGTTGCACCACCACTTAAAACTAAAGCAGTTCTTCCAACATTTCTTCTAGTTTGTTGTAAAATTCTTAATAAATATTGTGGCTCCATATCTGATCTATTAAGAAGTGCATCAATTGCTAATTGAGATTCGTTTAAATATGTCTCAATAAGTTTTTTAGTCCCAATATTAGAGTGCCTGTAAAGGTTTAAGTTACACATCTCACCTAGGTTCCTGACCCAAGTTGTACGTATCAAATATAATAATTTTTCATAATCTTCTGTAGTTCTGTATAGGACCAATTTGTCTGTTAATTCGGTAATTAATTTATAATCATAAAGATTGGATTCTGTCTTGAACTTCCACGATGATTTCATCATAAGTGAATCCAATTTAAGTCCAATCTTTTCCCATTGACGAAAAGATAATGCATTACCCCTTTCTTTTAAGAGAGCCCCAATTTGAATTGATTTCTCGTATGAGAAATTCCATGATGTAATTGAACTAACAAGGCCTTTTATCTTTTCTAATAAACTTGTGGTCTCTAAATTTATACTACAAGCCCCCTTTTGTTCATTCTCTATATCTTCATCATTAGTTACCGTTGTATCCGGAGTAGAATCTTCACTCCTTGATACGTTTTTACCAGATATGATATCAAAAAGTTCATCACTATTCTTATGAAGTTCTAGATTCGGACCTTCTGGTAACGGAACCCCAAGTATCTCATAATACCGTTCAATAAGATATTGAGTTACCGGATAAGAATTTTGAGGTGATACCATCTCTTCTTCCTTTTTCTTTTTTTTATTTTGTTCAAATCTAATTAGTATGATGTTACAAAACGTTCAATGCAACTAATATTAAAGGTACAAATTAGAAAAAGAAAGTTGATGATAAATTCTTGAAACGAAATGATCTTTCAGGAACGTTAAAAGAATTATATGCACTGTTTCATTTTCTCTCTTTACTCATCTTAGAAACGACAATATCGATTTAGTGATGGGCTGCTTATTTCCCCCTTCACATAAAAAAACCAAAATACCAAAATCTATTTTACCAAAGAGAAAAACAAAACAGAGAGCAAAGAAAAAAAATAGGCGAAGAAAATTTAGTGAAAGGAGAAGAAAACAGTAAGATAGCCTGAAGAAGAACTAATTGGTATGTTAAGTGTGTGAATGCAAGTAAGCAACAGAAAATTTATTAAAAAGGAAGCCATCAAACAGTGAGGGTTGGTGCTGTATTCGCTGGTTGTGGGAGTAGTTGTTAGTAAAGAATTTAGCAAATGGTTATGAAACCAAGTGACGAATATGTTCTCTCTTACTTTCTTTGTTATTATTATCATATGTCGGTTTTGGGTAATTAAGTTTAACTTATCGACAAACCTACATAACACGGATAGAATACTGATAGTAATTCTCTCCAGCTAAAGACGTTCAACAACGCAACAGTTTGGATTCGATTAGGCTTTTCCATCTAAGACGTACTACGTACAAAGAGAAAAACAGTTCTCAGCATATTGTTCTGACATAATATTTTCTTTTTATGATTTTTTAGTTCGAATAGTGAAGGAATTTTGGTAAATAAAGTTTCTCCTTCATTTTCTGTGTTACACAAAAGACGCGAATAATTTAAAGAGGAAATGAATCACATAGGGACCGAGGGATCCCCACACGGTTAAGAAACAAAACAAAACGGGAATTAAACTTTGTTATATTTTCTGGTTTGTACTTGTTCCTTATTGTATTACAAGTTGCACTGAGTCTTTGAAGAAGAATTTCTTCCTCATCTCTCAGAATGATCAAGGATAAGAGAGAACGGAGATTATAGGTGAGCCCCCGTTAAATATTTATAGTTAGCCATAATTTGCCTTTTTTATGCACTCAAAGTTTTTGTGGCGAGATTTGAAATATAGGAGGGATAAGTAAGCATGGGGGCAGCCTTCAACCAACCAGGAGAAGCTCTTAAATAACAACAAACAAATTTAATTAGGAAATAGCTTAATATATGACGGGAATGTGCCTACGTTTTCTTTTGATTGGATTTAGCTGGGGCCATTTTTTTTGTTTTGTTTCCAGAAGTCTTTAATGATCGAAATTATAAAGTATATTTCTGGTTATCGGCATAATTATTTATTTAACTTCTTCATTTATTGATTATGTTTTTCCTAAATTGGTTAATTCAAAACAAAAACATGACGAAAACGTAAAGTAACTTTTTTATTTTTTGAATCTATAAGAATTGAAGAGGAAGGCGATGAAGATGCATATATGCAACTAACAATACTAAGTAGATCAATTTAGAACTTACATTATATACAATTCAAATTAACATGTGTTTTCAGAGGAAAGCAGGACTAACCTCAAGTCAATTTTTGAACTGATGAATAATAATGCATGGCTCCGGTTGCATACTCCGTTACTGAAAAAGCTAACAGGTTCCTCCAATCTTTTAGTTATTTATTTACACCTCTCAGATAGTTTACAGGGAGGAGGGGGAGAAGAACTACAGAACAGTAGGAAGAAATGAAGTTATTAAATGATTATTTTGAAATGATAATTTAAAAACAAACATATGCAAAAAAGTTTTAAAACTGAATCCTTCTAAATCTGGACCCCTTACATCATAATATATATATATATATATATATATCTATGTAACTGCATGTTCATGTATCTGTTTGAATTAAGTTCTTATATAAAAGTGTTGACATTTTAATTGGAAAAGAACGAGTATTAAAAATCTATTTCGATAGAGCAACAACAAAACATATAACCAGGATAGACGAACATATACGAAGAAACAGAAAAAAAATGGGTGTACTTAAAACTTCACCATATCCTAAAGTACAAATGGCAACATTGAAAAAGGCTGGTTTTCAGTTTAATTATAAGAAAATTATCAAGAGATCTACTGTTCAACCCAAGAAATTTTCAGGTTATTTTGATGTTGAAGATACCGAGGACCTGTTACATAAAGAGGATAAAAAGAAAGATCAATTACAATTCACATGTAATGTATTTGAATTACCAGTTAATACTGCATTGAGGGCAAATATGGGTTCGATAATAGTGAACAAAGAAATAAAGGGAAATACACCTCAGTTAATGCATGAAAATAATATTTTCTTCCATGTGGATGATCACCAAGATATAGAACCAGCTATGAGTAGTGATATAGAGGGGGTTGATTCTCTCCTAGATTATGTGACTGCTGATGATGATACACCTGTTACCACGAAAGGTAAAATGGTGCATCTGGATCAAATCATCCTTCTAGAAGGTTCACCATTAAAGGGAAAACAAAACACTATTGTACAAAAAAATACTTTACCGACGCTAATAGATCTCAACGGATTAACAGATGACTCAATAACGATGTTAGATTCTAGTATAAAAGTCGATAAACCAATGATACAAATGCAACATTTCAAAGAATATGAACCTACATTTTTAGATTCTACAGATTCTCTAGTAGCTAATCTAAGTCAGTCAACAGTTTTTAAAGAAGGTATTCAATTAATAGATACAAGTAGTGATGAATTTGAAGATATTGAAATTGATAAGAAGAATATAGCAAAAATGAAATGGCCAACTGGAATGGGTCCATGTAGATTTTGTGAGGAAGAGATTATAACCAATTTTGATAAACGAAATAAATCATTAAAACCAATATATGCAAAGGAGTTGCATGGACAATGGCATCGTGGGTGTTTTAAATGTTCCGATTGTTCAATTAAATTAGATAGACACAATCAATGTTATGTATATGATGATGAACCATATTGTCAATTGCACTATCATGAACATAATGGCAGTTTATGTAATATTTGTCAAGGTATCATTGAAGGGGAATGTTTAGAGAATCATAAAAGAGAACGATTTCATATTAAATGTATGGAATGTTATGTTTGCAATACTTTAATAACAAATGATTATACACTTATCAACGGTACTGTGCCCATATGTAAAGAACATGATTTAGAGACATTAGCTGAGCAAGGAATCTTCGAACTGTGATTTTACGAAATAGCATAAAGATTATTTAATTTTAGTATATAAATAATTAAAATACACGGTTCTCGATATAAACGGGTAGACAAGAAACAAAATATACAATCTGAAGAGAGGGATAGCACACCCGAATCAATTATGGTAGGACACCTATATTCTTCATGAGAACCACCCTAACTTCATAGCAACCACCCGTATTCATAGCAACCACATAATTTCTCGTGAGAACCATCTTAGTAAGCACACCTGAATTATCATGGCAACCACCCCAACTCCTTAGTAACCACCCGAATTCCCCATGACAACCACCTCAACTTCTTAACAATCAACTTATCTTCATAGCAACGGGTGCCCAGACATTCTTAGCAAGCACACCCAAAATTTCTTATGGCAACCACCCCCACCTTCTTATTATGCACACCCGATTTTGTCATGACAACCACCTCAATTTATCAAAACATTCACATCCCCTTCTTAGCAACCACTCTAGCGTCTTAGCAACACCCGAATTTATCATGGCAACCACACTGTGTTCCTAGCAACCACCCCCAAATTCATACGTGACAACACCCGACTTTCCTAACGACCACACCCAAAACCATCCTGACAACCACGTAACTTCCTAGCAACCACCCCCAAAATTCAATACGAAAAAGAAAATGGCTGCCCTGGTGACCGTTTGGCTTCACCATAACAACCAGCACCCCAAAAAGGGAAAAAACATACAAGCAGCAATTTTCTTTGCCTACCCAATTTCCCAAAGAGGTTATATTATTATTTCGTATTCCGTGGACTCGTGCAAAAACAAAAAGAAGAAGTAATATTTACGGAAAGAGAACGCGAGACAAGAACCAGCGTTCGGTTCTCTCACCGAGCAAAAAAACAAACAGAAATTCCACATCTTACTAAATGCGCGCGCGCATCCTCTCACAACGCGAGAGGAGAAAAATGTTCAATCAGCTAATTTTAGATTAAAAGGAAAGAGAGAGAAACGGAATATTGCAAAATGGAAAGAACAAGGATAGGTTTTTCTCTCAGATAATTCATAAAATATTCAAATTTTTCTTTAAACAATAATAACAATTGAAACTTGGTATTTATTTTTACGTAAAAAGAGGATATTTATTGCTAATACACGATTAGTAGTAGTACTAAATAGTTATTTTAATTTTATTGATTGTACAGTTTTAGGTATCTATTATCCTAAAGAGGTTCTTCAGTTTGTCTATAATAGGTGTCCTTTTCTGTATTATTTTTATTTTTTAGAATTAGTTTAACGATCTGTGTGTTAAAGTGGTCTTTTTTTATAATTTTTTTTTTATTTTTAAATTTGTTTTTTTAATAGGAGAAAGATTATAAAGTGGAAAATAACTATACACTTCACTATCACTACTAGTATAATCAGCAAGTTATTATTATTAATATTATCATCAGAACTTGATAAAGGACTGTCACTTTTGTAAAATAAAAACAGAAGGAAAGAAATACAGTTATCTGTGAAAAGTAGAAACTTAAGAAAATCATATAGTTCTACAATTTATCTCCTTATACTTACCCTTTTTTTTTTACCAGAATAATCAAGTATAATCTCTATTGGAAAAACGTATTATTTACTTTAAATTTCAACTAGAAAGTTTTTAATGCAAGGGAAATTTAAAAATAATTCAAATCAACCACTTAGTGAATTATCCTTAAAAGAATCAGATCGTATCAATATTAAACCCACTCAACAATACAACTCAAACAATACTATTATGATGTCTCCAAAGGGTTATACTAATGATAATAATGATTCTTCATTAAAGAGTAGTCCTCAACAAAATAATGCAAGGACTCCACGTCATACACAAAATAGTAATGGTAATAATAAAGATAGCTCAGCAACAAATGTAGATTATCCAATGACTCCATCACCTCCAAATAAAGTTAGAAGATCTTCAGCATCTATGAGTTTCTTAGCAACCCCTAAATTCAATTCATTAAATAATTTATCAGAACAACAACAAATATTATCACATAAAAAATTAAGATCACATAACTCAAGTGATAATGAAGAAGAAGAAGAGGAAGAAGAAGTTACGATACCTTTTTCTCCAACTTCAAGAACTACACGTCTTTTACCACCAACTACTCCAAAATCAAGAAATGTTGAATCATCTTTCTTATCACCATCACCTCATATTACATCTCCAAGTATTTATAAAGAATCAAATAAACCAATAAGAGAAATTTCTAATAATTTAAAGACAAGATTAAACTATGCTTTTGTAAAATTACAAAATGGTTGGGTTGATCGTACTTTACCCGAATTAGAAAATGAATTAGATAGACAACAGACTTTAATCCAACAAAGACAACAACAACAACAATTTTTACAAAATTCTCAATTTAGTCCACAAAGATCAATTCATCTTTCACCTGCTCATTCAATATCAAGTTCTTATACTAATAAATTTGCATATGGGAATGGAAACAATCTTAACGAAAATAATGATAATACACAGGATGATGAAAGATCAGACAGTACAAGCTCTGCTAGATTAGCATTTATGAAGGCCCTTTCATCACCTGCAAGAGGTCAACCAGGTTTACCATCATCATCTTCAACTTTAAGTGATTCAAATAATGGACAATCTACATCACAAAAAAATGCAATGGATAAAAATACATCTTCATCGCCTTTGAAATGGTCTCAGGATTCTCGAAAACCTTCAAATCATGTTATGGAAAATTTTAATGAAATTTCAAAAGATTCACAACGTAAACCTAAAGTCAACCAAAAGAAAAAAGAAGGCGCAACTGAAGTAGCTGCAATCGAGACCTTAATGTCACTATCATCTCCAAAGAAGTCTAATCCTACAGTATCTTTTAACGATAACAGTGCACAAGATACAGAAAATGATACAGAAGTAGATGAGTCTGATAATGGTATAACAGACTAAAAGTAATCAATTTCAAAATGACATCACCTTCCTCTTTCTCTCTCTCTTTCTTTTAACACCTGCTATCTTCATAGCTTTTGCATCAACATTAGGTACTACACAAACTGGGCAATTCATTATTCTCTGATCCTTTTATTACTATCACTATTACTATTTTTATTTTTCCTGTTTCTTTTTTTCACCTACATTTACAATCCAAACTGGACGGTAGTTTGTACTATATATATAAAATGGCCACGAATATCATAGCATTTCGCTGGCGTATGCTTTTTCTAATCATATAATAACCTATAATTCTCTAATAATCTAATACAAATTTTTTTTACCATAATCACCATCAAATGTGTCAATAATGACGTATCTTGAACTGTTTTTTACCTTTTTGGGTTTTATTATTTTTTTGCAGTCAAGTTCTTAACGGAAGTAAGCAATTTAAAAACCGGACTATTATAAATGAAGAGGTGGGGAAATAAATACCAAAAATTCAATTAATTCATATAAGATATAAATATAAGCATATTTCCAGACAAATCTAATTTATTTTCTCATGAAGATTACAACTATTATTAAATGAAATCTTGGAATTGGTCGAAATATTCACTTTAGAACAAAAATCTCTCCTGATTCCTGCCTGACACATAAGAAGATGGAATCACTTATAAGCACTCTCTTCAAAAAAGAAACAAAAACAACAAGAGCATTTGCATCACGTTTACATGGTGCAACTTTAGTAGAAGAGACAGATACGTTACAATTAGTTTATGATTTATTTACTTATTCCGATGAAACAAATATCAAGAGACCGGATACTTGTTTAGTTAATTTTATGTTTCTCCATGGAAGTGGAATGAATAGAACTGTATGGGAATATTATATTGCTTATATGTCCAAGTATTTTGACAATAATATAGAATGGCAAATTAATAAAATTGTTACACTTGATCAGGTTACACATGGTGATTCTGCTGAAATTAATAGAAATATGCTAGGAACAAATTTTGATTGGTCCGATGGAGCTCGGGATGCTTGTAAAGTCGCACAAGAAGAATTTTTGCCAAAACTTTCAACTAATTGTATCAATGTTGTTGTCGGTCATTCTATGGGTGGATTTCAAGCATTATCATGCGGTGTCTTATCACCTTCACTTTTTGATCTTATCATTGTAATCGAACCAGTGGTATACGTACCACATGTAGAAAATAAATTCGATGTTACGATTGTTCCACCGAGGTTCTATGATGCACTTTGGAATAAAATGGATGATAAATTTAAAGATATGAATGAATTCAAGAAATTTATGGAAAGAAGAAGTTTTTATAAAAATTCTAATTCTGAAATATTGCAGAGAATGATAGAATTTGAAGCTGTTCGTACACTTGATGGGACAATTAGAACAAAAATTTCACAACAACAAAATATCCTTTGTTATTTAACTTTGGATCCGACAGCTAAATGGTTGATTGGGTCTCTGCCATTTATTAGTAGTCCTGTCTATGGAATTGTTGGTGGGAAGTCAACTTGGTGTCCTCCACAGAACCAGGAACTCCTAGTGGCTAGAATACCTAAATATCAAAAAGATGTTATTCCTAATGGAGATCATTTAGTGAATCTAGAGGATCCTAATGTATGTTTATCAAAAATTGTTGAATATGTAAACGAATATGTCAAGAATTCCAAAATAAATGGAAGTGAGATTTCACAAAGTAAGGACAATGATAACTATAGAAAACAATTGTTTCAAGAACGGTTTAGTGTATTTAAAAATGAAAGAGTAAAAGATGGCCCAATCAAATTAGCGAAATTATAATGAAACCAGGAATTCCTTTATAATGATCTCAACATCAAATGATACTCCTGGAAGATCTACTGCTGCCCTTGTTCTATCCTCCTTTTCTTTAAAGCTATTTTTATTCCTAGTATTAAAGAAAATTCATAAGTACACAGAGCTCGCCAAGTTCAAAAGAAAAGGTAACGTCAAAGTTTATGCTAAACACTACATATTCAGTTTCGTAAGAAACAGGTAGTAGAACATACATAGAATCTAATGACCGAATATGTGTGTCATTTTTAAATAATTAATATCGATAAATTTTATTTTGGAATTTTTACAGAATACATGTGTATATATATATATATTAGAAACCAAGAAATCAATTCATGGATGTCACAGCTGTACTTATGGCATACCCTTAATACTTTATTCACTTGTCGACTGTTCTATAGCTTTGTTCAACGACTGGAAGATGTTAATAAAGGTGTTCGCAATATTGTATTACCCGGACAATCACAAGGGACGAAACCCTAAATTAAACCCTAAAAAATTCTTTGTCAGCGGAATCCATTCGGCTTAGGTGGGAGGAAGGAAATTTATAAAAAAAAAGGATATGATTACATTTATAGATCATTACTAAGGTTGAAAAATGTGAAATTGAAATATATTTCATATATAAATTAGAATAGTTAGACAAATTATATTTGTGGATCATTTCTCATTTATAACATCGAGAAAGTAATCTAACTACACAAGTACTGAAAATATTTATTAGCTTATTGAAAAAATAGCATCGATAGATTTTTTGAAAGTGTTAGTAGTTGAAAAATCCCGGGTTTGTTTCCATTTTAATAGTTTTCAGGAAGTTTTGTATCTTTAGTATTGGTATTTTGTTTATATAACGTAATACAAGCTGTCAATATTTATTTTTATCGAAAACTTGTAATCTATTGTTATTAGAAAGGTACCCTTTTGTTCACAAGTAGAGAGACTAGAAAACTGATAAACATGACTGACGTTGATACTCCAAAGACAAATGAAGGCACTGCAAGAGTCTTCCCAAAGATGAGTGAATCTTTTTTCTCTGATAATGAATCCTCTGCTACCGATGAATCTGTTGTTGAAGATAATATTGAAAATGATGATACTTTCGTTAATGAGGCAGAGAATGATGGATTTGTTAGTACTCATAATGGTGCAAATCCTGTGAAGAAACCTAACAGATCTATTAGATCAAGAAAGAAGACTGCAAATGATGCAATGAATATGTTGGCCCAAAAGGATCAAAGTTTCTTGAACCATGCAAATACCGATATCCCAGCTGATTTTCAACCTGATACAGTTTCAGGTATGTTTAGATCCCATGATTTCAGTTACTTAAAATTAAGACCAGATCATTCATCAAGACCTATCTGGATTTCTCCAAGTGATGGTAGAATTATTTTGGAAAGTTTCTCACCTTTGGCTGAACAAGCACAAGATTTCTTAGTCACAATAGCCGAACCTATCAGTAGACCATCTCACATTCATGAATATAAGATTACTGCTTATTCTTTATATGCAGCTGTCTCTGTTGGTCTTGAAACCGATGATATTATTTCTGTCTTGGACAGATTATCTAAGGTCCCTGTTGCTCAATCAATTATAGATTTCATTAAAGGTGCTACCGTCTCATATGGTAAAGTAAAACTAGTTATCAAACATAATAGATATTTCGTTGAAACTACTCAAGCTGATATATTACAAATGTTATTGAGAGATTCGATCATTGGTCCTTTAAGAATCGATAGTGAACAACAACAAATGGACGGTGAAGAAAATCAAACAAATGATTTGAAAACTTCTGATACGAAAGCTAATGTCAATCCAAATGATGTTGAAGCGATTTTTAGTGCCGTTGTAGGTGGTGATAATGAGAGAGACGAAGATGAAGATGATTTAGATGCAGTTCATGCCTTTGAAATAGGAAATGAAGCGGTTGAAATTGTAAAGAAGAGATGTCAAGAAATCGATTATCCCGTCCTGGAAGAGTATGATTTCAGAAATGATCATCGTAATCCAGATTTAGATATTGATTTGAAACCATCTACTCAAATTAGACCATACCAAGAAAAATCTCTAAGTAAGATGTTTGGTAATGGTCGTGCGAGAAGTGGGATTATTGTCTTACCATGTGGTGCAGGTAAAACTTTAGTCGGTATTACAGCCGCATGTACTATTAAAAAATCGGTGATTGTCCTATGTACTTCTTCTGTGTCCGTTATGCAATGGAGACAACAATTTTTACAATGGTGTACTTTACAACCTGAAAATTGTGCTGTTTTCACTTCTGACAACAAAGAAATGTTTCAAACTGAATCTGGTTTAGTCGTCTCAACATACTCTATGGTTGCCAATACAAGAAATAGATCTCATGATTCTCAAAAAGTTATGGACTTCTTAACCGGTAGAGAATGGGGGTTCATTATTCTTGATGAAGTTCATGTTGTTCCAGCTGCTATGTTCCGTAGAGTTGTTTCTACTATTGCTGCACATGCTAAGCTTGGATTAACTGCAACCTTAGTCAGAGAAGATGATAAGATTAGTGATTTGAATTTCTTAATTGGCCCAAAATTATATGAAGCTAACTGGATGGAACTTTCTCAAAAGGGTCATATTGCTAACGTCCAATGTGCGGAAGTGTGGTGTCCAATGACCGCCGAGTTTTACCAAGAATATTTAAGAGAATCTGCAAGAAAGAGAATGCTGTTATATATTATGAATCCTACCAAATTTCAAGCATGTCAATTTTTGATTCAATACCACGAAAGAAGAGGTGATAAGATTATTGTCTTTTCAGATAACGTGTATGCATTACAAGAATATGCTCTTAAATTAGGTAAGCCATTTATTTACGGTTCTACTCCACAACAAGAACGTATGAATATTCTACAAAATTTTCAATACAACGATCAGATCAACACTATATTTTTATCAAAGGTCGGTGATACATCCATTGATTTACCAGAAGCTACTTGTTTAATTCAAATTTCTTCTCATTATGGTTCTCGTCGTCAAGAAGCACAAAGATTGGGTAGAATTCTGAGAGCAAAGAGACGTAATGATGAAGGTTTCAATGCATTCTTCTACTCGTTAGTTTCAAAGGATACCCAAGAGATGTACTACTCAACAAAGAGACAAGCTTTCTTAGTTGATCAAGGTTACGCATTTAAAGTTATTACTCATTTACACGGCATGGAAAATCTACCTAACTTGGCCTATGCTTCTGCAAGAGAACGTAGAGAACTATTACAAGAAGTTCTGTTGAAGAATGAAGAAGCTGCTGGTCTTGAAGTTGGTGATGATGCTGACAATTCAATTGGTCGTGGTTCTAACATTCATAAGAGATTCAAATCTAAGGCAGTAAGAGGTGAGGGTTCGTTGGCTGGTTTAGCTGGTGGTGAAGACATGGCATATATGGAATACAGCACCAATAAGAACAAGGAATTGAAGGAACATCATCCTTTAATTCGTAAAATGTATTACAATAATCTAAAGAAATAACTAGATTGGCCGAATCCCAACTTCATGAAATGCGTCCACTAACATTAAAACATTCTGCATAAATTTTCAAGTTAAAAGTACAAAAATTATAAAATCAAAACAAACTAGAAAATACAAAAATTAAAAAAAACATCATTTTTTTAAAGAACTTTCTTTTTTTATTTAATTCCCATTCATATATAACATCTGCATCTTATTTTTAAATAATAACTCAATAAAATTTAAAAAAAAAATACAATTAATAATAATCCTAAACTAAAAAATTCTTTGAAACTCAGATCATTTCTGAAGCTGTTTACTTGACTTGAATTCTTTTATTTCCTGTAGAGCTTTTAAAATATCCTCTTTTGTAGTAGTAATCGATTTTTCAATCGTGGTTTTGAAGTCTATCGAGTGGCCTATTATTTCTTGGGTCTTTTGTTTCAACTTAGCTGATTCAGAAGCGGCATTTAATTTCCATGTCTCCAATTCTCTCTCCTTTTCTTGTAACTGATTTTCTGCGTCCTTTATACGTCGTTCCATGTCCTTAAGAATCTTTTGATTTCTATTTTGAAGCTCTTCTAGTTCAATTCGTTGAATAACCAAATTACTTTCATTCTTTTGTTTCTGTGAAACAATCTGAGATTTTAATTCGGATAAGGTTTTTTCTCTTTTTTGATATTCGACATTTTTTAGTTTTATTTCGTCTTGAAGTTCTAAAATCTGATCTTTAATTATATTATTATTGATATTCAGCTTTTCACTCTTTAAATTTATCTCTTGTAAAAGTTTTTGAAATTCTTCCTTTTGGCTCTCTAATAACGAGGTCGACGATGGGTCATACTGACCATCAAATATATCACTATATTTGACTTGTATCGATTCATCGACATTTGTCAATTTTGATTCATTTATTTTTACTTGGAACTTATTCTTTGTAGTTTCATCATTTTCTTTTAAACCAAAAGTTTCTGCTCTCTCATGAAAGAATCTTTCTAAGGATAACTCATATTGTTTCTGTACACTTACTAAATTCCTTACTAATCCATTATTTTCATATTTCTTAGCCTTTATTATACCGGTCAATTTATCACAATTATCTGTTATTGTATCATATTTTTCAAGTAACTGAGTCTTTTCTTTGTTTCTATCATCAATTGTCTCTACAGATAGACCCTTCGAATCTAAGGTTTTTAAAATTTCACGAATATTTGTCTCAATATTTGAAACATCATCATTTTTTTTCATTAATTCTTCATTCATTTTTTTTAATTTTTTAGGCCACTCTTGAGATTTTATTTCCATTGAATCAATATATTTTTTAAATTTTTCTAAATCGTTCTTTAATGCATTAAATTTTTCCATTGATGTAGTAAATCTTTCACTAATTTTTTGAACGTATTGATATTTTCTAAAATATTTTTCATTTTGTGAATTTAAATTGTAAACGTCACTTTCAATTATATGAGTAAATTTTTCAAATCCAAGAGACAGTTTTTCCATTGGTACTTCATAATTATCATCAACATTCAAAAAATTCTTATAAGATTCGGTGATATAATTAATAAATAAATTTTCTACCATTAATTCATATTTTTCTTGGATATGATTTTGCTCATCTAAAGTCTTGACAGGCTTATTAATTGAAACCATCTCTTGAGTGGGCTGATTATCAATCACATCATCCATTTTTCCTGTCACTTGGTCAAGTTTCATATTTACTCTTACTAACCAATGTAACATTCCAAGAAATTTGTGCCAGGAGGAGCCACCAACTGCACTAATTTGTGATTTATTGATCGATTCTAAATATGGGTATTGTAAATTTTTCAAAATTTGATATACATCTGACTCAATTGATTTATTAAATTTATGTCCGGGATCAACTCTTTGGTAAAGCCATTTAAATATTATTAGAAATCCTTTTTGAGTAGGCTGCTTCAATGATTTAATAGATACAGGATGATTTGTCTCAATATCAAATTTATTTTGAATTAAATAATTAATAATTTCTTCTTGAATTGCTTGTTGAAAATTTCTATCTCTTAAGGGTCTTGTATCTCTACTAGATAAAGTACTATTATTATTATTATTATTTGTATTAAAATATTGAGATTCATTTCTTAAAAAATCTGTTGTTGGGGCTAATCCAAGATTTGAATAACGAGATGGTTTTCTATCAGGATTAGTAAAAATTTCATTATTAGATCTACTCGGAAGACTTCTTCTTCTTGTATTTTCTTGTCTTTTAGTATCTTGTTCATTAATCATCATTGTAGTTCTGGATCTTTTCCTTAAATTAGTATTTTGTGCCAAATTAGTTTGTTTATTTATACTATTATTAATCATATTAGAGAGTCCCGGTGTAGAGTTTACACTATTTCTTCTTCTTAAAGGTAAATTTGATATATTTGCATCTTGCATTGTAGAAGAACTCACTGTAGGCTGAGAAAAAGAAGGCATAGGTATTTGTGATTCATGTCTAAATGCCGTAGCTGATGGAATAGAACCTATTGAAACGTTCCCCGTTGATTGAAATGGATTAGGGATCTGACTCGCTACCAATTTTGAATTACTGCTCATCTTATTAATTTAACAAAAAAACAATCCGTTTGCAGCCAACGATCACTTTATCTTATTTTGATTACTACTTAAAAGCTGACTCTACAAACTTGATCTTGACTATATTAGGGATAAGATCAGCATAAGTATAGTTTATTCCATCCAATAATATACTGATTATTACGTGTGAAGGGCCCATCTTTTGTTTACTTATTTATTTGATTTCTTTGTTTACGCTTTGTAATTAGGAGCGGATCGTCTTCCACTATAATTTTTTTTTCCAATTTATCCATTTTGCTAAAAATTTGGGTACATTTCCTACGGCGATGTCTGTGCAGGTCACGTGGACACACTTTTAACAACATCAAATCCACTGTCTTTACAATATGATATTAGACCATCCACATGGACACAACCCAACTCCAACACCTTCTCACAAGCACCCAACAGATCTCCCCAACACCCTGCTTCACAATGGCTCCCAAAGGTCATTGAACCAGGCAAGTGCTTAGTGCTGTGAAGTGTCAGCAAAACAGCCGGAATAGCCAACCAAAAAAGCGAAACAAGAAAAACAGCCAACGATGACCATCGAGGCAGTGATGACGATGAACAAGAGTCATACATTGGATTGTGTTTGGCAATCTTTCACATGCTGGACGTAACATATTGTATTACCTTGCATGTATATAAGTAGAGGTCTTTCTGTTCTGGTAAGGGAGACTAGCTGGATCAATTTATCTGTTAAATAAATATATATATATATATCAGCTCGACAATGAAGATTTTACATACTATACAGGAAGTTGTTCAATGGAGAACCACTACGATTGATCGTCGTGGTAAGACGATTGGGTTTGTTCCAACCATGGGTTGCTTACATAACGGCCATGCCACTTTGATTAAACAATCTGTAGATAATAACGATTTCACTGTTGTTAGTATATTTGTCAATCCATCACAATTTGCCCCTAATGAAGACTTGGATCAATATCCACGTACTCCCGAAGAGGATATTAAGTTACTAGAGTCCCTAAATGTTGATGTTCTTTTCGCACCATCTGCCAATGAAATGTATCCACAAGGTATTCCATTAGACGTAGAACAACAAAGAGGACCATTTGTTAGCGTTTTAGGTGTTAGTGAAATGTTAGAAGGAAAGACTAGACCAAATTTTTTCAGGGGTGTTACCACTGTTGTGACTAAATTATTTAATATTGTAATGGCCGATAATGCATATTTTGGTCAAAAAGATATTCAACAATTTATTGTTTTGAATGTTATGGTTAAAGAATTATTCGTTAATACAAAACTAACTATGGTCCCAATTGTAAGAAATAATGCTGGATTAGCATTAAGTAGTAGAAACAAATACTTATCCCCAGAATATGTCACTATGGCCTCAAACATATATAAGGGTCTTTCTTTAGCTCAAACCACTATCGCCACTACCGTTGCTAAGGGTTTATCTGTCGAGAGAGATATCTTGTTACAAGAGATTAAAACTGCATGGGAACCATACACTAAAACAGCCGATTTCAAGATCGATTATATATCAATCGCAGATTTCTATACTTTACATGAAATGGATATTGTCGGACCTAGCGACAAGATCGTCATTAGTTGTGCCGTTAATGTCTTTGATAAGATTAGTAACAATACCGTCAGATTGATAGACAATATCGTTATGTAATAGTGAGATATACACATGTACATAGTAAAATAATATCATTTGATTACGTCTATCTATCTTATGTCAAGCGTCAACGCTGTCATTTGATGTCTATACATTCAACGTGATAAAATCCTGTCAGACAATGCGAAAAATTGTGTGGCAACAACCCCAATCGAATGTTTTTTTAAGGGAGATTTTATAATATATAAAGACAAAATGTTTTTTTGGGAAATGGAGAAAACTATCTTTATAAATATACTCAGTTATCTTTATTTTCTCATTTAGATTGTGGTTTATTAGACAATATATATAACTACGATCAAGGTAATTATTACACATTTATACGCATATATATATAATATATATATACACATTTGCTCTCTCCAACAGAGTGAAACATATGGTACAAATATATTAGGTGATTTCAAAAATAAATTGTACCTCATTTAAACGTGACTGTAACTCCAATAATTTTTTATTAGTATTATTACTACACTATTCGGCGTTTTGTGAAGCTCTCACAAAAACAGAAACGAGCAACAGCTATAAGATAAGGATAAGTATTGACATTATATATATATATATAGTGGCGAATTTGTTTTTATTTCAAACAGACATTATTCCAACCATTTCATTAAACATTAACTGATTGTCCCCGCCGCCTATTTCTATCTTTAAGTATGTCAGTTTACCAAAATAATTCAGAAAAAGATAAGACCAATAGTAACATTAATTCATTAGATCCACATCATTCCATTTATGATTTATTAGAAAGAAGTCATAATATTTTACCATTACCATCTGAAAGATTACAAGAAGAAATTAAAAATGAACATTTAAAGAATGAATCAGATATTTTTTCAGGTGAAACATCTTCCAAAGTAATTACTGAAAGACCCCTAACACTTGAAGAGGCAACACAGGACGATCATCAACAAGATAAACAAGAACTCCCAGAATCATGGTTTGCTATTCAAAAGAACGATATAACAAATTCGTGCCACGTGGAAAGATGCACGTCACAAACAAATACAGTTGGTATATTATCTTCTAGTGATACATCAGAAGAAGAATTAGATCCTCAAAATTCACCTTCTCCAAATAAATTATCTGTATTAAAGAATGATAATGATAGAAATTGTTCTACTAAAAAAACTGCACTACTTAATTGTATTAGTAGTAACAGATTAAATGTCAATCAATTGGATCCTTCTCAAAACAATCCATTTGATTTTAATCAAGGACCAGCAAAATCGAGATTACCATCTATTGGATTTAATCAATTTAACGAAGAGGATAGTGTGACGCTAACGAAAAGCATTTCTTCTTCGTCTGGTTCCTTTGTTATGCCTAAACTTTCAATTTCTAGAAAAGGTGAATGTTCTAAAAATGATGATAGGAAAAATTTTAAAATCTTAATTCTGGGAAGAATTGGTTTACAATTCTATAAATCGGTGCCAACAAGTCATGATCATTTCTTTTTCTTACCAAGAACATATGATAGCAATGAATACGTCGAGTATAACGGAATAATAATAGTAATTGAGGAAGTAAGTGAATTGATGAGTATTTTGAACAAAGTGTCACAAAAAGTTAAAAATAATATTCCAATTGCTGCTATTACTTTAGATAGTGACAATCTTCTACAAATCAAAAATGTATTAAACTCCTACCTGAGAAGAGGCCTTATTAATGTTATGTATCCACCTATCGTGCTCTCAAATGACAAAGAGGTTAAGAAATTATTTTCATTTTTATCTAGCCTTGAAGAAAAATTCATCAAACAGCAAGGTACCACAATAAGAGAAAAAAGAGTGTCGAGTTCTGTATACGTTTATACCTCCCACTCTTCTTCTGATTATTCAGATTCTTCAGAATCAAGAGGATCCATTAGTAATAAAAGACTAAAAAGACTACAGTATCAAAATGGCAATAAAATAAATGAATATATTTTGTCACATCAAGAAAAGAAAGATAGAACAAAGAGGAAACAAAACAAGAGTTCAAAACATAGATATAAATCAGTGACAGAAAATAAATGGTTTATATGGGGTGTGTCTTTATCAGTGGGAGTTGGTGTTGGATATTGTCTGTCATATTTTAATGTTGTAGGCTGGATAGTATGTTCCACAAGTACTTTCTTACATCCAAACAACAAAGATATCAAAACCATCACAGATGTTACCTCACATTCAACGTCATCAGTTTTGAATAAGTTGTTAAAATTTATGGACAGAGAAATGGATCCAGACAGCCATGGAATTTTTACCAAATCATTTAACGCTGTAAGGAATTGCGTGAAGAATGTTGGCTTTCTTTTGAAGAAAAATTTCAATAAAGGTTTAGCATTTTGTGAAGAAATGCATAATATAGCCTCAAAAGAAAGAAAATTATCTGTTGGATACAACCAGGATAATAACCAAAGTAAATTATTTGCATTAGGATACATCCTTTTATAAAAATGAGGGTATCCATAATTTTCAATTGTTTTTTATTTGAAGATATGACAATGTAAATGAATTACTGACCAAAGCTAGGTTTTTTTTTTAATTTTTATTCTTTTGGAAAACGATGCCACTCTTAAAACTTCAAGTAATAATATTCTAAACAAAGTTATTAAATTACATATATAATCTTTAATCTAATCTTATTAAATTTAAATAAAAAAGTTAACAAATTGTAAGAAACTCCCAAAAAAGTTTGAATCGTACACTCAAACAGTTCTAAAATGAGGGTAAAAATGTCTCAAATTGTTCTGAAGTGCGATGACATAGGACTGGAAGTCATCTTTCGCGTTAATGTATGATATCATCTAATACATTTATTTTACGCGGCGAGGCTTTGTCAGTTCATTTTTTTGAAATTTTGTAATAAGACCATCTACAAAAAGACAGCATGAATAAAATCACTATTACAATTATATTGCAAACAGAACATTTAGCCCATTATTACCTAGGATAAGTCGTTTCCCATATTAATATTCAGATATTCCACAGTTTATTATTAGGAAAACGAATAAAAGTGCCAAGTACGACACTAAATCCGCTAAAATAAACCTCATAAACCAGTTCATCAATACATGACAAACATATGCTACATTTCTTAACTAAACTAATACCGAGAAGGTTTTCTCCTAAGCCTCCTTACAAGGTTAGTATAAGAACTCAATTAACAGCGCTGGTAAGTCTTGTCGCCATCTTATCGTTGGTTATTCTAGCAGTTACAACAGGTGTTTATTTTACATCAAACTATAAAGATTTGAGATCGAATCGTCTATACATTGCAGCTCAACTTAAATCATCCCAACTGAATCAAACTTTGAACTATTTATTTTACCAATGTTATTATCTATCTTCAAGAGATACATTACAGAAGAGTCTCGCTAATTATGTTGCAGGGAACAAATCTGAGAGTAACTGGATTGATTCTCAGAGTATTGTTGAAAAATTCTTAAGTTCTTCAAATTTGTTTTTTGCTTCAAGAGTGTATGATTCTACTTTTACAACAGTTATGAATGCAACAAATAATTCGACCGGTGATCAAATACCAGACACTATCCTTTCGCAGTTATTCCCACTATCAACTAACATGTCGTTACCATCTTCATTGGACTCAGAAGGTATACTTACGGATCCGGTCAAAAATGGCTCCTCATATTTAATGTCAATGTCCCTACCAATTTTTACCAATCCTTCTATCATCTTAAGCGATGTTAGTAAAGTTTACGGATATATTACTATTGTGATGTCTGCAGAAGGTGCATATAGTGTTTTTCATGATACTACTGCCCTAGAGAAATCAAATGTTGCAGTGTTATCTGCAGTGAGAAATAATACAGGTTATCTTATCGGTTACCATTTTGTGTTCCCACCCGAGGGAACCTCGTCTGATATTATATCAACTGTATATCCCCTATCAAATGGCAGTTTCTTAAATTCGGCTGTCAGATTAGGCAGAGCTGGATCTGTGAAGAGTACGAAGTTTATTTATTCAAAGAACGTTGCTGTTGGTTACTCACCATGTACGTTCGCTTTGGTGAATTGGGTTGCCGTTGTTTCTCAAGCAGAATCAGTGTTCTTATCTCAATCAACTAAGTTAGCAAAAATTATTGCAGGTACAGTGGTAGCTATCGGTGTTTTCGTAATTGTTGTTACATTTCCTCTGGCACATTGGGCTGTCAAACCGATTGTTAGATTACAGAAGGCCACAGAACTAATAACGGAAGGAAGAGGTTTAAGAACCAATACACCTGGAAGTCGATCGGCAAGTCGTAATAATTCTATAAGACGAACATCGTTCCAATCCTCGAGATTTCATTTCACCAACAGTATAATGGGCAATTTAAAATTTGATAGAAATGAACCGAATTATAGTAATAGTATAAACGAAAAGGTTCATTTAACGCCATCATCATTATCAGCTTCTATACATGCTGATAGTTTACACCAAATAGACGGTAGTAACTCACGCCCAATGTCTCCTCTAGATGAAGCATCATCAAATAAAGAAGTTCATAGCGTGACAACAGACTCTAATGAAAGACTATCAAACAAATCTAGAAACCTTACCACCTCTACAAACTTAATTGAAGCCAGAGTTCCACTTTCGAGAACGTTGTTTTCTGACGAACTATCCGATCTTACGGAGACATTTAATACTATGACAGATGCACTTGATCAACATTATGCACTACTAGAAGATCGTGTTAGAGCGAGAACAAAACAACTAGAAGCTGCCAAAATTGAAGCTGAAACTGCGAATGAAGCAAAAACTGTTTTTATAGCAAATATTTCACATGAATTAAGAACACCGCTAAATGGTATATTAGGTATGGCTGCAATTTCAATGGAAGAAGAGGATATGGATAAGATTAAAAATAGTTTAAAACTTATATTCAGGTCTGGTGAACTTCTATTACATATTTTAACTGAACTTCTTACATTTTCTAAAAATGTTTTAAGAAGAACAAAATTAGAGAAAAGAAATTTCTGTATTACAGATGTCGCATTACAAATTAAATCTATTTTCGGTAAGATAGCTAAAGATCAACATGTTCGCCTATCCATTATTCTTTCACCAAATATTATGAGAACTATGATTTTATATGGAGATTCCAATAGAATTATCCAGATTGTAATGAATTTGGTATCAAACGCATTGAAATTTACTCCGGAAGATGGTAAAGTTGATGTCAGAATCAAACTTTTAGGTGAATATGATGCAGTCTTAAGTGATAAATTCCAACACAAGAAAGTATATGTTAAAAATGGTACAGAATTTCCAGACGATGAGTCTACTTCAAGAATAGGCGATACGAAAATTTCTAATAACGGGAAAATCGAGGATATAACTACCCTAGAGGGTAGTGATCTTGATAAAGTTCATGCGGATAGAATTGATGATGAGCATTCTTCAACCGAGTCTGACAGAGAGGGTGATGAGACAGATAGCAAATCGTTAGTGTCCCTAAGCACAAGCTCATATGATGATACCGTTTTTAACAGTCAATTTAAGAAAACTCCAAACCTTTACGAGGAAAGCGATACAGATAAAGGCACAGAACTAAAAGAACCCAAAACATGGGTAATATCTATTGAAGTTGAAGATACTGGTTCTGGTATCGATAAGAGTCTACATGATTCTGTTTTTGAACCTTTTGTTCAAGGTGATCAGACACTTTCAAGACAATACGGTGGTACGGGTTTAGGTTTATCTATTTGTAGACAACTAGCAACCATGATGAACGGTACTATGGAATTGGAAAGTAACGTTGGTGTTGGTAGTAAATTTACGTTTACCGTTCCTTTAACCCAAACAAGAGAACTACAATTCGATGATGTTGATACAGCATTTGAGGATGAATTTAATGCCAGAAGTAAGAAAAATAGAAAGGTCAAGTTCAGAGTTGCTAGAAGTATCAACAGTAGAAAATCTCGGTCCTCTATTGTTACAGCAGGTAGTAGTTCAAGAATTAGCCGCTTAAGTACGGAAGATGTTCAGGAAACACCTCTTGAGGATGCACCTGACGGTAAAGAAACTAATATCGAACAACAGAGAGAAGCAAGATTATCTAAGGAAAGCCATCATACAAAGAGCTCATTAAATCTAGATAGACCATTTTTACAAAGTACAGGTACTGCCACATCGTCCAGAAGCATACCGTCCCTTCTTAATAGCGGTAAGAGTTTACGAATTCTTGTTGCAGAGGATAACCATGTTAATCAAGAGGTCATTAAACGTATGTTGAACCTTGAAGGTATTAATTCTATTGATTTAGCTTGCGATGGGCAAGAAGCCTTCGATAAGATTAAGGAACTAAATTCCAACAATGAGAGTTATGATATGGTATTCATGGATGTTCAAATGCCAAAGATTGATGGTCTCTTATCTACCAGAATGATTCGTCAGGAATTAAATTATACATCTCCTATCGTTGCTCTAACTGCATTTGCAGATGATAGTAACATTAAAGAATGTATAGAGGCAGGTATGGATGGTTTCTTATCGAAACCTATTAAAAGGCCTCAATTGAAGACTCTAATAAAAGAATACTGCCCAGATTGGGAACCACCAGTCAAAAAAACAGAGCCTAAATCTTTAAAAGAAAGACCACCGACTAGAGCAACAAAAGAAGTTCCTACAGCTTCAAAGGAGGAATTGAAGCCGACGTCATCGAAAGACGTTCAACAGTAATAATTAACAATATTCTAGCATTTCTACTCCACATTTTAAAAGAGTATAACACACCTTGCATAATATGTAAATATACAATTATACATATATACACAAATATATTATATACTTCAGTGAAGACATTTCTGCAAAAACTGTTTCATCGAAGTTAAAACAAAAACAAGTAGTTTGTTATTCTTGATGATCAAGTATTTGTTATTTTTTTAAATTCCTATTTTTTATTCCATTAAAAGATATTAATAAATCTAAAAATTATTAAACGATATTATATATATAATAAGATGAAACAACTGAACCATCTCAATCATTTTAACTTCTTCTTTGGACGTAGTTGGTTGGTGTGACCACACTTTCTCTTTCTACAGTTGGTAGCTCTTGGTGGTAGTCTAGCGTAACACTTACGGCAAACAGACTTGTCACAGTTGTACTTAGAAGCTAGAGCCTTTAGGGATGGTTCAATGATACCACCTCTTAGTCTTAGGACTAAGTGAAGGGTAGATTCCTTTTGGATGTTGTAGTCAGATAGAGTTCTACCGTCTTCCAATTGCTTACCAGCAAAGATCAATCTTTGTTGGTCAGGTGGAATACCTTCCTTGTCTTGGATCTTGGACTTGACATTGTCAATGGTGTCGGAGGATTCGACTTCCAAGGTGATGGTCTTACCTGTTAGAGTTTTGACGAAACTATAATAAAAAAAGAATAAAATTTATTCAATCAACTGTTAGTAATCAATGATCGGTCGAAGAGGATAGTGAAACTACGAAATATATTCCTGCAGAAAAAATAAACAATATCTTCATCAATCAAATAAATAGGATAAACTATTCATTATACTTATTATCCTGGGGAGTTTCAATTCAATAAATTTCATAAAAAAAATATAAAATCCTTTGTCAATTTTAATTGGTAGTCATAAATCTACATTTTAATCAAATATAGTTTATGAGGTATTGAAAAAATATCAATATACTATATCTAATCCATTTTATTACAATCCATTTCTTTAATTATTTAATCTTAATATTTGTTTCTCATTTTTTTCCAAAACCTCTCTTATTGTGGTGCTTATTATCTTTCTTTAAAATATTTCGTAATCAGCTGAATTTATCATATTGTGGTACATACATTTGCATCTTTGAAGCTTACAGTCCTTTTTATTGTTAAAATAAATAATATATATTAAACAATTCAAGATTTAAAGCTTTTATTTAACGTGAAGTTGACGTTATTTTAATTAATAATACTACCTGATGCTACAAGATTAGGTGGCAGATAGTGAAAGTGGTTACGTTTCCTGGTAAATTGGGTCATCCTCCATACTAAACCCTGCACACGTATGGGTGGTTTTCAAGAATTAGTCGCTTCCCCCACCACCCTATCTTAGTAATGGATGAGTGAAAATTTCGAGCTCCTCCTGGAAAGGCGAGGCTATTGTAGAAGCCATTCAACGGAAAGATCCAGAGAGTATCTTCCTACCAGAGCCCCCCTACTCGGTAACTTCCAGACAGACCCAACAGTGATTATCCCTCCTTTCCGGTCTGGGACTTCACTATGCTTTACGAGCTCTCTACCGCTGGTTTTACCAATTTAGCTTGTTGAGAACAATTCGCGCCAATACGATAAGTATAAGTGAATTTAATGGCTTGCGCCTTGTTTTGTTTAATTTTTTTCAAATTTAATTTTGTTTTGAAAAAAATTGTTTTCCGGAATTGTAAACCCAGACATTATACTAAATGCATGGGTGCAATAACAGTCCAATGATATCGTTATTTTTATTTTATTTTTTTTGGTAAAATAACCATTTACCCTCACTTTTAAAATTTCAAAAATTTACACGTCTTTTCACAGTTAAAGATTTAAAGTAAACAGAGATGGTGATGGACACCTCTAAAGAGTAAAACAGAACCAGAAGATATAAAGTATAATCTTATAGATAATCTTTCCTTCATATCAATTGAACGTATGTGTAAATAAGCACGGAGATTAATATAGAAGAAATAATTGCAACTAAATACACTTTCACTCTTTTTACTTTTTGACATCGTTAAAAGAATTTAAAGATTATTTCATTTGACATTTTATCCAATTCAGAACACACTTTTAGTGTGTTGTAACAATATAAATATTTTTCAACTTAAAAAATGGATTCAAGCAGTAATACTACGCGACTGGCTGAAGAACTAGGTATTCCACAAGAAAAACTTATCTCAATTGACAATGAGACAACCCTAATATTACTTAATAAATTAAAAACATCCAAACTTACATCAGTAGATTTGTTGACAAATGACATACCGAATGTTGATCCCAATTTAAAGAAAAATCTTATAGATAAGAACAAAATAATATCAAAATTAAAAGATCAATATATTGAATTGTCGACAAATGTTCAAATACTTGAAGAAGAAAATGCATCGAATAGATGCGAACTAATGAGAAAAGCTGAAGAAGCATCATTATTAAATTCTCATAAAGTTTGGATGGAATCTCAAATAAGAAAGGATACCGAAGAGTTTATTACCTACAAGGAAACAAAACAAAATGAATTATCAGATATGAACCGAAAAGTTGTTGACGTATTAGACCAAAATAAACTTCTATTATCAATACAAAAGGAACTTCGGTCAAAGAATTCAGAATTATCTTCAATTGTAGAGACTACTTCAAAGGAATTAAAATCAGCAAAGGATATTTTGAAGTTGAAAGAATCTGAATTTACTAAAGAGATGAATGCCACCGAAAAGATGAAAGAACTACTTACAGAGCAACTTCGTAATTTTGAGCTACAAGCCAAAAATAATATTGAGAGTAGCTCAAATTCTATAGATTCACACGAAAGAGATAGATTAATAAATGAAATTGCATTAACCAAAGACAACCTTAAAGAATATAAACAAAAATGTGCTCATCTCCAGACAATGATTGATTCATTTATAACAAATGGAGGAGGTAACTTCGACAGTACATCTTTAAATCATAATCAACCACTGAATATAAACTATTTAAATGAAGAAATAGACTCTCTGAAGAGACAACTCCTTCAAGATAGACAACAGAAGGAACATCTGCAGAGGCAACTTGAGACAATGATAGCAGAGATGGAAACAAAAATGCCTTTAATAGAATCATTCAAAAAAAGAACCGAAGAACTCGAACATCAGTTACTTGACACTTCTGATTTATTGGAGAAGGTATCCCATGAGAAAACTGAAATGTCAAGGGATTTAAGAATTATCAAAAAGAAACAAGACGATAGAGCGGATAATATGAAATTACTAAGAATACAAAGAAATGATTTAGCACGACAGGTTCAATTTTTGTTGGCGGCCAATACACACATTGAAGATGGCTCAACGTTATTTTCATCTGACGAGTTAACACTTGTGAAAAAGATAATATCAAATGAAAATGAAAATGATTATAGTGATTCTCAAAAAGTTATATCAACTAGACTAGTTTGCTTTAAAAATACCCAGGAGCTTCAGCAAAAAAATATGGATTTATTGAATTCCATAAGAGGGTTGGCCAAACAACTGGAATTAATGGAAAATGCAAACGTTTCAAATGATAACCAAAATACGATCAAAGAGGCGAAATTGGCAATGATAGATTTACAAAATCATGCAAATGATTTACAAGATAATGTAGATACATTAACGAAGGAACGCAACTCCTTACGATTATTAATTCCACAAGGAAATAAAGTTCATAATTTAACAAAAAAGAAAAATAGTTCAATTAATTCAGATGAATCAACAGCTGAAGAACTATTTCATTTAAATGAGAAACTTGAAAACATGGAGTTAAAAAAGAATGAAAAAATTTCAGAGTTAAATTCAATAATCGAAAAGCAGACCGTGTCTATTCACCAACTAAAACTTGAACTTGAGAAAGCAAATAGCAGTAATTCACTATTACAAAGTCACGTAAATGATCTCAACCACGAAGTAAATGATATGAGCGGCTCCAGAAACTCAATAAAGGAGGAACTGGAAAAAGCACAAAGTACAATTATGCAATTTAAAACAAATGAATATGGTAACGGTAACCAAATTAACGAACTGACTAACCAGTTATCATCTCAAAAATTATTACAAGATAAAATCGAAGCTCGTAGTAACCAAATGGCAGTGGAGAGAAGTTCAATACAGGAAAAATATATAAAAACTTGTGAAGAAAAAAACGAGTTAAAGGTTCAACTAGGAGATTTAGAAATAAAGTTAAAGACACTGGAAGATACATATACAGCGTCTATTGATCAATGCAATACATTAAAAAGGGAGATCGAATTATTATTAGGGCAGGCAAATGACCAGCAAAAAATGTTACATGATTTAGAAGAGAAACGAAGGACAGAAATTCAATGGTTTCAGGACGAATCAATTTCGATCAATAAGAAATATATCGATGCTGAAACGACTATCTCTAAAATCACGAGAGAAAATGAAGATCAAAAGCAAAAGCAAATAATGCTCAACATTGAATTACAAAGTCTAAAGTCAACCCAAGATAATAATGGGACATTACATTATAACGAGGATGTATTAAATAGTGAGGCAGATCAACCAATAATTGAACCATCTAAAGAACTAAACAACGGGTTCTCAGATGGAACACAGAAGGATATGGTTAACGATGGTCCAAATATTTTGGAATTAGAAGCCAAAATTCGCGAGCTAGTTTTATCCCTTTCAGTTATGAAAGATCAGAATAGCTCATTAAAGAAACGCTTAATAGAAACCCAAACGATGCTTGAAAAAAACTCAAGCGAAGACACACACACACCAGACACATTCAAACACATAAAATCAGATGAACTTCAAGCCACTTCTACTGATGGTCAAGATTCCATTATTAGCCATTTCGAGGAGAATATTAACATATTGGAAAAGCAGTTATCGTTTGCTAATGAGAAGTTTGAAGGATTATCTACTCAAAATGACCTCTTGTTAGAGAAGCTCCACAAAATGGAGTCTATTACTGACAATCCATCGATTGATGATATATTAGTATGCCTAAAACATGAAAGAGATAACCTCCGTAAAAGGGTGGATATTCTAGAACGCGAAATGAGGACCAAGGCTAATGCCTCCTCACATTTACATAGCACAGAGCTACGGATGTCTACCAGTCAGCCTAACGCCATAGCTGAGAGCCACAACGAATTAGTGAATAAAATTCATGAATTTAACATTATACAACAAAAAAATGAAGAGTTAGAAACTCAATTAAAGAATTTGAATGATGAAAAGAATGCAAACAATGACGAAATTGATCAATTGAAAGGTCAATTAGAACCGTACAAAACAACAGTTAATGAACTAAAAAAGACTATACTAGAGAAAGAACAAAATGTTAAATTATTGCAAGAGGAGAGCAGCAGGTGGAAAACACAGTCAATGAGACTGTCAAGCGAACCCAAGTCAGATCCAAACGAAGTCCTCGAACTTAAAGAGCAAATTAATGCATTGAATGCAAACATTAGCGCGAAAGACTTGCAGAGCAAAGATATGGATGAAAAATTTGCAAGATTGAAAAAACAAGCCCACGAGAGATTAGATTCTACAAAACTTGTTGTGAACCAATTGAATGACGAGATCAATATACTGAAATCTGAGAAGGATGCTTTACAACATGCTTTGGATGATAAAGTATCTGAATGTGATGGAATGAATCTGAAAATCGAAGAATTAAAAAATACCGAAGGCTCAAGCAGATCTCAAAGCAGCGAACCTAAGTTATCTCATGATTATGATCCAAAAGAACAGATTATTGAGTTAGAAAAGGAGATAACTTACTTAAAGGGAAAACTCGAGCTATTCGATGAATCAGCGAAGAGTCCCGACCTTATCAATTATCTGGAAAAACTCGATAATATCAAAAAGCAATTTGAAGAAGCTAGAGTGGAGGAACAAATCATACACCAAAGTGACATTAATCCAGATTTGGTAGGTATGGGAAGTAGTTTAAATGTTGATAAGAATTTATTGGACAAGGAGAAGGAGAAATGGGAAATTGAAACTCTGAAACGGATAAAAGATGCGAAGGAAGACTTAAAGAGGCACCTAAGGCAACCAACAGAAGAAAAAATTAATAGAGTAATTGAGAAAAGAAAAAGAGAACTACAAGATAATTTCGATGAATTGGCGCTCGAAAAAGCTAAGTCGCTTATCTTGTCAAATGAGATAAATCTAACAGCTGCTCAAGTAAAAGAGGAACTCAGACAAAGAGTTGAAACCGAGATGCAGGAGAACCTTGAGCAATCGAGAAAGAAAATTTTTGAGGAAGGTAGACAACAAGAATTAATGAAAACAAAATTATTAGAAAGAAAGCTATCAAAACTAGAAGATTCCCAGAACATAACCACTGAAAGTCCAAGTCGAGAACAAGGGAATAAAGGAGAGAGCGATCAACAAAATAATGCAAGTATACAACTAGGAATTAGTGCTAATTTCCCAAATTTTGGATTACCAACGGCAGCAACTAATAATCCATTTACGTTTTCTGCACAATCCTCAAATTCATCATTAGGAACATTCCAAACACAAATCACACCTTCTCCGTTTGTCAGTAATAAGAATACAAACTTTGCACCTATATTCGGTAAACCGTCTACATCTTTTGGAATTAAGGATTATAGAGCACCAGAAATCCAGGATGTAGACAATACAACAAAATCAAGTTCTGAAACAGCGAACAAGGTGTATTTTGATAACAGTAAGACAACTAGTTCTTCTGATTCACACGAAACTGTTGAGAGGCCGTTCAAAAGAAGTAAAACTGAAGAACCATAAATAAAGAATGCGTATGTCGTCAAATAATGTAATATTTTATAAAAAAAATTGAATAATCAAATAAATTGCTCATTTCTTTACCCTGGGTTTTTGATGTCTTGAACTTCATTCAAGATGGTATGTTTCCGGAGTATTCAGCTAAGAAAGCTTCGCGAGATTTATTGTATTCATCTTTTCGCAATATAATAATCGTCAATATTTAATAATAGCAACCATAACAATAATAATAGTAATAATAAAAAAAATGACAGACGGGACTAACATTTGTATCAAGGCAATATTGATCTAGCAAACATTGTAAGTAGAAACCCTGTAATTAAGTTTAAAATATCCATGGATGATCCTCGAGAGCCGAAAGAAGTCGACCATTATGATAACAATACGTCTGATAGCGATGAGGAACATGCAATACAACGACAGTTAGATGAAATCGCTGCTCAACGAGCAGACCTAGAGAGAAGATTACAATCGAAGAAAGAGAGATCTAAAATATTAGATCCTAACTTTAGAGGTGCTCAAGTTCCACGTTCCCCTGAGAAGAAAAAACCCATAGCTAAGGCTAGTTACCAGAAAAGTCTTCAAGACCAGCAAAGGACGGCAAACCTAGCTCTTCAGCAAAGCTTAAATAATAATGAAGTTATGTTATCAGCAAAACTTGAACGTGAGTATTCAGTTAATAGTGATGGTACAAGTGTGACTAATAAACCATCTTACTTTTCAAAACAATTCCGACAATCGAAACAACATGGTAAGGAAGCCATTCAACAATATCAAGAAATGATGAGCACTAGAGTTCATGCATTTGATAATGTCACTGAAGGTAAAACATATCCAACAATAATAACTGATGAAATAGACGAGTTTTCTAATATGTGGGTGAAGAAAAGGTATATTCCTTCTAGTGATTTGAAAGACATGCTCCAAGATATAAAAGTTCTGCGATTAAGTAAACTATTTGCTAAAGTACGTCCACCAAAGTTTCAAGAACCTCAGTATTCGAATTGGGCCACTATCGGGATAATATCAAAGAAGGATGAAATCAAATTCACATCTTCTGCAAAACCTCAAAAATATTTTAAATTTGTCATAACAGACTTTAAACATACCTTAGATATATATATATTTGGTAAAAAAGGAGCAGAAAAATATTATAACCTTAGAGTAGGTGATATTATCGCAATATTGAATCCTGAAATATTACCGTGGCGCCCAAGTGGTAGAGAACAGTTTATTAAATCATTTAACCTACGAATTAGTCACGGTTACAATTGTATCCTAGAGATCGGTCAAAGTAAGGACATAGGGTGGTGCCCTGAAATTATTAAAAGCAAGAATATTGCTTGTGGAACTCCTATCAATATATCTACAGATCGATGTTGTGAATTCCATCGGGAAATTCAGTTCCGTAAAACAAATTCCAAACGTGTGGACTTAACTGGTAACTATGCCTTAGGAGCTCCAATGAAGGCTGAGAATCAACCTATGTTATATAAATCCAAGACTGGATCTGCTAATGCAAAACCAACTACAAATCAATATCGAATGCTACCGAGTTGGTCACAACAAAATCCTCAGTTCTATGATAAATATGGAGGGAAATCCAGACATTTCAGTTCATCATCAGCGGCTAAGGCATTCTTTGATGAGAAATATCAAAATCCTGATATGTTAACAAATTTAGATAACAAGAAGAGAAAAGTTATGGATAAGAGAAAAGATTCTCAAATTGATAAACAATTAAATAAAATATTGAAAAGGGGTACAAATGATGTTGAGGGACTATCAAATGAAAGGAAAGCAAAAAAAATGAAAGCAAACACTCAGCATGTATTAGAAGGTGGACTAATTCAAAGATTAGGCTTTGATCCTACTCATGGGCAAATGGCCACCGTTTTGAATCATCATACCAGCGACATGAAATCAAAAAGTACACATCCAAATGAACAAAGTCAATCATTACGCAAAAAGAATAATGACATTAACGATTTAATGAATTTTAAAAAGGAAAAAGTTTTCTTAAAACCTTCAAAAGTTGCACTTATGAATAAAATTAATCACAGAGAAAGTGTATATAGAGCTACATTCCAGGAAAATGACATTCCATCAAAAGAAATTAATGATAGCGATAGTGATTTGGATATTATTTAAATATCTTCGTATCTCACCTTGTAATAATATGAATTATTTTATAGAGTATATATGTATATATAATGGATGATATGTGAATATTAGTTATGCGTTCAATGGAATGAACTTCCATTGTAGACACCATCTAAGGGTATCGCTTAATTTTATCGTAGCTTTTGAATTGACAGCCAATTTATAATTTTGAATTCTCTCTGATTTGGGAATATTTTGGTCTTTCCTTGTATTATGCAAAATAAGGTTATATTTTTCATGTGGTGTTATAACCATAGTTTCATTCGAAGATAGTGCTTTTATATTATGAATGCTTAGTAATGCATCGTATTTTGATTTATCATGAACATCCAACAATTTTAGTTTGGAATGAAATTGCCATAGTGATACCTGTAGCGTGGATAACATACTATGCTGGTACAATTCCGGGGATTCTTTGATTGGGGGTTTCTTGATATAATCATTGTATGATATTGATGAATATTTTAATGTAGTGTCTGTCTCCTTAATCTTAGAATCAGCCAGAATATCGTTCAATGTTGATTTTTTTATAATTTTTGATTGGTTATATCGATTACGCTCATTCACTTGTTTAACAATACTAGTAATGCTTGATGTTTTGTGGGCGATCTGGGTTTTACGACAGTTATTCTTCTTTAAAGCAATCGCACTCATAACAGTGGAAATATTGACATTCTGGGATTTTAAAGGTGTCTTTGTGTTTTTCAGTTGAATGGATCTGCGTAATTGATTAAATGGAATAGCAACTGAAATGTTTTCCCTTTGTTTCGATAGAGGTAATCTGAACTCTGTCATCGATGTAATTTCCTTTTGATCGATTAAACGATTTTCCGCAGGTGATCTTACAAAACCTCTTCTCTTCATAGCGATATTCAATTACTTGGCAACAAAATCTGATCTTTTAGGTAGCATCAAATGTCGTATACTAACGTTAATAATATGGTACACTATTTATGTTTTTCTATCTGTTACTTTCTCTGGGTTATAGCAATCTAGAACTCATCAATTTCATTTTAAATGTGTAAATAACTAAAAGGGTAACGCCCCAGTTTTCGCGCGTAGCTTATGTAGAAACCAAACAATGAGGAGAACCTCTATGGTATATGAACTTGAATTCATCGTTACATCGTTATCTATTTATATTTATGTATATATCTATGTGTGTCTGTGTTTGTTATCTTAATCTGACCGTCTATCGTTTTGGAAGTACGTTCCTCAGTTTCTCATCCTGAGCTAAACGTGATGATGCCATGTTGGATGTAGTACCCAAATTTCTGGCTGAAGTTGTATAATTATTAAAGGTTCTTGACGAAGGTGGAGCCATTGAGGTTATTGTTCTTGAAGGTGCCGTTTGAGGTTTTCTGGAAAATGCATTGTTGATTGTGCTTGGTATTGTTTCGTTTCTCGTCATTATTGTAGGAGTGTGCAAGTTTGTATGATATGTGATTGGTTGTTTAGTATAAGCAGTCCGATTTGGCATCCCTGTTGTAATATCATTGTCTATATTAGTATTATGAGATGTTTCCAACTCTTCCTGTGAGTCTTCTACTATTTCATATGCCGGTAAAGGTTTTTCAGTTTTCGTATCGATCCAGGGGAAAAATCCTGTACCAAACCAAAAATGTTGAACCACTGGATATTTATTTAAGACTTCTTCATCGTACATTTTCATTAAACCTTTAAATACTTTGGACCAGTGTTTTACATTATGTGATATATCATAAAGGATAGGGGAATGTTCACTAAATGGACCAGATTTAACTTGAAAAATAAATGAAAGTGCCATACAATAAAAATTTTGATCCTTGTATTGATTTAGAACAGATTTATCTAACATATCCTTAGGCAATATTATCTTTTCATTGCCAATCCATTGAGATGCTCCAAGTAAATATATAAAATGGAAATGATCATCTAAACCCCAAACTCCATGTGATCCAGCAGGTTCTAAAGTATATGTAAGAATAAGTTTTTTCACTAACTTATAATAATGATTAAATATTTCCATTATGGTATAACCAGTTAAATTTGGTAATAGATCAGACATATCTAAAGCTGCAATAAATGCAACAAATGATAATTCATGCCCTGTTCCAAAATCTAATCTTGTCTTTGAACCAAAACAATTTTGAATATAATAAGTCATTTCTAATACAAATCCATTATCAATATTTTCAACACCATTTCTCCTGAGTAAATTAGTTATTTCATCGGTAATTACTGCATTCAATTTATCATGCCATATTCTACATGCAAGGTTACCGTACCGTCTTGGTCCTTCAAATGGCGGTATATCATCGATGTAACCAGAAAGACGATTTAATATTTCGATGACATCCATTAATGCACCTGATGACTCTTTATCCAGGGCCGCAGCCTCATTCTTAGGGTAATATGTCTTTGATTCTACTAATGAAGTGTATTTTGAGACGAAAAATTTCAGTCGAGTTAATGCTTCAGAATGCTGAAAATAGATTGTTGTCTGTGAATCGAATATTCTCTTTATAGGTGAAGAAAATACAGTGTCCTTTGGGAATGCACTTAACGGTTTCTTATGCACCACCATTTTTTTCTGTGGTTTTGTTTTCTCTCACCACAGTAACGAAAATAGATCTAAATATTATAAAATACTCCTAATGAGGGTACGATTCTACAACACCCTTATCAAACAGTCACAACTCAACTACAAAGAAATGTAGTTATAATGGTTAAAGTACTAAAAAAAAGTATCATCAAAGTTGTCATTTATTGTTACCTTTTGTTCTCTTTTTATCGCTCAAAAAATGACGATTTTTCGGGTTTTCTATCTTTCTTTATGGAAGAAATTATAACAATAAAAAAAATACTTTATTTGGTAAAACTTAAAGGGGGGAGGATGATAGTTCAGTGAAAGTATCCAATAAGAAAGTTGTTGCAAAGAGGAACTAACCGTTTATCTGAATTTCTGATCAAGAAGTGTGTGTTTTCTTAACTTTTGTGCTCTTTTTCAAACTTGATAATTTAACTCATCGCCCCTCCCTTTTCATTCATAATTTTGCAATGAGTAGTGAGAAACATCATAAAAGTATACTTTTAACTAACCCTGATGGGTTTCAATCTCACTTATTTGAACCGACTACAAGCGACACTAATGATGTAGCCAACATCGAACATATTGTACCAGCAGATGAGCCTGAACCAATCAGCCCAGAAGGTCGTAGAGGTGGCAGTGTTGATGGAACTTCTGGGAAGGGAGTTCAATTTGACTCTGAACAATTGGAGAGAGGTAGAAGTCGTATTATGAAACGTGATATTGCTGTACGTAATGATAGTAGTGGATCTCGTTCCAATAGTAAAAGTGTTGGTAGTATGAGTAGATCTAGGTCAAGGTCAAGGTCAATGTCTAGGTCAAGAAGTAGAATTCGTGAGGAAGAATTTTTAAAATGGACAGTACTAAGACAGGATCCATCAATGAGACTATATAATGTAAAGCGTAAGAATATTAAGAAGAAAAATGTTGCTGATGAAGATGAAGATGAAGAAGAAGGAGAAGGACACTCTGATGATTCCGAGGACGAAGATGAAGATGAGGAAGATGAGGATGAAGAAGAGGAAGAAGAATCTGATGAAGAACAAGTGAGTGATATTGAGGATGATGCTGAAATTGATTCTAAATTTGATTATGATCCTGGGATGAAAGTCTTACCAAATTTTGTTGTAAGTATTAATGATGTATTGGAGAGTAAAAAACCATGGATTTCAAAATTTGTTAGTGATGGAGGTGATTCAAAAATTGAAGAAGGAATTAAATTTGATAAAATCGATGAAGGATATGTACGTGGATTAAAATTATTAACTAAAAGATTAAAAGTTGAAGGACCTATTGCAGAAACAATTTCTAAAAAAGATGATAATGATACAACAGAATCAACTGGGAATTGTTATATATTGTATGTTGATATGTCAAGTGAATCAATGTATGCATTAACATATATGATGGGAACAATTGTTAATAATGGAGATACATTATATATTGTTCATTGGGAATCTAGTTCAAAAAATGTTTCGGAAGAGACCATAAGACAAAATATTGTAAAACTTGGTGAGCATTGTTATCATCTATTTGATTGTATTAGTGGTGTAGTTGATACATTAGATGTAATAATATTATCATTAACTCATCCATATCCAAAACATTTATTGAATGAAATGATATCTACATTAAAACCACAAACGTTATGTTGTTCATTATCAATGATTTTATCAGGTTTGCAAAATTTTGTTTGTGGTGTACCTACTCTAGTCATAAGGAAAAAGCTAAAGAGAACTAAGAAGAAAGGTATAATGGAATAAATAAGATAAGTGCTTATTTTCCCAAAAATAAAAGAAAAATAGTATATATACATATAAATTAATGAATAATAAATAAATAAAAATTTCAAAGAAGCAACACCAGCAGCTTGAAATATATCTATACAGAGACATGAGCATCGAGAAACGTTAAGTCAACGTGACATCTCTCTCCCGGAAAAGAATTGTACAGATCCGGTTCTTCCTATTCCAACATATGTATGTATTGAGTCATCCATAGTGGTCCAGACGAGAATTCAAGAACCCCAGTTAAATGAATATACATACACACACACACACACACACACACACCAAGCAATCACTTGTAACACTAACCTGCCATCCATTGATCGAGTGATCCTGTTGCTTATTGCTATATTGGTTGAGTTTGCGTATCATTTCAGACTACCAGTCGCCGTTTACCCTCCCCTTTCCCAGGACCACTCATTGCCCGTTTCTCCGCGATGAAAATGGGCGGATTCTCGGCGTTAACGCCGTTCCATTGTGGTTCGGCGGGATTTGTGCGGGGAAGGCAGATTTGGGGTGAAAACACACTTCTCTCACTCTCTATGTATATATAAAGAGGGAATGAAGGACCTTGGGATAACTAGACAGTTTTCTCTCCCCTCCTGTCCAATATTTGCCACAACGTACTATTTTTTGCAGGGTTTTTTGGTTGTTGGAAAGTATTAAGGACAGTATAGATATATATTTCGACAATTATTAGGATGTTCGCGACTGCCGGGAAACGTCTTTTGAAACCAAAAGTTTTCTTAGGCGTGTCTTCCATTACAATACTTGGTGGTTCTATTTTATATTTTAATGCAAAGACTAAAAAATCTCCTTTGGCAGATTATACTAATTTAAGTCCCGTAAAGACTCTAGAATCTGTAGCTGTGAAAGAAGTTTCAACTCCAAGTCGTGAAACTTTGTTAGATAAATTATCTTCAACTCCGCAATTTGATGTATTAATTATTGGTGGTGGTGCAACAGGTACAGGTTGTGCTGTTGATGCAGCAACAAGAGGTTTAAATGTCGCATTAGTTGAAAAAGCGGATTTTGCTTCAGGTACATCTTCTAAATCTACTAAGATGGCTCATGGTGGTGTTCGTTATTTAGAGAAAGCTTTCTTAGAATTTTCAAAAGATCAATTAGATTTAGTTGTCGAGGCTTTAAATGAGAGAGCTCATTTAATTAATACAGCTCCACATTTATGCAAAATTTTACCTATCTTGATTCCAGTTTATACATATTGGCAAATTCCATATTTTTATGCTGGCTGTAAATTTTATGACCTTTTCGCAGGTTCACAAAATTTGAAAAGTTCTTATCTTTTATCAAAATCAAGTGCAGCAGAATTAGCACCAATGCTAGATTCATCAAAATTAACCGCAGGACTTGTTTATCATGATGGTTCATTTAATGATTCACGTTTGAATTCAACTTTAGCAATTACAGCCATATCAAAAGGCGCTACTGTATTAAATTATATGCAAGTTCAACAATTAATTAAAGATGAAAAAGATATTGTTAAAGGTGCTATAGTTAAAGATGTTGAAACTAATAAAATTTATGAAGTTATGGCTAAGACTACTGTTAATGCAACAGGACCTTATAGTGATCATATTTTACAAATGGATAATAATAAAAATGGTTTACCGGATATCGATTCATCAAATTATCATTCAGATGATATCACTCAACAAATTGCTGTTAAAAATCCGAAGATGGTTGTTCCATCATCTGGTGTTCATATCATTTTGCCAAGTTTTTATTGTCCAAAAAATGTGGGTTTATTAGATGTAAGAACTTCTGACGGTAGAGTAATGTTTTTCTTACCTTGGCAAGGAAAAGTTTTGGCAGGAACAACTGATATACCTTTAAAACAAGTACCAGAGACTCCAACTGCCACTGAAGCAGATATTCAAGATATCTTAAAAGAATTACAACATTATATTAAATTTCCTGTAAAGAGAGATGATGTCTTAAGTGCTTGGGCTGGTATTAGACCTTTAGTGAAAGATCCAAGAATCATTGAAAATGAAGGAGGTAAAACTGAAGGTTTAGTTAGATCTCATTTCATATTCACTTCACCTTCTAATTTAATTACTATTGCAGGTGGGAAATGGACTACTTATAGAGAGATGGCAGAAGAAACAGTTAATGAGGTTGTAAAAGTTGGAAATTTTAAAGATATTAACCCTTGTTCAACAAGAAAATTGAAACTAATTGGTGCAGAACATTGGAATCCAAATTTAGAAGCGTTATTAGCACAAAAATATAATTTATCTTCAAAGATGGCTCAACATTTAGCTGATAATTATGGTACAAGAGCTCCTTTAATTTGTGAATCCTTTAAACAAAATAATATTAATCAATTGCCTGTCACTTTAGCGACAAATTTCCAAATTTTAAGTGAAAAGGCCCCTTCAAGTAATTCAAATGAAGTTGATACTGTTGCTGATATTCATATCATTGAAAATAATGAAATTAATCCATTTGATTCCTTCCGTTATCCTTTCACTATTGGGGAATTGAAATATTCTATTCAACATGAATACACAAGAACAGCTTTGGATTTCTTACTAAGAAGAACAAGATTTGCATTCCTTGATGCAAGACAAGCATTGAATGCCGTAGATGGTACAGTCAAAATTATGGGAGATGAACTTAAGTGGGATGATAAGAGAAGGTCTAAAGAAATAGAAGACACTAAACGTTACATAAAAACTTTTGGTGTTTAATCTAAATGTCTCTTTTCTTACATTAAACTAATATTCAATTACTATTCTTTTTTCTTCTTCTTTATTATTACTTATTGCCTGAGATAAAAAAAAATCTATTAAATTACCAATATTTGCAATGCCTATTTTTCTTTTAATTAAAATATTGGTAATTTTATGTTCTTCTTTTCATTTATTCTTATTATTGATCATCCCAGTATTGTGACTTCTCTTTTAGTACTTTTTTTATATACAAATAAATAAATAAGCAAGTAAATAAATATATTCATATACATATTTAAAATTAATTATATTATGCACTTTTCTTTCATTTAGATGATTTCATATTTTTACATATCTATAACCAACTATTTACGTATCAATTGAAGCATCAGATGAATCACTGTAAAGAATAAGCTTTCTAATTAATTCTTTGGTAAAATAAAACATAAACATCTTTACTTGATATCTTATTAATACCGTTATCTATGTTACCATGATTCCTTTCTTCTTTAACAACTTCATCATCAAAATAATACCATTTTTGTTCCTTACCTCCCAGACTATGATCGTAATCTTTATTGATCAAAGATGTATAATGACCACTTATCAAATTACCAGTATGGTTAACAAGAGCATATAGTCTATATTTCACAACCTCTTTATTTTTTAAAGTCATAGTTAGAATTAATGGATATGTAATAATAGTGTTATTCTTCTTGGTTAGATCATAGTAGAATCGAGATAAGTGGATCATCAAAACTTTGGGTAAAGTAATAAAATTCAATGTCTTTACGGTAACAAGTTTCTTATTCTTCCAATGCCTTAATTTCTCATCATCTAACTCATCAAAATCATCTTCTGATTCTTCATAAGTGTTATATCTGTGATCAGCTTCAGATGAGCTAGTTATTGGGATAGAATTTTCTTGTTCACGATTCTTTGATTCGCTTCTTTTAATTAATCTAAATGGAGATAATGACCTGTTAATGGTCTTGGGTTTCTTTCTCTTTGAACCACCAAATTTGAAGATGGAATGTTTTTCACGACTTCTCTCATGGGATTTAGTTGGAATTTGTAAGTTTTGACTTTGCTTCACTTTCTTTTTCTTTTCTAATAATTTCCTCTTTTGTTCCTCATAACATCTAGGGCAATTCCATGCATTCTCACCAGATAAAATTTCATCAGCAGTAAACATACTAATACAATCTTCAAGATTAATGCTTTTCGATAACTTCGTAAAACTTTTTTGCTTTTTTGGAATAGCTAAAGATAGCACATAAAAGCTCGAATAATTGTATGTACAATATCCACACCTTTCACATTGTAAACAACTTTCCATTTGACCTTGGAAAAAATCATCAATTGGTGATAATCCGTTTCCCATTACATTTTCATCAAACCATTTCTTATACTCCTTTTCATTAACTTTTAGATGAGCAGTGTCATACAACAGTAGCTTTGGATTTTTATTAACCACCTCATTTTGTTTTGATAATTCATCATGCAATCTATCAAGCATTAGCATTAAAAATTCTTGTGTATCCTGTTGATCATCTGGAATTTTTAAATCGGGTCTTAATATACTACATGTTTTTAGAAATGCAATAGGAACTACAGAACAACCTCCGTTTAAGTACATTTTTCTGAAGAGAATATTCAAAGACTTGGATAGTGAAAGCTTCCTGCTATTAGCAGAAATATGTTTATCTGACATATTTAAGTATTTTTCATACTCGTTACTCAGAAATAAATCCCTAAAGGCTGTTGTAGAGAATAGACATTGTATCATACTATTAATATAACAAGTATTCCCCAAGTTTCTTAAACCTGTAATTGATAAGGAGACAAATATATTTGAATTTTTTTCGATTGTTGGAATAGAGTAACTTCTTGTTTTGACAGATTGTTTATTTTTATTTTCAAACAATTCGAACTTTGTCATTTGTCTATTCTCTGGGATGGTTGATGGGAGTACTGGTATGTGTGAAGGAATGCGGGTGATTGGACTATTACTATTCCTTTCCATTTTTATTTTAGCAGGTAATCTCGGCGGTATCCCTGGCGGTGCCAACATTGGAGGTGGAGGGGTCTTGGGTCTTGTTGCCGGAGGTGGAGGCGGAGGTCTTTTCCTTATCCTGAAAGGAACCTCTGGTGGCCTAAATGATGGTGCCTCTGGAAACTTATTATTGGATACTTTCTCAGAGGGATAAGGTGCTTGTCTATCGTTATTAGAATCAGTATTTGTAGGTGATGCTACAGTTTGACTAATCTTCTTACCTTCTCTATCGTAAGGGCCGTATATATATTGTCTGACATCTATATCGTATTCCTTTGTATATTTATGCATCATTTTCTTCCATTTCTCAAACCCACCTAACAACGCTGTTGGAGCACGTTTAAATTTATCAGTGGATTTTACTGAAGTAATAAGTAAGTAAAACAATACAAAGTGATAATCGAAATTTAATTTCATGTATGTTTTCATATCAGAATAGTACACAATATAATCAAATTCATTTCTATGAGTAAACAACTCATTATTTAATGATTGTTCGATGATTTTGATATCATATATTGGTGTACCCTTTTCAGAATCCCATAAAACAGTTGGATCCAATTGGACATAATTATCAGCAATTATATTATTATAGGCGTACCTTTTCTCTAATCTTAAATCAATCAGTAATAGTTTCTTTCTATCAATAGGGTTTGTTAAAATTGAAAACAATTCTGGGGCAGTTATGATACTCTGTTTTTCTAACCTTTCTATAGACCGAATAAAATCGTCTGTTTGATCATAATAATTTTCATTTTTTAATTCATCGTTGTCGTTCTCCATCATATAAACGGAATGATATGAGTTTTTTCTATGTGTCAAACTTCTATCAGCTATCAATTCCTCACTACTACCAAGTGGGCTCTTCCTGTAATTTGAGTATGGGTATGCATTATTTTCGTAAAGGTTTCGGTTGTTAGACTCGTCAAACATTGACATTGCAATACTTTCAGTTCTTGCACGAAGTAAAGGTGCACGTTTATCACTTATAGTATTATTAGTACCTGATATATTAGATGCATTGGCGCCTTCATTTACTTCATTGTATTTGGGGAATTCGATCGGTTGGGAAAAATCCTCTTCTGTTGGAATAGCTGGTAGTGTAAGTGGTTCTGAATACAATGCTATTTTCAATTGATCATTGGGTTCTAATGCAGGAGCAGTCCATAATTGGGAGGCAGAGTCACCTTCATCAGTAAATAGTTCACTATCACTATTGATTGGTAGTCTATCAGTGTCTTGATGGCCACTGAACACATTACTACTATTATATTCATCATCTTCTGTTGAAGTTATGGAGCTTGAATAACTTGAACCCGCTGGTTGGCTACCATTTTGATTATTCTTATAAGGTATGATTTCATCTAAATTTTTAGTAGTTGTCGTTATCATTGGGTCATTAATTTTTAACTTCTGTAAGGATTCCGATATTGAATCATCTGGCACTGAATATGCTCTTTTCCTTTCCATTAGTTGTGTAAGATTAATTTGTTCGGGGCTTGTGCGATCTAGTATATGATCAATCTCATCCCTTACCATCAGACGTACATTTGTCATATTCATTTGTCCCTCATATATTGCTTTCATATCAGTGTATATACTATAATCTTTATTTTTAGTTTGGAATTGGATAGATTTTGGCATTATTAGGTACACATAAAAGCAACCAATTATGTATGACGTAAGTGAATCATTATCATTTTTATCATTGACAAACCTTACGTAGAGTTCAAATAAATACTGTGTATGTTCCAATAGATCAATTAGTTTCTCTAATTTCAACTGTGAATAATAATGCTTAATGTCATCTTTATAGATACTTTTAATCCTTTTAGCTAACTCTGGAGAATATTCTGGAGAGAATAATACCACTTTCTCTTTATTCATTGTATGTATGCAAAAAAAGGGAAGGATGTGTGGATCTTTTCAATGTATATATATAGAGAGAGAGAGAAAATGTATTAAATTCTGGCCAGATTAGTTAGTTTGTTCGAGTATAATATATAATGAATTAAACTGTTTTAAATTGTATTCTGTTCTTCATGTTTTAGTTTATTTGATTTGATTTATAAATAAAAAATTGATTGTTCCTACGGAATTCCCCGGATTGGATTACGATACGCTGAGGGGTTGTGGCTTCTACCGATTTTTTGTTGAAACAAAAATAAACCTTCGAGAAAGGACTCCATGGCTTAGTAAACCAACAGACAGCTGGGACGTGATGTGGGCGCTGTTTAAAAACAGGTGTATGTGTTGGGTGCAACAAAGGAGTTAGCCATGTGGAGACTAATTGACACGGTTTGTAAAGTTACTCATTCTTGTTAAAGAACTGTGTAAATTCTGGCAAGATGTACTCTACTGTTGAAATTGGAAGAGGTTTGTAAGTAGTAGAAAAGTTTAAGCTAATTGAATTATAGAATATTATTGGATTAATATACGTAGAAGTAACTATTTAAACAAAACCAGGATAGACTTTTAAATATCAGTCCTGTGTCAATTAATTTATGTGTAAAGTTAATTATGTAAAAATCAGTAAAGAATGAGAAAGGTTAGAAATAACTTTTAGGAGTATGGTGATCTGCATGTTATCAAAGGAAGGAATAGGTTCTTCATTGTGGTTTTGGTAATGATGGTGATAATAATAATGCTTAAAAAAATGCCTAATTTGCTATATTTCTATGAATAAAAAATATTACTTGCGAACAAAATACTTAGACGATCCACATGAAGCTACCGCACTATCGTAGAGAGATTCACCTATATTGAGATATCTGGTAGTGTATACCTTTGCAGTTTCATTCTGAAATGATTCTGTCTTGAACGTAAGTCCTGTGTTTCTCTTTATTCCTGCAAGACAAGTCGAAACTAATGCAAGATCAATAGATATATGTATTGCTTTACCAATCTATTGTCAAAAAAGATGGTATTACCGGAAATAAGGGAATAGCACATAGTTCGCTTGATATCATTTATCTATGCTTCTCCCGAACTCTTAACCGGCAAGTTTTTCATCAATCATAATAATGTTAGTATACGTCTTTTGAAACTTTATATCACTAATCAGCCATTGCAGGCAACTCTACATACAAATGTCATTTCAATTTTTTACTTGTAGATATAGAAATATGCACTGGTTGAGTATGAGTGTATATTTCCAAACCAATCCAACGCTATGGTCACTGTAACTGTTCTTCTTAACGTTTCATAGGAGTGGACTATAACTTCAATCTGACTACGATTAAGAGCTGTTCAAGTTGATTTAATTTGAGGGTGAAAACTCGATTTAGTAAGGCCTCGGAACAGAAAAAAAAGTCCGATTACCCTAATATAGGGTTTGGGGAACATGAACACTATAAAGTCATCAAAAGTGACCCCGGATAGTGACAAAGACGCTACTGCCCTAATCTATAACAGCATAGGGTTTAGTGGAAAGACACGAAATTGATGTGTTTCTTTAACGAATATTTTCACCTTTTATTCTGTCGATGTATAAAGAGGTTAGATAGAGATCAAAATAGAATTAATACTGAATATATATAGAGAGGGAGATGGGGACAACTTCTAAAATTGCATTGGAGGCTTTGAAAACGAAAACTAAGTAAAAAGGAAGTCTAAGGAAATGTTTTATGACGATGAAAGTATTATTCTGGGCAATGAAATGGAAAGCAATGAAAAAATGTAATCTTTGTCTTTTTTCTTGGTTAAATAAGTAAACAATATAAATTTTTAAAGATGTACACAAAATTCATGATAATTTAATAAAGATAACAATGCTAACATAGAATTTCAAAATAGTTAATTATTTATTTGTTCTTTTTAGTCATGTGTTCATCAGTAATAATTAGTGCATGTTTTAGAGAACACCTAGATAAATGAAGCCACTGAGGTTTAAAGGGAGATTGAAAGATTTAATAATTCAAAGATTTTAATACCTTTTATGGAACAGGTTGAAGCTTTTCTTCTTCAGTAAACTTGCCAAGCTAAATAGCATTTCAACGCTTATGGAAGACGGAGGAATATTCTGAAAAATAGAATTAATAAAGGAAAGGAGAAGAAATTGTATTCCAAATTTTCCCAGAGGTCTCTGTCAGCCTGAAGGAGAACCTTATATTCACGCTCCTTTATCTCTTGTTGAAAAAACTGTGCTAAGAACGTAGATTTTTCAAACAAATCTTCTTTTTCGAAACAGCAAATTCGAGATAAGCAGTGAGCTCTCTCAACAGAATATCTTGAACATTGCTGCGAAGAAAATTTCAGTTAAATGTAAATCCCCCCCCCTCTCTCTCTCTCTCTCTCTCTCTCTTTATTTGCCTTCTCCCTCTCTGAATTAGAATCTTCTTCGGAGCTACTGGATACAGGGTCGCTTCTGAAATCAGGCTTAGCCATTTCTTCATCATCGCCACTGTCATTCTGAGTCAAATTTTGGTTTCATACTTTTGGTACTGTTGCTTACGGAACGATATATTCAAATAAGATAAAATAAATTCAACATATTCTTCTGCTATTTCATTGGTTACTTTGAATATTCATGTTGGTCCTTGTATAATACCTACATATTTCTAGGTATTTTTTCATTTTATTTGTGAAGTCAATAAGGAGTTTAACTGTTTATTGTCCCGAATAAGACGTTTTTCCATCCATTTTTTTCTTGTATTGGAATAATAATGGCAATGTATATTTGACAGTGCAAATATCATTGGACGTAACTTCACACAGTTTTCTGAAACGTAGTAAAAGAATTACAATTTCTTTCGCTCTTTTAAAATTGTTTTCATCAAATATAATGGTAAATTCTTCGGAAAGCACCGATTCGTAAAGAGCAGGCTTTGATACGATTAGTCTTTGTATCGAATCGATTACAGATACCCATCGTGTGATACAATACGTTTTCATTTTATGAGCTTGTCCATGGTATTCAATTCCATGTTTCATGCATGCCTCAGAGTACAAATGTGTTTTATTGACACTTATATCCAACTAGTTCGATAGTGCATTATTCTTTCCTAAGATATCGCAGCCAGTTTTTTCATTATCTACCTTTTTACCGACCAACTCATCCCCAGAAATTAAAGTTTTAACGGGTGTATCCTCATAACGTACATCCACATGTTCTCCACTTTTCATATTTTCGACTATTTGAATAATTCGCTAATAGTTTCTTTGTCCAGACCCAATTTATAAATGTTTTAGGTAAGAGAAAGAGTATTCTTAATAATCCCCTTTACTATATAGCTAACTTATATTATTTTTTAGCTAAATGGAACTGTTGAATCAAACATAAGAGTTCATTTTGTAGAGAGTTCCATTCTGTGCAAAGAATGGATTTAAGGATAATATTTGATTTAAATTATGTTTCTAGATATATGGTAAAACAATTCCCAGACAATATTCTTACTTCCTGGGAACTTTTAGAAGCACAGTTCTTTTATTCCATAGCTTGGTTATTTGTTCTTCGGAAGCCCAGATTACTAAACCGTATTTCTAACGAAGAGTCGTAAAAGAAGAATAGCTCTCTTCAGTAGAGCAAATCATGTTCAGTAATTTAGCATGTATAATGATGCTTGTAAAATAAACTCTCCAATCCGACGCTGATTAAGATAAACTATCATCAATAATCACAGTGACACCCGATGAGCCATAAGGTTTAACCGTGATTGAACCAATCCTCTTCGAGAAAATTAAAGTTCTTGAGTTTTATTCTATAAATGATAATCTTTTACTACAATTATGTTCTTCCAGTGTACATGGTTACCACAAAATAATAGGACAACTACCAATTTTTGATCCCATCGTCATTCAACTTACATTTTGTTTTGTAATTTCCTTTAAAGTGAACTTTTTTTTTTATTGTTAAGAAAACTACATTTGCAGTTCTAAAATTTTCAGAGAATCTAAGTCGGACCGCCCTAAAATAAAATATGAAATTATTTTATCAATAATAAGGAAGGGGATAGACTTCAGTACTGTTAATGTTATAATCATTTCTACCATGTTAAAGATAGGCAAAAGAACTATATTTTATATTAGTCAAAATATATTTGGATCAGTTGTATTTTTTTAAATATTCATTGTTTACTACACCGTCACCGTCTTAAACATGCTAAAAACAATAGGTTTGAATTCATTAAAAACGTCGTCTAGATTCGTAAGACTCTCTACGTGTCGTACTCTGGCTGTAACAACAAGAAGGTTGAACACTCAACAAACAAAAACTACCATTAATAATGAGAAACCAATGAGAATTGATAGGGAACTACCTGACCCTAGAGCTGACAGAAAGAAACAATGGGCAGGATTTGCTGCCTTCTCAATTGCAGTAGGATCAGCTTTGGCTATCATATTCAACTACGAAAAGACAGAAAATCCAATCATTTCTGATACACTATATCAGTTACGTAAATCTGCCACTACAAAGGAATGGTTAGGTGAGAATATTGAGTTTGATGGTATCATTCCTTGGGTGTATGGCAAATTGAATCCTGTTGCAGGGATCATTAATATCACGTTTTATATTAAAGGTAACAAGAATCAATCAGGTATGGTTAGATTGGTCGCAGATAGAGAGAATCGTCATGATGAATTTTTGATTCATGAATGGAGTCTAACTGTTAATGATAAGAAGTTCGATCTGTTAAGCGAAAGTTCTTCAAAGACTTTGAATCACAATTAAAGGCACCTGGTTGTGTTCTGTTCTTCATGGATTATTAACATAATCCTAAATATTAAATATATAAACTGTACTTCCCTTTCCCACTATATATCCTACATAATTTTTTTCTTCTCTATAACTATCATTGTAAATATGACCCAGTAATTATTACTTTTTTTTATGTTTTGTTACAAAATATATGAATTTAATGTCTAATCAAATATGGTCGCATATGTACCTTTCAATAAATAAAAACTAAATAGTGATAAATCAAAAAAATTCAATTGCGAGGATAATATGATCCAAAATCTTGTTTTGCCAATGACCGCCCCAAAAGTATATAATTCTTGTCAACTCCATCTTTTTGAGGTAATCTGTTCTTTATTTGAGCAGACTTTTCTTCATGAATAGGGTCAAAATCCTCGAACATAGGGAGAATTTGCTCATATATACTCCCTCTTTTGTCATTTTTTGTTAAATTTGAGGAGTTACTTTCATTAAATCCACTTTCAAAACTATTCATTTTATGTTGCTTCTGTAATTCATGAAACTGGTTTCTAAATGTTTTCCTATATGCAGGTATATACGATCGTGATATACATTCCATATCTTTGTGTCTATTTTGTTGTAATTGTCTTTCTTCCTTTTTCACAGATACATTCCCACATTCTAAATCTCCAGGTTTTACAGTTCTTGTCAAGTCAACTTTCCAAGTTTCAATGTTATCAAATTGAAAAGAATCATTGTCCTTTTTTATTTCTTCTTCCAATATTTCATCATCTGTTATTTCTTTCTTGAGTTTTCTATATCGCTGCATACAAAAAAATAAGGCAACTAATAAGCCAACAACCAATGGTATTCCTACTAAACATACAGCTGCGGTAACAACACCAACCATTTTCTTGGTTTCCCATTAATGATGCTAAGCTGAAATAAAATAAAAATTAAACACTCTTAAAGTTTAAACTCTATCGCCGAGACATACAACTACTAATATAAATAAAACCTCTTTAAAACAATTATTTTAATATAATGTGTAACGTAGTCTTTACAGGTTAAAATTTAGTGACATTTGATTAACCTTTTTCACGTCGCAAAACAAGGCTTACATTAATTGACCTTTGAAAAATAAAAAAATAACAATTATAAAAGGATATGATTATTACAATAAATAAAATTTTCTACATAAAACATATCAGATATTTTGTAATCCGCTCATCAACGCATGTGTCCTTTCTAGTAACTCATCTTCATTACTATTTTTTGAATCAACTTTTGCCAAAACCCTAGAACTACGTTTTTTGGACCGTAATTTCATCGACGTTGCATCAACCCCACGGAGTTGTGAAAGCAGTACATCTACAGCATCATCTTCTGTCTCATCACTACTTCCATTGCTATCATCTCTTTTGAGACGTAAGTTCCGTTCCATCAATTTCTTTCGTCCTTCGTAAACACGATCCATTTCTTCTCTTTCTTTATTTTCTTTTGCACACTTCTTAAATACGACCACAAAATCCATGATATTCTTGAAAAATGTCCTCTTAGACTCAATATCCTTCGGATTTTCACCATAAAATAACATTATTTTGTCAATGTCATTATCCGTTAGATTAAATTGGGCTTCAAGAAGATCACATTTTGTCTTTGCTTTATTGGTCTTGTATTTTATTTTGTTTAAAATTTCATCCTTAGGATGCAATAATTTTGATTCCGAAAGTTTACCTTTGCTCACCTCACGAACACCATCTCTAATTTTTCTAGTAAATTCTAAACATTCTGCTTCTAAAGATTCGAAACTTATATTACTAATGTCATCTACAAGTTTTAGATCGTCTAAAAAGGAGTAGATGTCAGGATAATTGAACCTAATGACTTTCTCGATAAAATGCAAAAAGGATATATTGTTGTCATTACTCGATTTCACAAATACAAGTTTTGTCAAAGAACTTAATCTAATTCCATGAACACCCTTCTTATTCATATAGTTACCAATGGAGTAAATAATATACAACACGCCCCTCAATTTTGCAGAGTTTCTCAAAGTTCGAACGGCATCATCAATCTTTTGTAACTTATAAGTTAAGTCGTAGTAGTCCTTCTCATAAGTCATCACCAGTAACAATACCTTTGATCTAGCAGCCCAATAACTTTTCAGGTTATAACAGAGTTCCAAATAAATTTGATCTGATCTTTCAAGAGATTCTGGAGATTTTGCAGGTTCCATTCCTGTTAAGTAGTTTGAACTAAATGGCTCGAATTTTCTAGAGATACTAGTTGGGATATTATTCAAATCTTCTTTGTTGAAAAATTCTAATACCGGGATATTTCTTAATATTTCACTATCACAGGTGAGAACTTTGGAAACCAGATCCGTTACTGAATAGTTTGAAAAGATATGTAAATTGATACCGAATTGTTGAGCAAGATCTCTTGGTAAAAAACTTAGCTTCTGAGATTTAGTTTCATCTTGTTTAACTTTCTTCCTTTTCAGCTTATTATCTTGAGTTTTGAACATATCATTTACATTACTTAAGATACCACCCCTTTCTAATTTAGAGAATACTTCCCGTAAAGAATCTTGATCTGCCCAAATAGTATTTTCAACATTATCTACTTTATCCCAATGAATTTGTTTTAGTTTCAGTGCCGAACGTTTTGATAAATCACTACTTTTTGTAAGATTCATCGGTAAAGGTGGTGGTGGAGGAGGTGGCGGTATCGATGGGTCCACATCTATGTCCGGCGTTGGTTCATTATTCTCTTGCTCATCAGCTTTATAAGATAATTGGGATGGTAACGGCGGCGGCGGAGGAGGAGGAGGAGGAGGAGGAGGAGGTGGTGGTGGTGCTGAATTTGATCCTTCTTGTAATTTACTTGCAGGGAAAAGTGAAGCCTCTGTAACCGGATTCGATAGGCTTGAACCATCAAGACTAAATGCAGAACCACCATGACCGTTAACTGTACCTAACCTGCCATTATCGACAACATCGTTTGATCTTTCATTAAGGTTTAGAGAACTTCCCGTATCATTTCCCCCATATGGTGCTAAGATTCCAAATCGAGGGGTATCTGCAATATCTGAAATCGTTGACTGTTGCCCATCAAATGTCAGATAGGGTCCGGACCCGGATATTCTATTTTTATCTTCAATAGACTTTACCTCAGAAATACACTTATATCCAGAAGAAACGTTTACGATAGTTTTAAAAACAGTATCACTAGCTACATCCGTAACAAGACCTGTACTGGATTGAGCAGATAACGTGCTATTTGTTGCACCCAGATTTATCGGGGTAGTCAAATATTCGTTGTTATCATTAGTGCTAACGCATGGTACAGAATATCTGGACCCGCTACTTTGAACGATTTCGGACTCTACACAATCATTACCATCATACGAAGCATTTTTGACCCTATTCATGTGAAAATCATCTCTATCGACCTGATGATCGGTGGCCTCTCCACTGGCAGATCCATCTATAACTGATGTACCGATTGAAAACGATTTCAGATGGGAAGAATCAGAGAGTATCCCAGTGTTTGATCGTGTGCTTGAACTATTATATTTAGAATCGGTTGCCAAAAGAGAAGAGAGGGATAATATTCCTTTACTTTCGCGGATTGTATGAGAATTTGAACGATTAATATTGTTTTTTCCAAACTGGAGTTTATTATCAGATTTATTGGTATTGAACACAGACAGAGGTCTAGGCTTCACCTTATACTGAAGACGCTCATATGTTGCTATTTTGTCATGTTTAAACTTTGAATCTTTTATAAGATCTTCAAGTGTTTTATTTCGGAGTTCCAATGTCTTTAATTCATTATCCTTGAATGATAATAATTCTGAATTATTATTCAATTTAACTAAAAGTTCATTATCATCTAATCTTTTTTCACTCCTAACTTTTTTCAATTCGCTAGTTAAGACACTCACAGTGTCCTGTGCTTCCTTTAAGTCATGCATTGCTCTTTTGGCAATATCATCGGATTGTAGACCATCAAGTAGCTTCTCTAAGGATTCATGTAACAATGAATTAGGAGATAAATTTTCTTCAAAGTCGGATTGAAATTTCTCTAGTAAATAGGCCAACATAGAACTTAACGCTTTGTATAATTTAATTGATTCCGAATAAGTACGGGTATCAAGCATTGCTGAAAGGGATTTAACCAAATCACCAAATGGTTGTTCCAAAGGTGTATCCTGCGTCTTTTGAACTAAAGATTCTAAAATAGGACCGTAAGATAATGTCGGGAAAATAGGTGCCTCATTATTCATTCTCATACGGACACCTTCTTCCTTAATTTTATAATTTTGGATTTGTTCCTTTATTGTTGTCGATTCGAATTTTTCCATTTTATAAAATAATTTATGGATCTCCATGTTTCTAAATTGTTCAATAATAAATTCTTTCTTATTATAAGATGGATACCCTTCAATGATTGAATTAACCAAAAATAACACAGAGGAAAGATAATTAGAAACAATTTGTTCCGGATGAGGAAATTGTATGATAGATTTATTAATATTTATTCTTTCTAGAATGTCGTCTGTATTTTCAATTATTCCAGTAATGTCATTCATCCATAATTCTAACTTTTTTTCTAAGGAGTTCCAAATAATATTATAACCATTTTCAGAATCTAAATATGTTAATAACAAGAGTAATTGACAAGTTTGCAGTTTTATCTTTATTGGTGAAATTTCGTTAATCATAGAGTCTATAAAAAATCCGATTAGTACGGGATTATTCAAAATTTTTATCCGTACTTCCATATTATTCATTAGGGTCTTAAAAGATGTAAAATATGCATATTCGATATCTATAGTAATTGTTGGAATCATATCTACTAAATCGATGTAATAACCACCTGAAACAAATGCTGTTAAAAATGACTTCTGTCTTAGCCGCTTCTCAAGTTGGTATAAGGACTTTAACCTTTTAGAAGTATCGTTAAGGGAATACTTCAAATTTTCTAGAAATTCTTGATCATTTTGTACCGATATCTTGGAATCATTTGTCTCTGTATGTTTTTGTTCGTTAAGACGGATCCTTTGAATCAACTGCCATTTTCTTGCGGTAGATACATTTTTCAAAGTGCTATGTGCAGAACCCCAAAAATACATTCCACTATCTAATGTTTCTTCGAACAATTTATCCACCATTTCTTTATCAGGGATCTGAGTTGTATTATTTACAGTTTTCTCTTCAGAGTGTTGTGTTTTAATCGGTCTTGTATGGGGGGTTCCAGTTTCATGTTTTCTGTGTGGTTGAACGGCCTTAAATGAGTACCTTGTTCTACCCGATGATACAAGCCCAGTTCCTGCAAGGCTAAGTCCTCTCTTTATTACATCATTAGTCTGTGAATTTGAAGGTTCTGCTAAAGATTGAGATCTTTCAATTCTATCTGATTCATGCTTCCTATTAATTTGGTGTCGTTCAATTGAGATGCTATCTTTGAGCGGCGTAGATTGTTCCATTTGTTCATAACTACAGATATCAACTTAGAGTTATATTGTTTCCCTGAAGTGAAAACACAAAAAAATAGAAACGTTTGTTAGTTAAGTTGGTTATAATGATCGAGGAAACTTAATTCGAGTTCAATTGTTATGCATGAATTGGATCAAATAAAATCAAATGAATATATATATATTTATTTATTTCGCGCCGCACAGTGAAATCGTATTGTTTAGGCGAAGATATTCTTAAATATATAAGAACAAGCAAAGAGATGGATAGAGTGACTATATCAATTAAATTTGACTAAATTAATGTATTAATTGGTTATAAATGCGATGCAAAATGTTGAGAAGATGGTAGTGGAAGATAAGAAAATCCAAAAAACACAAAATAGACACAGAAGTGTATTAACTATACTTCTATTGTTTATTCAGTTGGAGAAAACTGTGCATAGAATGCAGACCTCGAGTTCTCTATTTTCTTAAATGTTGGGTTTTTCAAAATATCAACCTCCTGAACCAAATAATTCAACTGTGCCAAGATTGGACATGAATTATTATCATTGTTACGTACTGAACTATTGAAATTCCTTACTAAATTATTCAAAGCTTCGTTATCCGAAGTTTCTTGACTGTTACTCTTATTACTAGACAATTTCAAACTCTGTTGTGGATAATCATGTGGAATATTAATGGCAAATTTTATACCCATTTCCTTAGGGAAAATAGACGACATGCTATTGTTACGAAAATTTACAGCGTATGTGGTAACGTATTTCCCATTTCGAAATAACTTAAAATTGTCCTTTCCCAAGGCATATAGACACTGATCTATTTGTTCTTGTCTTTGTTTTACTAATGCAGAGTTTTCTTTATATTCTGGTTTGGCATATTCTTTCACAGACCCATTTGTATTGACACTTTCATTTCTTTTTCTTGTTGAACCTCCTTTTCTATTTTTATTGTTCCTCTTACTTGATCTTTTCACAGAAGTTGTTTCATCGTTTTTATCAGTTATTTCATCTCCCTTATTACTCTTGGGACGTCTATTATTCCTTCTGTTCCTCGATTGCCTAGGTACCTTATTACTATTATTATTATTATTATTATTATCGGACGATGGAACACTTTCTGAACTTGCTGAAGACATAACGGCAGATTTAATGGATCTGTTCAAATATAAAGTATATATCTGTATGGTATTGCCCCAAAATACAAAATCCTAACAGAAATAGTATAGGCTACAATAATTCCGTCCTCCTTTAATATCTTTATAAGTTCCTGATGGTGCAGTATCATGCTACGAGAATTTCTCTAATTTTTTTTTTCCAAGATTTTAATTTCTTTCCCACTACGTAAACATTTTTTACAAGGAATAATTAAATAGACAGTAATAAAAAACAAAAAATGCAAATTTAATAAGAAGAAAGGGTACAATTTGTAGTTAAGTGGTAGGTAAGATCACATACTGGATGGATGCCATAGAGAATGTCTTTAGTAATTTTTATATATTTACCTTATACTCTGTAGCCGTTCTTCAAAAGCCAATGTTATCACATATAGCTACAATATGAAAGATATTCCATTGATGACACAATTGCGTGGGTAATATTGAAAAATATCGAATTTGAGCAAAATTGACATTTATCTACATAAATTAATTTTGCGTAACAATGACTCTTACATATAGGCCATAAATGTCTTATTGAGTGTACCACTTGTCTACCCGCCTCGCTATTCAAAACCTCTCCTAACAAGCAAGTCGCAACAACAGCAACAGCAACACCCTAGTGAACAAACCAAATGATACGGCGTCGTTGTTAACACAATATATTAATCACCCTAATACGTACAAATAAAAGAGACATACGGCAATAAATATCATAGACATTCTGTACCTCTTACTTCAAATTCCTGCACGGTCAATACCACCGCTCTGGTTTAGTTAAACAGTTCTATCAAACAGACCTAGAGACCGCGGAGATCTGTAACACGGCTTCCTTTCGGTCTCTTTCTCTCTCACATTGCACTGCAGCGAAAAAAAAAAATGTTGTTGGTGGTGATATTATATAATCCCAAATAGAGTGAAAATTTCAATATCTCTCGCACCCCCTAGCAACTATCTCTACCTGTTTTTTGCTCTTTCTGGTGCACTCAGTATATTGTATGATTCATCCTCTTTCCTTTTGCTAGTTTCTATTTCGTTGGGAACTGGTGAAACATTTTTCAAGATTTTTTTACGTATACATATATAAATGTAAGAGGGGGTCCATAATCTTGTAGATTTGTTTTTATTTGAAGATATTTATGTTTTTATTTACTAGGAAGTAATAGAAACATCAAAATACATACATTTAAACCCCTATTATTGAAAACTTACAACAACAAACAATGGCTCGTCCCTCAATCAAAGAATATTTAGCATCTAACCCTGGAAAGGTTCTTGTGTTAGATGGGGGTCAAGGTACTGAATTAGAAAATAGAGGCATTGATGTCGCAAACCCTGTATGGTCAACTGTCCCTTTTATTAGTGATTCATTTTGGTCAGACAAATCATCCATGGATAGACAGATTGTCAAGGGAATGTTCAATGATTTCTTAGCCGCAGGTGCAGAGATCTTAATGACCACAACTTATCAAACTAGTTTCAAATCCGTCTCTGAAAATACCCCTATAAAGACTGTTGATGAATATAACACTTTATTGAACCATATTGTACAATTTTCTCGTGATTGTATTGGTGAAGAGAAATTTTTAATTGGTTGTATTGGACCTTGGGGTGCTCATGTTTGCGCAGAATTTAATGGTGATTACGGTGAACATCCAGAAAATATAGATTATTATCAATATTTTAAACCCCAACTGGATAATTTTTTCCAAAATGATAACTTAGATTTGATCGCATTCGAGACTATTCCAAATATTCATGAATTGAGAGCTATATTATCATGGGATGAATCCATATTATCAAAACCTTTCTATATTGGTCTGTCTGTTCATGAAAATGGCCTCTTAAGAGATGGATCTACTATGGAAGACGTTGCACAACTGATTAAATCACTTGGCGATAAAATAAATCCAAATTTATTGCTATTAGGTATCAATTGTGTTAGTTTCAATCATTCTCCTGATATCATGGAATCAATACATAAGCAATTGCCTAATATACCACTTATCGCCTATCCAAATAGTGGTGAAGTTTACGATACTGTTAAGAAGATCTGGTTACCAAACAGTCATCCAACTTTTACTTGGGATGCTGTAGTTAAAAGATATATTGATGCAGGTGCAAGAATCATAGGTGGTTGTTGTAGAACAACCCCTGATGACATAAAACAAATTGCAACTGCAGTTAAAAAATACTCTAAGAACTAATATATACATATATATGTATTAAGTAATAATATTATTACAACTTTTCATATGGAGAAATTTAGAAAAAACATTCAATTATCAGTATATTTTTATATAATAATTTCTAAATAAAAATTTATTTCGTAATTGGGATCATCAAAAGTTGCTTTTTCTACGCAAAGATTGGGAACTTCATATTCATCCAGTCCCATGGATCATTAAATCTTAGATTTTTGTTTAAATCGTTTATTTGTCTTAATTCATCATCGGTCAATGTTAAAGCCTCATCAATCTTCAAATTTGCAACTAATCTTTCCTTCTTAGATGATTTTGGAATGATTGCAACACCCTGTTGTGTAGCCCATCTTAACAAAACTTGAGATGTGGTGATGTTGGAACCATGTGCCACAGCAATCTTCTTAACAGTTGGATGTTCAAATAATGGAACGGTTTCAAGGGCAACATCAGATTTCAATTCAACGTACGATTGAGGACCAAAAGAGGAATAAGCAACCACTTGAATTTGATGTAATTTACAAAATTCAGTCAAATGAGGTTGAGTCAAGTATGGATGATGTTCAATTTGTAAAGCTACGGGTTTAATTTTACAATAGTTCAAAACATCTTGAACTAAACCACCATTGTAATTCGAAATACCAATAGATTTGATTAAACCTTCATCTACTAATGCTTCCATAGCATGATAAGTATCAGCTAAACTAACATTTTCCGTACCAATGATACCTTGTGCTTCTTCTTTAACACCAGAATAAAACCCTGGTGGATATTTTTCTTCGATTGGAACATATTTGAAAGCAATTGGGAAATGGATATAGTAAAGATCTAAATAATCTAGACCCAAATCCTTCAAATTTCTCTTAACATTTATTTTTACATGTTCTGGATGATGGAATGAGTTCCATAACTTGGAAACAACAAATAAATCGGCTCTGGTAACGATTTTTTCATCAATGGCTCTTCTAATACCTTGACCAACTTCGACTTCATTACCGTAATCGGTAGCACCATCAAACAGACGGTAACCCAGTTTAATAGCGTCATACACTTGTTCGGCACATACCTTATTTGGGATCTTCCAACAACCCAGACCAACTAAAGGCATTTTTAAACCATTATTCAAAGTAACTAGAGCAGACATTTTGTTTTCTTTCTTCAAAGTATGTTTTCTTTTCAAGCGAGTAAATATAACAAATTAATATTATATATTTGTTATTGCTTGATAGTCTTCTTTTTTTATTTTACCAAATTGATAACAAGAATAATTCCCCAATAATATGAATAATTGAAATATGTTCTTTGTTTATATATGAATTTTATTTTTTAAGATAACGTCATCAGGGTTTGTTATTGGCAACATTGCTAACATTTTATACGTAATTTGTTGGAAGTACCCCTTGAATGTTTGACAAGACCAAAATTACATCAAGTTCAGACTTTCTTCGCAGGGAAGTGCAAAAAAATTATATAATCGAAGAATTTTCGAGTTGAAAAAGTTTTGTTTTCGTCTTACACTAATCAATAGTCGGCCGAACCTATTCAGCACGTTCGGCCGTCTGTGCTCTATAGTGAGCCAAAAAAAATATTTTGAAAAATTACTCAATTCTGTCTCGTCCCACAGTAAAATAACCGTACAAATAGTTTTCCAAAGCGCTTTCATTACAAAGGATCAATTTGTCGTGTTAAAAAAAATGAAAGAAAAGGAGAGTCGGCGCCGAATGGGAGATGGAGGAAACGTATATTGGAGTCGGCCGATTCGGTGTTTTGGTAAATGGGAAATCAATCGAAATATCATGACCGAACTAACGCCCTTGAGCCCAATACATTCGACCATCGGGCAAAAGAAGTATGTAATCTGTGCATCACAGTTGTCAACAATGAAACAGTACCAATCAAGTAGACCTATGGGAGATTCTTAGTTAGACAATACTGTTGTGCAATAAGCTGAAAGTTACTATTTCGTAAAACTGTAATTCATAAAGGGTATTTTTCACCTTGGATTCTTGAAACCTTACAAAAACAAAAACATTACTAATGAAAACATCCTACAAACAACAATAAATAGTATTATTCTCAGTAAACTATTAAAAAACATCACATGGCCTGTAATTGAAATAAATAAAGCAATCTATTCCATCACTAGAATCTTATTATTAGGTAAATACAAGTTCAAGAAGGAAAACTCTGCCCCAAATATATATTTTTTGGATTGCTAAAGAAATATATATTATACAATAGAGAAAGCAAAACGAAAACACCCTTCGATTAGCAAAAAACAAAAAACAAAAAACAAGCACGCTAGGACTGCACTTATATTATATTACAGAAAAAAAAACTCATTCATGATTCAGTCTATAATGACAAAAGATTATTATTCCACTTGTTTGTTTCTCTCCAACCCTAAATAAAATGACATTCACTTTTAAAAAACCCAGCGTTACGGACCGCACAGTTTCTCATACTAAAGATAATATACCGGACCATATCTCAACTTCGCTCAAAAGAATTTTTTTTTGTTCTCATTGATGGGGCTCCAGCGAAATAACAGGAAAAAAAAACAAAAATAAAAAGAAAAACAAAATGCAGGTAACAACTTACATAATTATAAGCTTCTAGAACTTTGTTTCTAAGAGGTTTTCTAATTACACATAAAAAATAACGAATAGGTTTATACTCCAGAACCTTTTACTGAACTGCAAACAGGAAAACAAAAATGCCATTAATTTTGCCTACAATTGTTCAATATATTCTTCTTTCTCTTCCTAATAATAATATCCATAGAAGCCCAGTTACCATCTGTAATAGTTTCTTTTTGGAATTTTATTTTGTTCAACAGAGAAGAAGTGATATAGTAATTGATGATGAACGCATTAGGTAATTATTTAATCAACATCGGAACTCTCGTACTCACTAACGTACCGATTACTCTGTTAGAATGCCTTGCAGTCAGAAAATAAATCAATTGAATAAATTGTGCATAAAGTTTCTTTGAAATATGAATTAAGATCTTTTGTTTTTTCAAAATTTATATATTTATGAAGTGTACTTGAAATTGTTAGGGTCTAATTTTCCTAAATGTGAAATTTTTTTCATAGCATTTACTTACTATTAAAATTGATTTACAAAATCTTATTCTTACTGAAATAGCGTAGTACCAGAAACACAATCTGTATTATTAACTTTATTGACGTCTCTATTTTTTTTTTTTAATTTCTTTAGGTTAACCGTCTGTCGGCTTTTATTAAAGGGGAGAGAGGTACGTGAGCCTAAATAAAAGTTTCCTTGAACATACGTACAATCCACAACTTGTATATTGAGTGGATGTCCTCATAAGTATTGATATTTAATATTTTCGAAGTATAATCTTAATTACTTGACAAAACAAGGAGACATCGTAATGCATGGTCTACCATAATTTCCTCCCCCTCTTAAAATTCAGTTCTCAGTTTAATATTTTGTACGGAAATTAATATTGCAAAATGGAAAATGATATACCGTTCTACATAGTTTCTCTGATATTAAATTGAAGGAATATTGCCGAATACACAGACGTCAGTATATTACCTAATCTAGCTATTCAAAAAGAAGAAAAATAATAAGACAATGACAAGGGCGAAATAACACAAGGATAAAGAAAACAGTAATGTACATCATCGGGACGATTAATAAACTTATCCCTTTCTTCAAACCGAGAAACCCATAACCACTTCCTAAAACATTCTTTATATACCTTTTCTGGGTAAAATAATCAGAACCTTGGTAGATTGCATCAATAATATAACTTTAGAACCATTATTTTGAAAATAATAATAACAACAAGACACATATATGAAATTTATTTAACCAAACATTCCAAGATATTTATTATACAAATTAGTTGTATAACTCTCAGTTAGTTTCTACTAAACAAAGAGAGGAGCACAGCGATAATTAAAATGGTGCAACAAGAATATTTGTTAATTAAGTGCGCTTTCATTATGCCACTTTTCTTCGAACCTCCTGGAATATACAGCAGAATTGTGACTCCTAAAACGTGAATGTTATATTCATTAATGGAAGGCACCATGTGTTGTGTTTAGTTGATCCTCCTTATGTACTTCAAAATAGTGCCACAACATAACTACTGTCTTTTCTGAGTTGAGGTACTTCATATAAAATTATGGGGGTTCTGAAATGCCTTTTTCGGGCCAAATTTATTCCGCATGCAGCATTTTTCATTTCGAAAATTCTTAGTACCCCTAGTTGTTCCGTTTGCTCTCATGTTGTTATATATGGGTTTCTTCCTATTTGCTCCTGCATTTTATTCCCACTTTTCCAGTGTTTATTTTTCGCTTCTTCGCACATTTATTTGGAAAGAAATGTGTATATATTTCAGATTCTAAAGATCTTTCCTTATTTAGTTAAAGAATGTAGAATCTAATCCCCACGAGAGTTTTTACAAATTTCTTAATTCATTGACTGCAAGTCACCATCGACAAAGAAAAGCTTGTTCCAGGGAATAATTGACTAGGTTGGACGAAGATGAGTGTCTACCCAATAAGGAATTATCTACCTCAGCACAAAGAAAATGTGCAGTTATTTCTTCTGAATATGAAAGATCAGAAGAAGATGAATCTGTTGCAGCAAGGCAACATCTAAGTTTGATCATTTCATCGGTTTTAAAGAAAATATTTATGCATGCTAATCAAATATGTGATCGTCCACACTTAAATTAGAAGCCGAAGCGAATCATGAGAGATTTTAAGATTTTGTACTTGTGTTACCAAGTAAAATGGATCAATCGAAAGTGAACAACCCGTAGGTAGAAACGTTGATTACGTTTTACTATTCCTACGCCATCTCAATTTTCATTTTATATTCTTTCCTGATCTGTAACCTACTTAAAAATAACCGTGAAAAGCAAATTACGAAGAAGGACTTTCGTAACAAGACGTTATTCCTTGGAAGGACAGGAAGCAATTGGATCTATCTCCTTAATCTGGCATATATATATATATATGCCAAGATGATAACGATAAAATCATATTTTTTTTCCTTTAAATTTTCTTACTTGGAAAATAGTTTCTATTCTCATATTAATTAATGTATTTTATGTAATATTCTCAAATAAAACTAACAAAAACTGAAGTCTTTACATTTTAACATATTAAATTTGTTAAATAAAATAATACCATTACAATGAATAATCCGATATATACTCAAATATTCGTTGTATTCATTTTCATTTCATCATGCTTCATACAATATACTGAGGCTGCTCAAGGTTGTAAACCAAAGGGCGAAGGTGCGGAAGGTTTCAGTATGTCTTTATACCATTATGATTATTATAATACATCTGCAGGAGCAGGGTTTTGTTTTTCGAGTGAATACCGACATTATGATTATATGCATGGAGGTTATGTCGATTATGCAGGTGGTCTCATTGGTACTAGCACAGGTATCACAGATTTAGACTTAAATTTCAAATTACCAGAACTTTGTACAATCACTAATGGTACATTGCCATCCAATTTCAATTATCCAGACGAATTTACAATCTCTAATTTCACTATGCTTTTAGCTGGTTATTTCTATGCCGAAATGACTGGTGATTATACATTTTTTATGGAGGCTGATGATTTAGCTTACCTAAGTTTTGGTGCTGGAAATGCGTTTGATTGTTGCGGAATGGAAGAAACAGTTACTGATCCAGATGCGTTCGATTTAGTTGTTATATGGCAAAGTCCAACCGATCTTTCTGGTAGCGTGACATTTTCATTGAACGCCGGTATTTATTATCCAATTCGTCTATTATATACAAACAGAGATTTTTATGGTATTTTATCATTAAATTATACGGATCCAAGTGGTACTTTATACTCTAATTTTGAAGATCGTATTTTCCAATTCACTGATAATCCAGAAGGTTGTGCCAATGAAGTCCTTTATACCACCACAGTTTGGACAGGTACGTATACAACTACCTATTCTACAGAGACTTTTACATCTGTAGGGACAGATGAATTTGGTACCATCGAAACAATATATTACATCAGAACTCCAGAACCACATACATCTACAACTACAACTCAACCGGGAACATTCAGCGAGACTACTACAGTGTCAACATACACGACATATACTGTCGGTACTGATTCCACTTCCACTATCGAGACCGTATATGTGGTAGAGACCCCACCTGCTACATCAAGTACAACCATTTCTAGTGAGTTAGTTTCTAGTTCTACTGAGCCTCCTACAAGTTCTGAAATACATTCCAGTTCTGTACTTTCATCCAGTTCTGAAATACATTCCAGTTCTGTACTTTCATCCAGTTCTGAAATACATTCCAGTTCTGTACTTTCATCCAGTTCTGAAATTCATTCCAGTTCTGAAATTCATTCCAGTTCTGAAATTCATTCCAGTTCTGAAATTCATTCCAGTTCTGAAATTCATTCCAGTTCTGTACTTTCATCCAGTTCTGAAATACATTCCAGTTCTGTACTTTCATCCAGTACGGTAATTTCCTCTAGCACTGAACCATTAACTCGTAGCACTTTCGAACCAACTACCTCCTCATCTCAAAATGAAAATAGAGTGTCGAGTGGTTATATAAGCAATAACTCCACCGCCGTCCCTTCCAATACTTTAACTAGTGGTGAAGAAGTAAAAAGTAGTTTACTATCAAGTTATTCATTAACAAGAAGTTCTAAGTCGACCTACACTCCTCTATCTTCAGAATCCAGATACACAAACCATTCAAGCATATCAATATCATCGAGTGAAATATCTTACAATAGCTTTTCCTCATCAAATACTATCGAAACAGTCTTAACGAGTAGGACCTCGTCAGAAAAAACGAAAATATCTACAATACCCTCTAAAGAATCAATGACAATTGTTACAAAAGCATCTAAATCTACCATTTCCAGCTCCAATAAGAGCATTTGCAAATCACAATGTTATGGATCTGGAAGTATCACAGGTGATTTAACCACTGAGACTATTCATATTTCGAATACAATAGATATAACAACTAAAACAGAGAGTGGAAACCATTTTGTTACATCCTCTATTATTAGTATATATCCACCTGATTCATCCGATGTTATTAGCTATCATCCCACCACCACCCATAGTACGGATCCTATCGAAATAGTAACAAAAGTAACACAAGTTGTAACCACTGGGAAAACCACTGGGAAAACCAGTACTCCTACGGCTTCAACTAGTAGCGCAAATTTGCTTTATGATGATTCAGCTAAAAGAAATTCATTTGAATTCCCAAGCTTCGTTGTTTTACTGTGGTCGTTACTATTCATCTGATGCTTACAATGTCCATGAAGATACATGTTATTTTGAATAACTCATAGCATATAATATATATATATATATATATATATATATAATATAAAATTTAAACGTTCTGCATTAATATTATACAATTTTATTACGTTAATCAAATGTTGAAGACATTTAACCTTCAAGAATCTTTATGTATAATTAGTGTGGGCAGAATGCTATAACACAGAAAAGGCTTTTCCCAACAATACGTGGTGGATCAGGTATTTAAGAAAATTAAATAAGTGGTAGAATAACACACGAATCTGACTTAATAGAATTCAGAATAAGAATGTTGATTATGGTTTAACAATTTGCAAATTCCATTTTATTGGAATTAGTCACGTTAAAATGTTTTTAAACATTTGATATATAGACTCATTTATTCCCATACTATGTGTTGAATCGTAGTAATCGTGATCTTAGTGTTGGAGATAGTGTCAGTTATTTTAAAAATTGAATGTGTTCCTTTTTTCTATATCATACATAATAAAACTCTTCCACAATGTAAAAACGAAGTTAACAAGGAATCTTAAAAAAATTACTCTTTTATTTACTTTTAGGTTCTGGTTGGTGCATCACATATGTCACCAATAAGGATCATATAATTCACATTTGAGCTTCATGCTTCCAAGTTGACATTCTTTCGCCATTACTTGTCATGCAGCTACTCTGTAATTGTTAGTTCTAGTTGGAACATCACGTACTAAGTTTATCTATAGAACCTGGTTAATGTTCACAATTCATTTTATTCTTTCTTATTTGAATGGACTAGTATGTTGTTTATCTTAATTTCACTTGGTCTTATCCACAGCTCAATCTAACATTATGATAAGATCTCTGCCAGTTTAATCCAAAAGGGATATATATATTTATATATATTTGCTTCCGTTAAATAAACATACTTTTCGTTTGGAATATCATTTATGGCTGGTTGTGCTCGTATTTAATCTTAATAGCATTCACTCACTTTTCCGCTAAGTTTGAGTGACCAAATCAGATAATAAAGATATTATTGGTAGTATAAAGTAAGTTGATGCGGTCTCCAATATTAGGTTTTACCTCACGGCATGTTATACAGCGATATAAGACACACATGGACCAATTAAAGGCCGTTACTAAAGTGGTCTCTCCTTTTTGTTTTTATATCTACTTGAAAACTATTTCATTTGACGAGTATGTCGGAAATACCACATCCAAGAAATATTCATCAGTGGTGCAAATGAATTACTACACGTAATACTTTTACAGTGGTGTCTTATTTAATTTTTGAATTATTTATAGTAGATAATTACAAATAAAAAACATATACTTTCTAATATAGAGTGGTTAACATTAAGAAAGGACATTAGTCTCTTTACAAAATAACTACAAATTTAGTCATTAAAACTTGTCCTTGAACGAACTCACGATATTATGGACGGAAATAAAAGTCATAAATGTAACTAAGATCTCCCCTAACCTCTTAAATAAATACTTATTCGCACTTAAAACCGAGATAAACCAAAAAGGAAAAATTTTGCTACACACGGTCAACCATAGTTAAACTTGGTGAGATCTAAGCAGGTATTTCTGCTACCACTTCATCTCCAGACTGCTGTCTGTTGCCAATTTTTGACTAGAAAAACCAGGTCTGAGCAATCATTTCGGATGGGTCTAATGGTCGTGCAATATACGTATATATTTATTGGTAGGACTGTACAAGGTTGCACATCAATAATTAGATAATTCCTTTGAAATTACGCAATGACAGTCTTCGGAATGGAACTCGTTACATATATACTGCTCTTCTTTACAACCTTTGAGTTTGTGCCGGGGGAACCAAACCCAGGTCACAATATTACGTTGTTTGTCAACAACTTTGCTAATAGGGGCCTGGCAGCAGTTACATTGCAATTGGACCCGGAGGTATCATAATCACGAGTAGATATTTTTAAGCTATAAAATACTGGAAATCATTCATCATTAATAGTGCAGGTCATTCTACTTTAATTGATGCGTGTTACGGCAGCGTACGCCAAAAGGTAACAGTACAAAAGATGGACGGCGAGTTCACAAATCTTGAAGTAAGGACAAAAATATTTCCGGGAAACGTTACCGGATATACTTTTAGTCAGTTAGTGAACCATACTTTGCTAAGTCCCAAGTATCGGCTAACTTCAGTAATGGCAAGATGCAAGCTTACAATTCAAAAGTGGGATTCACACCTATGGGAATCGTTTCTTTATTCCAGAAATCAATTAAGAATCGATAACATTCTGTTAGGACAGTATCCAGGTTGGACCACATTCGTTTAACGGAGGGAACATCATAACCGCTATAGATATTTTTTGTCAATCGAACACATTTCTTGCATTACAAGATCAGCAAATGAGTAGCCCAGAAACCTGGGTAAGTCCGGTATGTATATTCATGTCGTGAATATACAGGGCTTAACGCTGGATATTCGTCTGTTTAAAGACGACACGGCCAATTTTGCAGACCCTTGGGGATTACCATGCTCAGAAGTGGATAATCCCAGTGAGTACGAGCTTGAGTGTCTTTCTTAGATGATTTGAACCTTTCATTCACTATATACTTTAAGTATAACCTTGATTTCACTCTCCACATACTAGTTTTAAAGGAGACTTTTATAATGTTGTGTTTGCGGTGTTGCAGTAAAAAATATGTGACATCATCAAATAAATACATTTGATATTGTGAAATACAGGGCGAAAATATTTTGTATTATAAAAGTAATCTTCTGCAGTACATAATAGCTTCACATATACAAAGTGAGGATATATCCTATCACTAACAACTTTATAAATCATGATATAATTTTATGTACATCATTTAGTTAAACACACAAAATATTATATAATTAATACATATTTAATACATCTTTACATGATACCTCCAATACAGAGCTACCTCGACAATGCAAGATCTCTAATCTGTGTCAACATTAAATTCTGAAAATCTATATAGACCATCTGAGAAAAATAAATGATCCGTAAAACTGCATTGGAAATACTTCTAATTTCCTTTAAATCGTTTCTCGAATCCTCATCTACCATTATGTCTTTTTTCAATGAAGGATGAATATTGATCTTAAAGTATGTTTCAAAGAGACTCAAAACAGAAAAAAACCAATATTACTTTTTCTAGCCTCACTTAAATCAATCGAATGATTGTTCGGCAGATTATACCGAACCTCTTCAATCGTAGTAATACCCTTGGAAATTTTTTCTAAACTTCGCACTTCATTTATAAAACTTTTGAATATATTTTCTCGAGAAGACAGCACCATCTATAACACAACTGTCGGGATAGTATAATCAAATTCTTATTTCCAGAAGGCAGTCCCCTGCGCGTTTTACCATACAGGATTTTTAGGTTATTCCATGGAGTACTCCCGGATGCGTTGAGCCACGCAGCCGGCCATACGGCCAGGTTAATGTTTTTGCCGAGTTGCAATTTTCACTAGAGGGGCACTTTGACAGTGTCAATGTTGCATTTTTGAAGGTTGATTTGTTGGTTGTAGAAAATGATATGCTCTCCAATGCCCACCTCCTAAGAATGGGGTGGGGTTTTTAAACCCCCGCGTGCGCGGGAGTTTGAGGGGGGTTGGAGTTCTTTTGCCCATATATTTATGGGAGCTTGAGGGGGGGTTTTGGGGACAAATTTTGTCAAAATGGGGGGAGTATTGTTTTGAAAAAAACCCACTCCATGCTTTCTTACCATGCATTTCTCCAATTTCACAAATAATCTACTGTAATGAAGTTCTCATTCAGTTCAATAAGTTCATATAGAAAGGTATCAGTGTGCCAGTCACCTGATTCACTTTGAAACCTATTGCCGATTGCTAGACAGATATTAGTGCGTATTACGGTGGATACAGTTTGTTTATACGCACCAACCCACGTTGCGTTTCCCTTTTTTTTCTCATCAGAAAGGGGTGTCTGAAATACCTCCGCATCGTTGTACAGTCGTTTCTGTGCTTTGGTGAAACTCCGTGGCTTTTTTTCAGTGAGCTGACGCCGTTGTAGGGCGCATGTAAATGTCCGCCTTAAGAAAGGTGTCATATTTTACATCAAATTACAGGATGACAGGAAGAAAGTTGCCGTTCCAGTAGATGCAGGAGAAATGAGTCAACAGATCGTATGATGATATACATTGGGTTTGGGAGATATCAGATCAAGTTCGTTTGTTCGCATATGATAACTGCATATGTTAAGCGCTACGGCTGAGATACGAGAGAACAAATAAGGGAAGTATATGAGTTTTTTTTTTCCTACCTTTAATTTTAAATTTAATATAATAACATATAAAAACACATTTAGTATAATACAATCTAATGAACCAATCTAGATAATTGGAAAACCAGCGGAACAAGTTGAATTCAAAATGGATGCAATTCAGAAAAATGACAGTATAATTCTCAAAGGAACTAATTTTAAGTCAAAACCAGTATTTGCATGTTTCAAATATTCCAAATTTGATACAATGGTACCTGATTTGATGATGAAATATGGTAAATCAGTAACGAATGAGCAGCCTATAAAGGGAAAAGAGTTTTTATATCGTGGCGAACGGAGTTCCCCCAAATTTAGACCAGTACCTATTAACTTACAACCTTACTTCCTTCCTTTTTATTATAGCATGCTATTAGTGGTAGGTAGTGATGAGCGTGATACTCTTGTTCTCACCTCTCCAATAGCTGAAAATGTAAGAAGATTACTTGGGTTTTCTAGGTGGTCAAGAAAACATGAAAAACATGAATGTATGCTACGACATATAGAGAATGAAATTAAATTTGTACCTTTAAGCTATAATTGTACCCTTAAAAAATTAGAAAAAGATTGGCACAAAACTGTTCGTCTACGCAAACGTGACACTGTTGAACTCTATGTGGTACCAAAGCCAAACGAATACTTTCCAATGCTCTTTATTAATTGTTCAAATGATAATATTAAAAATATCTATAAGAACATAACTGCGCTTATGATCGCTAGAAATGATCCTATATATTATTGCCCTTTTCTATTTACTTGTGCAATTTTCAGGCCAATTATATTCAATATTATCGAAAACCGTATTGAATATAAACAACGTCTACCAAACATAGATGTAACAGATGAAGAGTTTGCGATGCGAAGAGAAGAATGGGTAGATCGTGAAAGAAGACATATGATATCGGATTGTAGATGTCGTTCTAATACCGCCATTGTCCCAGAGGTGCAACAGCGGTCTATTTGGTCGTGGCATTCTGTAGAGGTGATATATTACACATATGATTGTTATCAAAGACTACCAGATCCACCCTATTACACACCAATTCATCATAACTGTAAGTCACATTGAGAAAAATGAAATAATATAGACGAATAATGAGTTGAATTTGGTATTCCTTGTCGGTTTGAGAATTTTCAATCCTACTATAGCACTGGCTAAGGTTTTGATATATCCACAACATCTTGAGTGGTATTTCTAATCGAGAGTACTGAGCTGAATATTCTATGAGTATACAGTATAAGATATTCGTTTGAGCATAATAAGAATAATTTAATAGGCCTAAACGACGACACTTGAGTAAGAAGCTTATTAGTGTTAAGATTGACAATTATGCCACTAAATTCCCAATATGTTGAGAAAGAGCTTTGGAATACATAGTTTGTATATTAAACAATTTCTTCCGAAACATATCAAGAAGAATTATCTCTATAATATCTGTAAAATTAAAATGAATGAAAATATATATAAATTTTAATGCAATGCTCGAAAAGGTAGAAACGAGGACTTCTATCAGAACGGCTTAAAGGATTCAGAGTCTTTATACTCTCCCCTTAGTCCCGTTGTTCGGAGAAATTGCATCAGCATTATAATGCTTTTATAAGCCGCGAAGATCTGTAATTTCCAATCTTCTCTTAGAAACACCCTGAGGACAATTTCGTATCTGGATACTTAATTAACTTCCCTCTCTAGTCAAAACGTCCATCATATTTGTATTGACTAACTGGGACTTAAGAGTGAAGTTGAACAAAAATTTCTTTAACAATATCTCATGAAGGATTTACTTTGGAGGGAGGGGCAAAAGAAAATATCCATATATATATAAGAAAAGGCATAATGGCCAAGACACAACGTATTACATGTTCAAAACTTTTTGATCACATAAATTTTTCAAACTGTACAAGATAATGAATTTGAAAGAAACAAATATTGTCGATAATGGGAAAATTAAGTGATTGGAGTATTATAGTTTATGATAGACCTGGTGCTGATAGAACGGAAGCGTATGACAAGCACGTCAAAGCTCTAACTGTAATCATTGATCTAAGATTAGTTGTTCTCAGGGGCCAGATTAATGATGACAACAACCCAATTGGCTCAAGTCTAACAATAAGAGTTGAAACTAAAGATGATAATCTCAAGCTATTGAAACAAGATATCCTTTACAAGGAAGGAATTTGGGATGTCGATAACGCTATTATTCACCATTTCAATTGTGTATTTATTGAAGGACAACCATTGAGAGGTTAAAGTGCTGTCCAATATAGCGTTATATATATGTATACTGTAGAGAATCTAAGTTAGAGTTTTTACTCTCAGTTGATTCTTTAATTTCATGTTTGTTAGTTAAATATAATTCGGACATTTTTTGATATGATAATTGATCGGTTATTTTAAATTATATAATCTTCAAATTATTTAATCATAAATATTATTGAGTATACAGGTTCTCCTAACGATGCATCAGAAGTAACACTCTATTTTGCAGAAGACCAATTTGTGGCAACGGCTATGTGTTTTGTAAACAGAGCAGGTTGTGCTAGATTTAATATTATTGTTAATGACCCGAGTGATAACACTTTTACAGATTTAGATACTATGCATACAATTCAAAGTATGCGGCAAGTTGTAATGAAGTGGTCGAAATTGTAAAAAACTGCTAGTTTCTCACCCACAACAACGTACCCTACTGCCTTCCCCACAAGAACTCCAAATGCTATGGGCTTATCTGCAGTAAAACAACATACTACATCAAGGTTCTCATGTCCACAATCTGTAGCTCCTCATCGGGTGTAGAGTTATCATCTACTTTAGTTTTCTCTTCAACCATAGTTTCTGCACCATACACCACTTTAGTATCTAGTTTAAGTTCAGTTTTAAAATCATCATCTACTGTGACCTCCGATGCTGTTGAAAACTCAGCATAATCTTCTAATAATATATCTAGTTCAACTATTAGCCCTTCAATCTCATTGAATGTGGTATCGAGGTCGATGGTGAATTGACAAAAGGCTCCCAGCATTATTTTTGAACTGATTGCAGATGTAGGGTCATATTCGAGTTCCCCCTCTAATGTAACAGTTGAATCAACCGAAAGTTTAGAATCAACTTCTACCATTGTTTCTAGGTCAACCGAAAGCTCAACTCCATCGTCTGATATGCCAATTAATCCTACCAAACATAGCACTGGTGTATATAACTATATTTCCAGTTCAGCAACAGATTTTCCAGTCACATCTAGTATTGTTACTATTTCTAGCAAAATTCTCGGAGATGTATCTAGCTCTTTGGCAAAATCTACCGATAATATTGCATGCACCTACATCAATTCTTCGCAATTAAGATTATTTACCTTTATTTCTACCAATGCTACTATCAGAACATCAGAAATAGTTCATTCATCTGCTGATAACTCTAAAAAAAACTCGCTGAGACTACCATGACCGTCCACTGCACTTTGGATCACTTTAGTGCAACACCTAAACAACCACTAAAAGTCTTATAGAGATGCTGTCTTAATATTCACAGTTGTAAAGATATGCCCTTTTACAGAGCCCAGCTCTGTAAAATCGATTACCTCAACTTATACTACAAAGGTATCCTCTATAATTACACATATAGAACCTCCAGGTGATAAGAGCAAGATTCCTTCTGAATCAACACACCCTGAAGCCAGAGCTGCCTCTATAATGCAGGAAATTTATAAGT